ATTTTTTGTTGTCCATGCTGCCACTCGACTGACCAACGTCTTTATCAGTTCCCAGTGGAAAAAGACTTTTGTGGAGTTAATCCAACTTGGAACGAAACTACGCCTCCTTCACCGGAAGATCAAATGATTATGGAAGTTGTGAGTTATTTTCAGATTCAAAGACCAGAAAGATCTATTGGAAAATTCTGAGTTATTAAATTTTATTCAGACTGGCTGGACTCAGGAACAACTTTACAGTGGAATGAAAGAATATACGAAAGGAGGTTAGAATAAGATCATTAACAAATAGATGCAAGCTTATTTTAGTGTCGGCATTCTACCAAAGTTTCAAAGCTATCAGGATACTTTTAATTGGTCTTCTTCTCTTCTTTGGTTTAATGGTCGTCTTTCTCAGATTTCTTAATGGACATTAATAATTCCACATTATGAAAAGGGCCCTTTCAAAAGGCTTTTAAGCTTCTTTTAAAAGAACAACCTGAAAAACAATTCTAATATACCCTTCGAATAAATAGAGCATACAAAACCGTTTCTTTCTTATTCGAGGATTTTTCGAAAATCAAATTTGCGGATTTTTTTTGTTATTTTCAGAAAGCACAAATTTTTCCGCGGAAAACACATCGATTTTTTTTATTGCCTGAAGAAGGAGTTCTACTACGAAACTAGTCGCTGCCAATAAAATGAGATAGCGACAAGGTCAACAAGAGAACGTACTGATCTTTTTTTGCTTTAGCATACCGATGGTATTTATGCTATTATTAAACTGGAAATAATAAAAGCTTCTTAAGTAGGGTTCGCCAATATACGGTATCTGTGAATTTATTTTTAGAAAGCCCAGTGTAAGGGAGAATATCCCTTACAATAGTGTCTGAGTGGAGAGAGCAGTATCCTGTTCTCAGTAACAGAGACTTTCCCGGTGTTTGGTCGCCGGAGGGCGCTAATTGAGTGAAAATGCTAGGCAAGAGTTGCTCTTGCCCGTAGCAAATGCCTGTGATCATTTCTGGTTACTTCCGGTAACTTCCGGTTCACTTCCGGTGACGTCAGGTGACTTCCGGTTCACCTCTAAATCATTGCTATAAGTGTACATCCATTCATATACCTTACAAGAGCATAACTGAGCTAATGCTCACTTGAAACAGCGCCACCTGGTGCATGCTCTCGCGCCCCATCTAGCGTCAGCTCTCGCGCCCCACCTAGTGTCAGCTCTCGAGCGCCACCTAGTGGACACTCAGGAATAGCTCTCTAGTGACCTCTAGTGGTGGCTCAGTTGCGCCACCTATGGTGAGCACAAAGCTTGAGATCTCATCCTGATTCATCAGTGACTGAGGATCGACTTCATTCGATGAAGGTCCTGGAACATTCTGGACACCCTTACTCACTATGACTCACGATTACGAAGGATGACATCATTTGGAGAATCTACTCGAACATCACTGTTCTAAGAAGCTTGAAGATTCATCTATCCCGATCAAGGAGCTTCTCGACTGTTCTTATTTTCCCTTTTCTGTACTATATAAAGCGTGCACCTTGCTGTTAGTTCATTATTATAATTCAGTAGAATAAAACCGACAAAACAACTTGACTCTCTTTTATCCAGCAGAAACCAGCAGTACCCGAAGAAGCGACAGCAAGTGCAGCACCAACAACTAGGACTCATAGAGTACTAGTGGACTAGAAAGACCCCCCAGAGATTCTTCTCCTTTATACCCAGAACCTGAGGATTCCAAAAATACAGTGAAAACCCATTTTAAGGCCGATTTTTGGATAACAGCGAATTTGAAAAGTGGCTTTAAGGGTACTATCTTCGATTTCCCCAACTTGAGCTTTGAATAACTCGGAACTTGTGAATGATTGCTGAGTTTATATGGGCTCATTGATTAGATCTGTCCTAGATCTTAACTATTACAGAGGGGTTTCTCAATTGCTTAACCGAAAAGCGGCTAAATTTTTGCTTGAAGTGGTCATCTCCGCCAAAATGGCCTATATAAACGGCTGAATAACTCAAAAACAAGTCTGATAACTTGGCCTTATTTTATTTTTTAAATAATGTTTGAACATTAATCTTTAAAATTACAGAAGGATATTTTCATTGAAAAACTAAAAATACCAAAAATAATTTTTTGAAAATTGTGTCTCGCCGATTTTGCGAAAATTGAGCATTTTTTAAAAGTTAGCGACACATTTTTGGCTCTAAAATCAAAAATATCTTGATGTCGCGATGGATACAGCTACCAACATACTGCTCTTGCTCTGAGCTTTCGAACAAGCACTTGATCGAGAAAATAGAAGTTCAAAATTTTTTTTCGAAAAACTTCTAGAGGCCATATCTCAAGATATATTGATAATTTTGAATAGTTGTCAATTAGGTATAATCATTGATTTTAATGAAGAATCCATCTCTAATAACCGATTCTTATACATCTTTTGAAAAGACACCTTCTGGAAATCGAAGATAGTACCCTTAAAATGGATATCTTTCGGGTTGAGCCGGATGACAATGATTTTTTCATTTTTTTGTTTGGGATACATTGTTTGGGATTAACTAAAAATTCTCGCCTCTGGCCTGTTGAATTCGTTCAGAAACAGGAACTAGGAAGCAAGAAGAGCATATTAAGATTTTGTATCGGAAGATCACTTTTGATATTTACATTAAAATACTCTTGATGGTTTGGAAAGAAGACAAATAATACTTCTGATATGTCACATATATATATATAGGGTTATACTGTATAACCCTTTATCTAGCAACATTTTTGAGGAAATTGCGTAATCATAAGTAAAAACAGGTTTTTCTTATTTAAAGTGCTTCCCGAAAATCACGGGTTTTCGAAAAATCTATTTCTACCCCGTAAAGGGTATTCCAACCACAAAAACTTTTTCTATCATAAACACGAGTAAAAACACGTAATTCAGGGCAATCGAACAAAAGCTTGCAATTGAAATAAATAGTCTACCCAAGGTTGTTTTCGAGAAGAACGTTCACTTTAGAGTCATATTTTCACGATTCTTGATGGAAGGGTCCTTGAGATAAAAAAAGTGATTCTTCTCTTAGAAGATAAGACACAAACTACAGACATTAACAAGACTGGTATAATCATTTGAGAAAATGAGATATTATATTCCAAGGCAACTTTGACATGACAGAATCAAAATAAAAGGTTAAATACTCGCTTACTTTAATTGACCTAAAAATCAAAAAACTCATTCACTGAGTGTTACTCAATTCTTATGACGCTTTTTTCTTTACGCATAGTCTGCCAATGACATTCTCGGGACGAAATCCCGACTCCTATGTTTCTCATTCTTCTCTGAAAGCCGGTGATCTGGGGAGTCGAATGGTATAAGTTAGGGGTCTTAGTCATCACAAATGACGTCATAGGTCCCCTGTTATTGGTTGAAACCGACCGGGACCTCGAGATCTATTTTCGGAGCACTTGCGGGTGGCGGGGCTTCGAAATAATTCTGTTGACAGAACCATTCTGTAGAAAACAGAACTATTCTGTTTTCGTAAAATCAAAGAATGGGCGTGCGCTTCGCGCCTGTTTTTCAGAAAACTCCATAATGGAGAGTATCATGTTTTTTGACACTCTCTTTAAATTTTTACCGCCGCAGTTACCCATTTCAAGCACTAATTATGCCTTATTTAAGTTTTGTTAAAACAGAATAGCTCTGTCAAACAGAATGGTTCTGTCAACAGAATTATTTCGAAGGCCGGCCCTTGCGGGTTGAAAAATTTCCAGGGAAAAAATTTTAGAGCCACCTAACCACATGGTGAAAAATTGAAAACCGGTTGGTTTAACGAGATTTATAGATCCGCAAATAGATCTCGAGCTGCTCTTGAAAATGAGCCCAAAATCAGTGTACATATGATATGGGGTAAACCGAACGGGACCTGTAACTTTTTGGTTTTTGTATAAATGTACACTGATTTTGGGCTCATTTTCAAGAGCAGCTCGAGATCTATTTGCGGATCTATAAATCTCGTTAAACCAACCGGTTTTCAATTTTTCACCATGTGGTTAGGTGGCTCTAAAATTTTTTCCCTGGAAATTTTTCAACCCGCAAGGGCCGGCCTTCGAAATAATTCTGTTGACAGAACCATTCTGTTTGACAGAGCTATTCTGTTTTAACAAAACTTAAATAAGGCATAATATGGGCCATATGCCTCTTCAGTCAGCCAGAATGACGTCATTTTCTATGACTAAAGCCCAAAAAAACATACCATACGACTCCTCAGATCACGGGCTTTCTAATACGCATGAGAAACCTGGGGGTTAGGATTTTGCCCCGAGAATGTGATTTTACTTCATCTGCATATGAAATTTTTATTTTTGAATTCCTTAGATTCTCCCTTTTTAGGAAGGTATTCAAGAAAATACCTTCCTGACGAATTGTAGGTCATTTTTTGGTCAATTCTAGAGCGATCCCAAAGTGTGTAGGGTTTTTTTTCGGAAATTTGGTTGAAAAATCCTGACTCTCGTCGACCTTCCCCTTAACCCTACGCCGCCAAATGTGCCATATATGGCACAAGGGCTTTCCAACACCCATTTTTCTCTCCGTCATCATTTCGGGTTCTTCCATTTTTACTCATTTTCGGGCAATAGTCTGGGCTTGGGTTTGGGTTCATTTTTGAGCTCGGGTTCTGGGTCGAGTTCGGATCTTGGTTAAGGTTCGGGTTCGGCCATTATATGGGGCCTAGGACAACGGAAAAGATGATGTGCCATATATGGCACATTTGGCGGCGGGGGGTGAAATTTTAGTTTGGCGGCGTAAGGTTAAGAAAACGGAGTTGTTGATCTAGTTTCATTTTAGTTTTTCTCATTTAATATTAACTTTATAATATGAAAAAAAATTTTCTCCCTACAGTTCCCCCAAAACTGCCAGACAATATTTACCAATTTTGGCAATAACTAGAAGTGACAGTCGCAATCTTTTTCAAAATTTCAAACAAAAAAAATTTATGGACGGTTAATGGCCCACGCGAGTATTCAACCTTTTAATTTTTATTCATTTCTTGCTTTTGCGTATCTTGAAAGGGTCTTCGACATGACGAGAGGATGGATGATGCTTATGTTGTTTCTTGGCTCGAATCCCGCTTCGATCGATATTAAAAAGCCATCGTTTGAAGTTGTATTGCCTCGATAATGAATAAAGACGGAAGGAGAAGAAAACGAAAAGCGGGCAACCTGAAAATAGAAATAACAAATAATTCATGGGAATTAAATTTAGGCGGTGAACTCATACAGACGAGATTATTGAAGTAAAATTACCTCTGTGATATTTCCAGAAAAGGCATATTCATCTTCATTTTCATCTATGAATACAAGATCATCAGCACAAAATTCGGTCTCAAGTTTTACAATCTCGAATGTGATGCCAGAAGAAGCAGAAGTAATTTTTTGATTGCACTCATAATATCCTTTGTTTGATGGTGAGCTTAAAAAAATTATGAGTTTTCAAGGGTGGCGGGCAGTTTCGTTCGCAAAATCGAAAAATTTTTGGCCGAAAATTGTTCACAATTTTTTTCAAAATGTGTCCCAGCGGTAGAAAAAGACTGCTCCTGCGAAGCCAATGAGTTCTTTACCAGAAAGTGCGCGAAGCGCACACTCACGGCAATTTTTTTTTTGTTGAGAACGGCGTTCGCAAGATAACGAACGGCGTTCGAAAATTTCGAACGAAGCCGCCCTACACCCGTTTTCAACAATGCAAGAGAATATTTTTTTGTAAATTTCGGATATTAAAATTCATGATTTTTCAAATTGATCAATCGAAACTGTTTTAAGGAGGTAGATATCAAGAATCGGGATTTTCTGGCAGACTTTTCTCCCAATCCTAACATAGTGACCGATGATTTTTTTGTTTTAATAAAGAGTTGAGGCCCTTATCTCGTGCCTATGGAAGGCCGATTTCTAAATTCCCAGAAAAAAATCGTAAAAAATGGCGTTGAAAACTCGGAAATCGCTAAAAATGACCATTTTCTTGGCAGACTTTTCTCGAAACCCTTATATTGAGCGGAATTTATTTTTTTCTGAGAAGTTAGATCAGACCCTTGTCTAGATCCTATGAAGGCCAGAATTCAAAATTTCAAAAATTTTTTTTAGAAAAAAATCGATTTCCTGTTTTTCGCAATTTTCAACGAAAATATAAAATTTTGAATTTATATTCAGCAGTATTAAAATCATTCTATAAATGTTCCCAGGGGTTTCTGTTAATGTTTTTTTGGACGAAAGCTAAGTAATTATTTATTTAATTACTAAAAACTGGTCGATCTATTATAAAAAGGGCAAATTTTCGAGATTTTAGAGGCGATTTTGTGAAAAATCACGTGGTCCAATTAAAAAATTTTTGCTTACAAGTTTTCTCCTTGACCTCGAAACTATACGTAGAAAAAGTTTGAAGCGAAAAAATGGAAAATTTTTTTCTTGATATCGACCTCCTTAACCGCGGGGGGATAAAGAAAAAAATCAGAAAGGTTTTCACGGCAATGAGAAAAAAAAAACCTTACTTTTGTATTATTAATCATATTATAAAGTTAATAATGCAAAATTTATATGCTTAAAGAAATTGACACAGAAAATACGCTAAAAATCGATGTTGACAATCTTACGAAAACTCTACGGACTATTAATTTGTCTTTCGAAAAATGATGATAATAATTGTATCCAAAAACCTGAGGATAAAAGTGTCGGAAGAAGAATGAACAGAGTACTCGTAATCGCCATCGCATATCGAAACTGTTGTATTGAAGAGTGAGCCTTGATAGATAAAGTCTGTCGCCATTGAGAGAGGCTCTTTTTTGCCGCATATCTCGACCATTTTTGTCATATTCATCCGGTAAGGACCGCCTGGACCGCCGTAGTAGTATCCATAGGGACCATAAGGACCGGATCCCGGACCATATGGACCGTAGCCAGGAGGAGGACCATAAGGACCATATCCAGGAGGGGGGCCATAAGGACCATAGGGACCATATCCTGGAGGGGGACCGTAGGGACCATAGTCGGGACCAGGACCATAATAATTGTAATAGCCAGGGTCAGAGAAAGAGTTTGAAAAATTCCGAGTATAAATATCGCTGAAAAAAAATCGACTTAAGGGGGTGGTGGTCGAGAATAAGACCCGGTTTTTCTAAAAAATTCAATAATTCCTTTTGTCGATCAGTTTTTTCTTCACGAATGAATAGAAAATGGTTCGTGATGCCTGTTTTAACGAAGTTTCAAACCATAATTTTGACAAAAGAATGTAAAAATAGAGAAAAAATCCGCGAAATTTCGTATCATAGGTGGTTTTGGCTGAATCTTGGTCAAAATGAACCCACCACCTCCCGGAAGGGGGGGCGTCGAGAAAAATTTTTTCGACTTTTCAAAATTTTTATTACATATTCGAATTTAATAATAAAAATAGAGCATTTATGACCAAAATGAAACATCCTAGCCTTTCACTCTTCTTGATTTCCGTGAATTAGGCCATGGTTAGAGCCTCGTCGACCGAATAATAAATTTTTCCAACCATTTTTTAATACTTTTTTCTCAAACTCTTGTCATTAGGAGGGCCTCCTATAGGGCCTCCTGGAGGGCCTTCTGGTGCGACGGCATTCAAAATAGAGATCAAGATCAACACTGTTGCAACAAGGCCAAAGCAAATGTAACCACAAATACTATTTTCGCTTTGATTTTGAGCAGGCGCATTCGTTTGTTGAGGTTCTAAAAACATTTATGAGATCAACGATTTTTATGGAATTTAAAAATTAAATTTATGGACATTTTTTGCAGTGTTTTAAAAAATGATGAGCACGAGGTGTGGGTGCGCGAGCGCACGCTCATTCTCACTCACTCAGGTATTATTTCAGGGCCACTGCTCGCGCTCACACCCCCTCGCTCATGGTCGATTATAATACCAATCTTGCAGCCAAAAACAATCAATAACAATAATTCTTTGTTAGAAAGAGATGAACCGAAGAGGTTTCTTTCTGATGAAGACCAAAATGGGTTGGCAAGGGCAGTTTTTTTCTACTTCATTTTCTGCACTTAACAACTTCTGCATTCGCAGAATAATAGTTTTTTTTTGTGGTTAAATTTGCTTCAAAAACTTGATAAGAGGAATAAATAAGGAAAAAATTAAATTCCAAAAATGGCAAAATGGAACAATCAATCATGAGTACCTCTTATTTAAGAGACCTCTTTACCGCCTTCAAGATACTTCGAAGTGGCTAGATACTGATAAGAGCAAGAGCTCGAAAAATGTATTAGAAATTTGGCTTTGGCCGGCTTGAGTTAAGCGATTCGGATGGGACATTATTTTGGGCGAGTGTTTCGAAATTCGAATGAAGGGACATTTTTGAGAAAATTATGCGACAAAAATGTCCCAAAATTCAATAATCGACTGTATCTATTGGTTTACTGATGTGAGATTCTATTTTCATATTTAATTCAAGATTTCAAAGCAGTATTATGAAGAAATTCTTATCTGTGCTGCCTTTTTATTTAATCTTATAGACTTAATTTTCAAATATTTATTCTTGAAACGATTGAAAAAAGAACAGAATCGTTTTCCTCTTTTGTGGACATTTTTTGTCCCAGATTTTCTCAAAAATATCCACAAAAGTGGGCAAGAGTCTTCAAAAAATTGTCCTACCGTAGAGGCTTAAAATTTTTCGGTCCCATTAGTTTCTATCTAAAAATAGCAAATTTCATCCTTGAAACGCATTTTTCTTGCTTATTTATTACTAAAGTCGGTCAAATGTTCCTCATAAGCCATAAATGTCTTAGAAAAAACAAAAGATTTTTAAAAATATACGCTATTTTTACCTCTAAAATTTTTTCACCAGGGAAAATGTCCACAAAAGTGGAACATCATCTTTGCAAAAGTGTCCCAGATAAACCCCTTTAAATGAAGAAAATGTCCACAAAGTTGGGGTCCACAAAAGAGGAAAAAAACTGTACCTCTTGGTTAAAAATTAATTTTCTTTAAGTATTCGGGAGACAATAAAAATAAACGACGTTTTTTCAAGTGTCGGCGATCAAATTGTTTCCAATACTCACGAAATGTCGGAGCTTTTGGCGGGGCTGGTGGTGGAGCAAAAGTTGGCTGAGGAGTAAAAACTTGCGGCATAGGAGCTGGTTGAGGAGAATAGGCCGGTGGCGCCATTTGAACTTGTTGAGGCGCATAAGCAGGAGCAGCATGGAATGAAGGACTTTGCGAAACAGGTTGACCTGGATTCAAGGAAGCACCCGTTTGCATTTGGACGGGATACATGGGTGGTGAGCCCAAAGGAATTTGTTGCCCTGTGAAACGGATCGTCATAATCGTATTTAAAGCAATTATTAAAAATTTTAGAAAAATTGTTCTTTATTTAACAGAAAAAAAATTTTTTTGATATTTAGACCCAATACCGAACCCTAACCAAGAATAATAACTTTTGACCGGCTAAGGCTAAGAAAGATATAAGTAGCGAAAATTAAGGAGATCAAGAGATATTCGTTATTCAAATTCGAAAATTCAAAAGTTCGAGACCTAAAATTTTTCGGGCCAGCATTATCATTTTCAAAGATAACGCAATTTCGTGATAGATTCGAGGGTTCGAAATTTGCGGGTGAAGGGCGCCCAGGTTCACAATTGTGAACCCGGTTCACAATTTTATGAACCCGGTTCACAATCTGTGTGAACCCGGTTCACAATCTGTGTGAACCCGGTTCACAAAATTTTCAAAAGAATGAAATCAGGGATCTTTATGCGCTCCGCGCCTGATTTCATAGAGAAACTCATTTTTGACGTTATAAGCTTTCTCTACGAGGACCGACATTTTAATCACTTGCGGAAGTGATGAAAATGTTGTTTTCAGAACATAATTCTTAGAAAATGATTAAAATGCAAGAGTGATTAAAATGTCGGTATTTTTTTCAAAGATGCAAACAACTCCGCCTGAAAAAATTTTCGACGACCCCCCTCCTGGAGACTTTTTTTTAAATTTTTTAAGTCGGGTCAGGAACATAAACCCAACGCAAAATCAAAAATAAAAACAAAACTCGAGCCAAAATTTGAACTTAAGAAATAGTCTATAGGCTATAGTCTAAAGCTAATATTAATTATTACTAGTAACTCATTAGGGCCCTATAGACTACAGGCTATAGAATTAAGGTTGTGCGCTTTGAAAAAAATAATTATTATCCTAAGAAGACAACAAGATCAAACTTGCAGACTACTGATCTGTTTTTTGAAGACCAAAAGGGCCCCATATCTTCATTTATAGGTCGTAAAGTAGATCAATTGATCCAAGATAAAGCTATTGAAAGCGAATTTGTGCTCAGACGTGCTCATAGCACTTGAGCGCAAATTTAAGACTTTCGTGAGCATGTGCACGGCGAATGCTCAATTCAACTGAGCTTGAGTACGACTGAGCACGACACGTTGGAATTTCATTGAGCTGAGTATGTTCAGACTTTTTAAATCCTGCTCTCGGCCTTTCGCGTTCTACTGCCGAGATTACGGCTCTAATGAAGCTTACACAAAACGAAAAACGCGAAAAACTGATCCGCGAGGTAATTTATCGATGAAAAGAATAATAACGTGAAAAAATTTTTCTATTAATTTTGCTCGCGAGCCTTGCTCGCTCGCGGGTCAAATCCATGGCGAGCATGAGAGCAGCCAGTCCCGCTCGTCTAGCTCCCGAGCAGGGATGTAAATCACCCCACCATTTTCACCCCACCACAGCAAAATGGTGGGGTGGTCGGTGGTGAAAAAAATCACCCCACCACCACCACTGAAAATGGTGATAGTGAAAAATCACCCCACCACCACCACTGAAAATGGTGATGGTGAAAAATCACCCCACCACCACCACTGAAAATGGTGAAAAATTTCCCCACAGTAACCATTTTCGACGTGATAAATTTATCATCAGAGCCTATTTTTCAATAAAAAAGGGCCAGGTATCATTTTTCGAGTACCGCTATCACGATTTTATTTATTATTTTCACTTTTGGAGAATATTTTTAGATAATTTTGCCAATAGATTTACCACCCCACAACCACCATTTGAGTGGTGAAAAATCACCCCACCACCACCACTCAAAAAGGCTGGTGGTGAAAAATCACCCCACCACCACCACTGAAAATGGTGGTTGGTTAAAATTCACCCCACCACCACCACTGAAAAAAGGTGGTGGTGGAAAATCACCCCACCACAGTGGTGGGGTGGTTGTGGTGATTTACATCCCTGCTCCCGAGCATTGCCGACATATGCGCTCGCGAGCGGTTTCAAATTGGGGCTCACCCTTTTTTGGCCCTCGAGCCAACTTCATTTTCATGCTCCCGCTCCCCTGCTCTGAGAGCAATGATAAATTTTCGCTCTTGCTCTTCGCGCTCGCGAGCATTCGCGAGCATTTCAAACTCTGTTGGCAGCGACCACTGACCATTCCGAAGAGGTTAATTGGACGCTTTAAACCTAGACTTTCTATAAAATTTTCAAGTCAAGGGGCTTTGTTCAAATTTCGGTCCGAGTTTTGTATTTATTTTTGCGTTTGCGTTGGGTTTATGCTCCTGACCCGACTTAAAAAATTTAAAAAAATAAAATTCTCCTGGAGGGGGGTCGTCGAAAATTTTTTCAGGCGTAGTTGTTTGCATCTTTGAAAAATATACCGAAATTTTAATCACTCTTGCATTTTAATCACTTTCTAAGAATTATGTTCTGAAAACAACATTTTAATCACTTCCGCATTTTAATCACTTTTGCATTTTAATCACTTATGTTGACAGTGATTAAAATGCAAAAGTGATTAAAGTGCAGAAAGGATTAAAATGTCAAAGTGATTAAAATGTCGGTCCTCGTTCTCTACAACCGCGCATTAAGTCAATTTGAGTCATTTTTTTGACCGAAATTGTGAACCAGGTTCACAAAATTGTGAACCGGGTTCACGAAATTGTGAACCAGGGCGCCCGCGACCCAAATTTGCTGTTCACTATTTAAGATCTATCGGAAGAGACGATTTTTTATTCTTTCACTACGTAAAATGTTTCTTTTGAGACTGAATAGTGCTCATTAGCTTCAAATAAAATCTATCAGATAGATACTCCTAAAATAAAATTATCGGAGAATCACTTCACTTGAGATAATCGAGATTGAAAATGGGCGAAAATCGGGATTTTTGACGAGATGGGTTGGTGTTTCGTTCTCTACCGCTAAATTGCGTTGACAAAATTTCATAATTAAAAAATCTTAGTTTCGCTGCTTTTTAGAGCCAGTGAAAAATCGCCATTTGTCGAAAAATCTAGTTCTACCCCTTTTAGATAAAGGAATAATAACGAGAATTCAAAATTTCGAGGTCTCTTGGTCAAAACTTGTCGAGGTTGCTGGTGATTTTGATCAGTGTTTGAAAAAATGGTCATAACTTTTGTGAGTGAGCGAGCGCGAGCAGACACTCTTTAATTTTTTTCGCAAGTGAGTGAGTGTGAGCGCAGACCCGAAATATTTTTGTTGTGTGAGCGAGCACGAGCGCTCGCTCGCTCGCTCGCGCTCAGAGTTCGAAATCTATGGGAGTAAAATTGGGAGCTTCCAAAGGGAGCTCCCTTTTTTGGGAGCACGGAGGGAGCAGGAGCACAGGTTTTCAGGGCTGGGAGTAAATTGGGAGCTCCCAATTTGCTCCCAATTTCAAAAATTTTTTGAAAATCAACAATTTTTAGTCTAGAATCTAATCTGCGCACCGAAAAATGAGAAACGCTAACTTTATAGTTTTTCTCTTAGAAGAGACGTTTTTTTCACTAGATATGTTTATAAACGCCTCTTTTAAAATATCATATAAATATATAGCCAAAATTATATCTAGTTTGACTTTAATAATTTCAACATAATGTATTTTTCTCAGATTATAAGCATAATTATTAATTATGATACCGTGATTGCTCAGATTTTCATTAGAAGAGACGTTTTTTTTTTATTAGATTTATTTTTAAATGTCTCTTCTGAAATTTAATATCAATAAATAGCCTAGAATTGACCTAAATTTGGTTATGTAATTTTAATAAGAAAATATTGAAGTCATTCACGAAATTCGCCTATTTGGCATTATGCCTATTTATACTTTCTTTATCATTGCTATATAATAACCATACAACGATGGTTTTGCTACTTAGAGTTTACTTAATAAAATTAAAAACTTTCGAAAATTTTTGAAATTTGAGAAAGGGAGCAAAATTGGGAGCTCCCAAAGGAAGCTCCCTTTTTTGGGAGCAGGGAGGGAGCAGGAGCACGGTTTTTTTACGAGGGAGCTCCCTTTTTTTCAGGGTGAGGGAGCAGGGAGGGAGCGGGAGCACGGATTTTCTACCAGATTTCGAACTCTGCTCGCGCTCACTCGCAGCTTTTCGGGGGCCTTTCTAGCGAGTTTTTCCTTGAAAATTCTAATAATAATAATTTTTAACGCGTGATTTCATATAAAACGTTGATTACGGGCATTATAACGCGATTAAAAGAGAAATCTCTCAAATATCGTAATACTTTGTCTCCAGGGTGCATTAACTAAAAATAACTGTTGGCGAGCGCGAGTGAGCGAGAGCGGCGGCCCAGAATTTTATGGTAAGCGAGTGAGCATGAGCGCTCGCTCACTCGCTTACGCTCGCTCGTGGCTCGCGCTCACCATTTTTTCAAACTCTGATTTTGATCCTTTTCCTTGATTTCCCGGATACGACATATTGGTAACTAAGATACTAGACGTATTTGACATAAAATAAATACTCAATTCTAGAAAAATCTCAATCTTCCACCAATGAAAATTTTTCAAATTATTTGTTTTCAAAATTTTAAGAGAAAGAAATACCTCAGCTACTCGATTATGTAACAAATTTAAAAACAAAAACAGTACCCTGCAAATACTAATTTAAAGTCGCCTTTTCGAAGAACACTGATTTTGCAATCGCATTACGCTAGATTGGCAATTTTTTAAGATTTAAATAACCCAGAACCGGATGTTATCTAAACTCCATTCAAAATCCCCAAATATTAATAGTCAGAGACTAATTGTATAGTTTCTAAATTTTTTAATGTTGGAAACAATCTATTGCGTACTATAATACGATATAAGATGTCCATTGTCTTGAGAAACATAAAAGACTGATAAATGACAAGTTATAACAAAAAAATTCTAGATATGTTTACAAGAACCATAAAATCTTTGTTTTATGAGGTGTCCTTATACTTTAAAATTAATAAAATTTGACTTTAATCAAATAAGCAAGTAGAAAATTCCAACGACCGATCCGATAATTAACCTCAGGTATCCGATTTAGTGTCGTTTTTACAGAAAGCCGGAACGAACAAGTTCTAATTAAGTGTCGCTTTTTCGAACAACACTGTTTTTGCAAACTTATTTTGCTAGAAGGGCAATTTTTTTTAATTTAATTAACCCAATTTTAAAAACCAATAACAGCATATTCTATAAAATCCATGCGAAATGCCCCAATCTTATGAGTGACTTTAAACTTGATTTTTATGAGTAAAAACGACTTTTTTGCGAAGTTTCGACCAAATTAATACAAGGGGCGCTTTATTTTGAGTAATGAGGCTCAAAATTAGTGCCAGTAACGAGAAAAATATCAAAAGATACTAGAAAAATGTAGTTATTACAAATTCGTATTTAATCTCGGCGGGGTTTCCTTACTTGGTAAAATTCCTTACTTGGTAAAATTCCTTACATGGTAAAATTCCTTACTTGGTAAAATTTTTTTTCTTTACCAAGTAAGGAATTTTACCAAGTAAGGAATTTTACCATGTAAGGAATTTTGAAACGATAAATATTCAAAAACAAAAATCGAGCATATTGACATGATATTATCATGATGATACAGGGGTCTGGATTCGCTTTGCGAATTCGCTCATGAGCGAAGCGAAGCGAAGCGAAGCGAATTCACTTCGCCTCGCTTTCGCTTTTTGTAATTACAATTCGCTTCGCTTCGCTTTCGCTTTTCACCAAAAATTTTCGCGAAAATTTCGCTCGAAAGAATTCTTTCCAGGAGTTGAAAATTTCGCCTTTTTGCTTAGCTTTAGCTTAAACTCAAGTGGAAATTTTTCTGAATGAGGTAAGCTGGCACTTGCAAAAGCTGTGCTGAGAGAAATTTTATAGTTTTCATCTCTGTTTTCCCAACTTGGGGAATCGGCGAATTGGACAAAGGGCGATGTATTATAATTTAAATTGATTGATCTTATAATTTCATGTATTGGCCTCCCCACAATCAATCCTGACATCACCATCTTCAATCCCGGCTTCAAAAACTTCGATCCTTGCTTTTCAGACGTCGATCCTGGCTGGTTAAATATCAATCTTGGCATCTCCAGCATCGATTCCGGCTTCACATCAATCCCGGCAAAACCGATCCGGGTGTCACTAATTTCAATCCTAGCCTCTCAGACGTAAGTTCCGGCTTCTCAGTTGTCGATCATGGCTTTTTCAAGATTAGATTAGCATTGGAGAAGCCACGATTGACGTTGGAGAAGTCGTAATTGACGTCGATAAACCCGGGATTGAGATTGGAAAAGCCATGATTGAAGTCGGTAAAGCCAAAATTTGAAAATGTTGAAAGCAGACTTGACGATGGATAAACCATTGTTGATAAAATATTAATGATATTGAAGAAGACATGATTGAAATATGTGAAGCCAGGACTGGCATTGATGAAGCCAAGATTGACGTTTGAGAAGCCAAACAATGTATAATTATCAATCTTTATAAATTTATTCACATCGCTGTTTGCCCAAGATCTCCGTTTACCAAAGTAAGGTAAACGACGATTTTGGGAGACGGCGACTTGGGTTAACGGCGACGCGGGCAAACTGAGACCACCGTCCAAATTTCCGAAAAAGTAATAAAAATGAAACCATACTTGAAAGGGACACTTTCTCAAAGGTTAAATATTTCCGGAAATTTTTCGCTTTTTTTCGCTTTTTAGAAAAATTTTTCGCTTCGCTTCGCTTTCGCTCGCGAAATTTTGATTCGCTTCGCTTCGCTTTCGCTTAAAATTTTTGAAAATTTTTCGCTTTCGCTTCGCTTTCGCTTTTCATTTTTGGCCAAAATCCAGACCCCTGGATGATAAGTATTTTGTGCGACCCCTCTCCGAGACAAATTTTCGCTGATCAATAATTAGGGCAAGAGCGGGCATTTGGGCATTGCATTGCATTGTGCCAAACTTGAAGTTGGGCACTTTCGGGCAGTTCGGCGCTTTCGGGCAGTTGGTAAAGCCAGCGGCGAAGAAAATTCCTTAATTTCAAAGCCCCTCGAAATTTATTTTTCCTTTCGAAAATCCCATCACCAGTCCGATTCTGTTGACTTGAAAGTCGAAAATTATTGCCAAACTGGGCGTTTGAGGCACTTTGGTTACCTGCCCGACCATTTTTGGGCATTTTTGGGTATCTTCGAGCAGTTCGGGGCAGAGTTCGAAATCTGAAAGAAAATGGCGACTGCCACTGCCAAATGACTGCCAAAAGCTGCCAATTTCGATGCTATTTTTAAAATTTTTTAAAGTCAAACTTAGTTCAAAACAGTCTTTTCGACAAGTAAAACATATAAAAGAGACGATATCAGAGATATAAATGTCTCTTTTGATTATAAAGATTGAATAATATAGAGCTCGGGAGCGAATTTGGATCATAAGCGCTGTTTTTTGTGGTTCTAGAAAGAAAAATTTATAAAGAAATTAATATCTTTCGAAGTGGCAGTAGCTTAGCAGCTGCCAATAACTGGCAGCCATTGAAAAATTTTACTGCCATTGCCAAATTGGCAGCTGCCAGTGGCAGTCGTGGCAGTACTGCCAACAAATTTCGAACTCTGGTTCGGGCACCTCGGCTCGGCCGGGCATTCGGAAGGCGCGATTCTTGGACCTTGATTTCTGCCGGGCATTCGGACGGCCAACCGACGATTTCTTGCCCAAATGTTCACCCCTGCTCGATTGGAGATGAGATATGGCGGTCATCTTCGATTTTAGATAAGCCCTGTTCATAAAGATCCTTCTGACCATTCAAAATTTATTCTAGTAAACTTACAATAAGAACGGCTGGTGACAACGTGTTTTCCGGTAACCAGCTTCCTTGGATTTATCAAGAATTAGACCCGCCATTAGACTCGTCTTGACAAGACGGAGAAAACTTGAATTTAAAGCAAGGCTTTCCGCGCAAAAAATAGCATCAATAATGGGTGTAGGGCGGCTACGTTACAAGTAGTTAAAATTGTAACGGCGTTACAAAAATTCAAGATCAAAATCATCGAATGAGTGTGCGCTTCGCGCTTGAATTGAAGGAAACTACTTTTTGGTTAACCTTATTGCTTATTCTGTCCAAAATAATAAGAATTTCGGAATGGAAAATAATTTTTATTGCGAAAAAAATCTGAATTTTTGTAACGGCGTTACAAAATTGTAACGGCGTTACAAATTTGTAACGTAGCCGCCCGTCCCCCTCAATAATGCCTTTTCCAACTCATTTATTAAGAATCCTCCGAATAACAAAGCCGCTTGCTTTGCGAAAATTTAAGCGTAAATTTGGGAATTCGCTTTCGCTTCGCTTCGTTCTGGAGAGCAGAATTCGCTTCGCAAAAATTTAAAAAAAAATTATACCGAAACATAAATTTGAGAAAATTTGAAATCTGAAAAATTGTCTCGGAGAGGGGGTCGCACAGAATACTTATCATGTCAATATGCTCGGTTTTTTGTTTTTGAATACTTTTCGTTTCAAAATTCCTTTCTTGGTAAAATTCCTTACTTGGTAAAATTCCTTACTTGGTAAAGAAAAAAAATTTTACCAAGTGAGGAATTTTACCATGTAAGGAATTTTACCAAGTAAGGAATTTTACCAAGTAAGGAAACCCCAATCTCGGCAGCCATTCGATTCCAATTATGTGTCGTTATTTTGGAATTTCAGGACCAAAAAAGCGACACTAAATCAGGTACCCGAGGTAAATTTATTTCTAAGAATGAAGACAAGCTGGTTGATTTCATCAATTAAAATCGACGAGACCCTTATTATTAAATTTAATTGTAATTTTGAGGCGAAAAATTAACTGATGTCATTAATAAATTCAAGAAAACTTAAGATATCACACAAAGATTAGGTACCCGCTGAAATTAGAGTGGCCTTTTTCAAACTATCTTCTTATGCTCTTTTTGTGCGTTGAAGTTAGTGGGCAATGAAAGTCACTTATTTTTGAGCGAAGAAGAAAAAAATTTTTTCGAAAAAAGTGACCGAATTCTCGTTACAAATTTAGGCTTTTTGGCTCGCCTTTGTTACCCCATCACACCCCAACTTTGAAACTCGGATAGATCGAAAGGGTAGACGGCGGGTTCCATTCTTTGTGAAGAATGATTCTTTTTTCAAAGAATGGTTCTTTTTCGCAATGAATCATTCTTTTTTAAGGATACCGAAAGAGGATGGAAAATGCTTTCCAAATATGTCACTAATCGAACAGTCGGAAGCGGTCGAAAAATTCTAGGGCCAAAAACTGGTCTAAAATAGGACATTTTAGGGTAAGGGTTAGGGTAAAAAATGCGTAGGCGGACCGCTAATAATCGATTATTTGTAATTATATATTGAACGATTCTTTTGTTGTGCTCAAGATGGGTCCTAATCGACTCAGTTTTGGATTCCGAACATGTTGGTATGTGAAAGTACCCCGAGTACAGATGTTCTAGAAATTTTTATCTCGGGATTTCAATGACCTGAAATGACCCCAAAATGAATTTTTTTTTGAATTTTCGTGATCACGATTGATCTTTTCGGTCCTTATTTAGTATAGTCTTAAAGTTTGAGCAAAAAAAAATGTACGATATCGACCACTTCTTGTTTTCAGCGGGTACCTACACAAAGATAACCAATATTTTTAGTAAAGATTCTTTATTCAGTCATTTTTAATCAAAAAAGGTTCATTTAATATAATGGCCCCTTTTAAGGGTGTAGGGCGGCTTCGTTCGCAAGGAAAAAATTCTTGCCGTGAGTGTGCGCTTCGCGCATTTTCTTGAAGAGAACTAATTGATTTGGCAGGAGCAGTCTTTTTCTACCGCTGGGACACATTTTAAAAAAATTAGCAACGATTTTCTGCCAAAAATTTTTCGATTTTGTGAACGCCGTTCGTAATTTGCGAACGCCTTTCGCAAAATGGCAAACAGAGCCGCCCGCCACCTTTTTAAGAATCTGAATGATTTTTGGATGCAAATCTTCTTTTGCTGTTTTTCCCCAGATAAAGTCGAGATGATCGAAGTCTTCAATAATTGTTAAAGTAGAATTTCGTAGATTTGGTCGCGTTTGCTGAACATCTTTAACGGTTGCAATCCAATCGGAACTTCCGACGAAAAGATGGATAGGCAGGTCGATTTTTGACCAGTCATAGAAAGGAGGACTATCCTTGTTGTACTCCTGAAGAAAATAATGACCAATTGATTGCGCACGATGTTGGGGCCTTCTAGATCAAAAATGAGATAAACTAAAAAAGGTCGAGGTAAAAATGATCTTCCAATTCTTGGCAACAACGTCCTGTCGCTATTTAACCGGAACCGTTACCTGAACCATGCTATAATTGGGGATTTCTGAAGTTACCAAAAAGATGTCTATTAGAAAAAAATCGATAAAACTGATTTTTTTGCTCTCTCTGTACGGATATCGACCCACGAGTAGGTTTTTAAAGAAACGTTTTTCCTTTTTCAGAGAAAGTGATATTTTTCAGTCAATATCGAGTCAAATCAAAAATGTCAGAAAGTGTATCATACACGAAGCCGTCTTTTTGTCGAAAAATCGCTTTTGTTCATGCTTTGGTCAATATCTATGCAAGGGTATACGGTTCCTCCGAGACAATTTTGGAAAAACCCGTTGGGGATGTCCGCGATATGAATCTTACCAATTGATTCCCTTTTGGTCCATAGTCGAGTTTCGCCATCCTTTTTTTACCAATATTCTGGCCGAAATGAACAACATTCCTCAGACTTGTTCCAGAAGGAGAATGTGAAAGAAACACAGGCAATCTCTCTTGCACATATCGCCTGTGGTTGAAGTTGACATAGTGAGACGCGAATTCTTGAGCGATGCCCGTACCCCATGCTTTCAGAATCAATGGAGAATTTTTGCCGATTTTAGTGAGATATCGGGCAAGTTTTGTTCCCTTCAGTTTGAGTTGAAACTATTTTTTTAAAATCTTTACATATTGTTTCAAGAATAATCTAAATTTGAGTACATCATATAATTAGATATGACTCAAGCAAAATGGACAATTCCGGAGATTTGAGGGAACTCGGAAAAATTTTGTGAGCGTACAATTCCGGAAATTTCAGACAGAAAATTCAACTGAAAGGTTATTTACTACAGTGGTTATCCATCTTAACCCCTACCCGCATATCGAAAAACGATATTTGTTCACATTTGACATTTGATATTTAAAATTTGATCATGTCCAGAAGATAGCTAAGCCTTAAATTTTTCCATTCAGGTCCTTTTTTTTGGTCGGGTATCCGTAGGGTTAAAAGATGAAAATTTGGCCCATTTTTCTTGCTTTGTTTAGGGGTCTTATGATACAGTTTTAGAAAGCCCAGAAGCTGAGCGTTTATTTGGGCACAATATCTACTGGTGTGGGTCATGCCCGCAAGGCAATTTATGAGACCTGAAGTTCCGAATTAGGCACTTGAACTGTTCCATCGGTTTTTTGGGCGTCGGGGTTCACTCGAAATGGCTCAAAAATAGGCGCGTTGGAAAGCCCAGCGTCTGAGCTTTCTTTAAAACTTATAAAATACTGCTGACTCGGATTATCCCGACCTGGATAAAGTATAATTATTCTGCTTTCATATTTCGGAGCTAAAAACAGGATCAAAAAATCAAAATATTCATAACCACGTTAAATTAAAGGTCTAAAACAATTTTCGGAAAATTTAATTTTGGAGAAATGAGTTTTGAAACGATTAATTAAGGAAAAATGAATTCTTAAACGATTAATTTTTATAAAATGATCTAGGACCGACCTATATTGGAAATCCAAATCTCTAAAGACCATTTTTGGATGACCAATAAGATTGCCGTATTTGGCCTACCGGCCAATCAAAACCCTTCTCCATAAAATCATTTCAAAAATTAGTTCTTCCCAAATTACTCGTTTCAAAATAGTTTTATCCCCACTAATTGTTCCTAAATTATTTTATCCTCACTAATCGTTTCTCTACTAACTTCTCCAAAATTAAATTTTCCAAAAACTGGTTTTACCCAAATTAAAGGCAATAATAAAAAAAAACAACTCTTCCTGTAAAAACTCGCAATCCAAGTATTTTTGAGTGACTCCATTTTTCATAAATGATTTTGAATGACTGATCAAAGATTTCCAGGCGCCCTTGACATTTTTCAATGACAAAATCGGAGCGAGAGCAATGATTCCATGAAGTCTTTTCTTCGTCTCCTGGTCTTCGCCTTCTTGGTTTACAAACATCAACAACGTTCCTTGGCTGTGCGCGATGTACCAGATCTTATCTTGCTTCGCAATCTTGCAGATTTTTTTAATCATCGCCGGAATCTCAAACTTTGCAACATCGTTGAAGGTCCACCGCCAAAATTCCCGATCCTTGTCTGGGCCGAACAGAGTTCGTAATCTAGGAGAGGTAAATAAGGGGGACCACTGAATTGTGCCGCCGTGCACCGCCTAGCGTCGCCCGGTCTCGCCGGATTCGAAGATATTTTGTCTTTCAAAAGCGGGTATTTTGATTTTTATGTCAACTTAGTTATTCTGACATATTCATATCAAAATTGCCTTTTTTGGGAGCAGGAGCTGAGGTTTCCGAAGCATTGAGTAAATTGGGAGCTCCCAATTTAAAAAAATTTTTTGAAAATCAACAATTTTTAGTCTAGAATCTTATCTGCCCACCGAAAAATGGGAAACGCTTTCTTTTTAGTATTTTCTTTAGAAGAGACGTTTTTTCTGCTAGATATATTTATAAACGTCTCTTTTAAAACAATATGCAAAAATATGGCCAAAATTACATCTAGTTTGATTTCAATAATTTCAGCAAAATGTATTTATCTCAGATTATGACCAGAGACTATGCTGCATAACGATTAATTGGGATACGGCACAGATTATATTAGAAGAGACGTTTTTCGATTCGATTTATTTTTGAAGGTCTCTTCTGTTATTCGAAATAAAATAAATGCCAAAAAATTTACCTAGATTTAGTTTTATAATTTCCTAAGAATTTATTAATCTTTGATTCCGAAGATTTTCGAAGAAGAAAACATAAACGTCTAGCTCTATCATTTAAACGAATGCCTATTTATACTTTCTTGATCACCTCTTTATAATAATCAGGCAACGATGATGTTGTCACTGAAAGTTTACTAAACCTTAGCCGGCCAAAATGTTATTGCTGACCCCACCTGCCAAATGCACCATTTTGGTTTGTTTTTGGGTTCTTGGTTAGGGCCCGGATTTGGGTTTTAGCTTCGATTTGGATTGAGGTGCGGATTTGGGTTTAGGTTTGAGCATCGGATGAAGCCATCCACTTCGAAGACTCAACCCTAGCTCTTGTTCAGAACAGTTTCCTAGGTCATAGACTATGACTCATAGTTGGGTCGGATGAGAGCCGGATGGTTTCGGACCGGGCGATGCAGGGCGGCACAATTCAGTACCCCCCAAATAAGGAGCTCCCAATTTAACTTCAAATTAGAGAAACAATTGCAAAAACAGTTATGGAAGATCAATTTCTGTTTTTATTCGCTTTGGAATTCTGAATAAATGCTATGAAAATGATCATTCTCATATTTTTTAACACTTTCAATTTTTGGTCTAAAATCTGAAATATATGTATAAAGAATCAAAACTTTTCATCCGAAAGAGACTTTAATTTTCCTCTTGGATAATAACAATGTCTCATCTAAATGATTTAAGCAATTAAAATGTTAAAGTTTGATTTTAAAATTATTGATAAAATTCGTATTTGTAGGATTTTAAGCAATACAGATTTTATGAAAATTTTGTACATCAAAATAAATCGAGTTCTTTCTCAAAAAAATAATCATTTTTTAGCTGCTGACAAAAATTTTAAGCGACTTGGGTGGAACATTTTTTTCGGGGCCATGTATCGAAATTTGGGACATTTTTGAGCAAATAAGGCGAAAAAAATTATCCAGAACTTCCATAATTACAACTGTATTTGATGGCAGTGCTTGATCTATTTGATTATCAAACAAGGAGCTTCTTATTTTAGGAGCATGAGCGAATTTCTGCCTGATTTCGAACTCTGTGGCAGAGATCCTTATGACGACGACTGTAATTGTTGCCTCGAGAATTTCCAAGATAAACATCGTAGCCTTCATCGAAAAGTCGATACGCTTAAAAACGCAGTTAAAATTTTTACTCCTTTAGGGAGATTATTTGAAGTCGAAAATAATTTAATTTTTGAACTTACCGAGCCCATGTTCTGGTCCGGCAGAAACCCAATGACCCGAATCTCCAAGAATCCCATGTTGAAGGAGCACTGCTGGTTTTCCCACATTTCTGAGTCGATGAATTTCAACCAAAAACCCATCATACGTTTCAACTGTAAATACATCACATGGATAATCATTCATTCGAATACAATCATGAATCGCTAGCAAACACTCTGAGATAACTTTTTCTTTTAACGATGATTTGTTGGAGTCCAAAATTTTTGCGCCGCAGTCGTTTAAATCTGACTCAACATCTGAACGGGAAGGCAAGACGATCGAATTGTTTGCGATGTGTTTTATGCGAAGAGCCGAGTATCGCACTTGCTCGAATCGCTCAAAAACCAGGCGGAACGCTTTATTCTTCCACGAAATAGCACCAGAATAAAGATCACTAAAGAAGGAAGACATACAGGATAACTGAAACCCGCTGCCAATATCGACACCCGTAGAGTTCGAAATTTTTTAAGGGTCTTAGCTTACTAAGATAGACTGCCAATCCGGATTCAAAATTTTTGGATTTGCTACGTTGGAGGTAAAAGTTTGGCTTTTATAATATGACGGGGCTTTGAAAATTCTCATTATCAAATTTCAGTGCGAGAAAAGACGCTTTTCTTAACAGTGCCATTAAAACCAGCTCCTTCCCTAGCCCTTGGAAGATTTAAGCTGTGGGTTTAACGCGAGGAAATTAAGAGATGATTGCGAACTCTTGTCTTATTCAAAACTAATTCATTGTTTATGAATTTTTATAATTATTATTGTATTCTAGAAAAATCAATATTTTTTGATTACTATCACCGCGCCAAGAAGAAGGACCTTTTTTAAAAGTTCTTAATTTACAACCGTCGTAATTATCCTGGTGATCATTTTTAAGGATTTCAAAAGGTTAAATTTATAAATTTCTCATGAGAATACACTTCAATATTTTCTTATTTGCAAATCTTCAGAATAAAAGATAAATTCGTTCTTTTGAAATTATAAAACCTAATCTACCATCTCGTATCCCTCCATTGCGCCTGATGATCGGTAGATCGTCAGATTTCCCATAAAGCGGAAGATGAGGTTCAAAATTGAAATCCTGCGCCCGATTAATGCTGTGCACTGATTTGTCGAGCGTGCATCCTTCAAAATTGGAACCTGCCCTTCCGTCCGATGCAAAATCGGACGATCTACGATCATCAGGCGCACTGGAGGGGTACGAGATGGTAAGTAAATTTTTGTCCATTTATTTATATAAAATTTCAGAAGACACATTTATACGAATATCTAATCAAAAAACGTCTCTTCTAATATAAATCTGCGCAGACGCATTATCCATGATAATTTATCCTTATTTATAATTATGCTAATAATCTGAGACATACACATTTTTCTGAAATTATTAAAATCAAACTAGATAAAATTTTGTTAACTGGACGTATTATTCACGTGTAAAAATATATAAAGTCGAAAAACGTCTCTTCTAAGAATAATACTATAAAGTGAGTATTTCCTATTCTTCGGTGCGTAAATTCTAGACTTAAAATTGTTGATTTTCAAAAAAATTTTCGAATTGGGAGCAAATTTGTAGCTCTTAGATTTTGGTCTGCTCGCGCTCACTCGCTCATTTTAGTTTTGAGTATTATTTCAAACACTGGTAGTTATATTTGGGTTATTTTATCTGTAAATTTAATTCTCTGCACTGAAGATGATCCTCTGACCGAAATCGAGGGGCTTAATTGTAAAAGCAAGTCAATCCTTTTTTATAACGTGCTCGCCCCGCTGGCTGAGTTCGATTTTCTAGACCCTAATTGATTTTTTGTCAAAGAAAATTTAAGGAACGACAGAAAATGGAAAAAAACGAATTATTAATAAGAGCATCGAAATATGAAGAAAGATCGAAGAAAATCGCGACCCAAGACAAATATATTTTTATAGGAATTTTAACCGTAAGTTTACCTAAGATTTCGCCGAATTAAGGGATCACCCCCCGATTTCGCCAATTTTGAGGTCGAACTACTTTTGCGGGCTAAGATATCTTAAAGATAAGGGGCGTATTTGAAAGCTCGTTTCTTAATGAGCAATGTCTAGTATGGAAATTAAATTTGATAAAGGGAATCGCTTCTTAAAATAGCTCTTAAGACAATGATAGTCCCCAAACTACTTTTTTTCCCTTTTATCTATTCCCCCTTTCTTATTATTAAGTCCTTTCTTGATCCCTACTCTACAATCTCTAGTACAGGCATCTGATCTATTCAAGGATTATGGTGAGATATTCTGGCTCAGATGCAGCCTGTCAATTAAAGCGATTAGTGGACATTTCAAGAAAAGTAGACATTTCAAGAAAACGGACATTTCAAGAAAGTGGTCATTTCAAGAAACTATTGAAATGTCTGGTTTCCTTGAAATGTCCGTTGCTCTTGAAATGTCCACTTTACTTGAAATGCCTATTTCGATTGAAATGTCCCCTTTTCTTGAAATGTCCCCATTTGATTTCATTAATTTCATTGTTGAGGTGTCGCAGAAAAATAACTGCTTTCCCCCACTCAGACCAAAAATTTAAAAATTTTGAAAAAAATTTTTTTAATAAAATGTTTCAAATATGCTTTTTGATGATTCAAAACCTCCATTGTAAGTAAGGCAGGCGTATAATCTGTTAAAAAACTTTCTCTCAGATTCAAAGTAAAGTGAATTTTGATTAAGGAGTTGTGTGAGAACATTGCAAAAAATTTAATTTCGATTTTAGATATGCCAGGTCGAGAGCATCAAAAAAGTCTATACATCTTCTCGATGACAGTCTAAGATAGTGAAAACATCTCTTAAGAACCCCCGGTCGGCTTTTTCCTTGATTGAAATTTTTCTTCTTGTTTACCATCTAAGACCATCATTTTTGAATTATCTTTATTCGAAAACCTAAATTTCCGACCTTGGTTGGTGCCCAGTGGGCACTGCCCTCCCTAGACGGTTGGCTGAGGGTGCCAGCCTAGGGTCGGCATCGACCACCCTTTTTCAATGTCGGGTCGGGTCGGGCTACTTTGAAACGGGGGCGGACGTTGCCGGTACCAATCCAAAATTGGTACCCGGTACCAAATTTCTGGTACTCGGCACTAAAAAAAATCTAGGATAACGAGCCGAAATTGATTTTAAAAGGTGTATTCGGTCAATAAATGAAGTATGCTTGCACTTCAGCCGCGGAGCGGATACTAGTTTTTTGATGACTCGGAAAAAATGCTTGACTTTGGTACCGGGTACCAAATTTTCGGTACCGGCACCGTCCGGCTCACCTTTGAAATGGCCAAAGTCATGGTCGGGTCGGGTCGAGTCGGCCTTTTGGTCGTGTCGTTGGTCTGTTTTTTTAAACCAATGAGAATGATGGAAAAGCTTCGAAATCGAATGATTTGGGGTATGAAACTTAACTAATATTAAAAATAATATTAAAGATTTTAAATGATTTTGTCGCTAGTGACATTGAAATAAGAAAAACTTGTCGAATCACAGAAGTGAATTTATATCGGAAAATATGCCCGCGAATGAGCGAAAACCGACCACTGCTCCCTTTGTCTAGACACACATATGTTTTGTTTAAAAGTTATTTTGTTTCTAAAAAACATCTATTTCCATGCGATAACTCATTCTAGAAATCCATAATCCTAATAATAATGTAATTATCGGCGTAATTTTTTCAGAAGAGACGTTTTTTTACTTTCGAAATTATTTTATGTTTCTTTTGAGTCTCTTGTGTTTTGAACAACATTAATCTGAATCAAGTTTGAGTTTAATTATTTCGATAAAAATGGAATTTCGGGAGCCAGCTCACACAGGTCCCACCAGCTCCCACTTTTTTGGGAGCTAGTGGGAGCTGGAAGCTGAAGCTTTCAGAATCTCGTTAGCTGATGAGAGCTGGCGTTTTCAAAATTATGGGAGCTGGGATGTTTTTGAAAATTTCGAACTCTGCCTAAGACTCAGTTTTTACGGTAGTATGGAAAAATGTTTCGGTAAAACTCCCGAAATATGGTGAGCTTATTTTCTGATTAATATTTCGGTAATAGCCGAAACTTTTTTCACTTTTTTTCCACTTTTTGAGCAAAAATGTTTCGGCATGCTACCGAAATCTTTTTCACTTTCAAATTCGTTTCTAGCAATAAAATTTCGGCAAAAAAAGGGGGCGAGATGACAGAAATCAAGGAATCTGAGTTCCTCTGACCACGGGGCTTCGCCCCTTAGGTCCTAAGATGCCGGGGTCTAGTCTAGGGTTACTTAGGGTTACCTTCAGTAACCCTAACTAACCCTAGCCTATCCCTCTCGGGTAATTTGTTCCGTCATTTTTGCAGGTGCCCCCTAACCCTAACCTTTATTTTAGCAAATACTAAGATTATAATTTTTATTCATCGAGTTCCTCCATTTTCGTGAAATGAAGAATGAACCCCGACAAATGATCTTCGGAAAATGAGAACAGAAAATTACTCGAGATTTTTGAGGTGAAGAACTGATAAGGCAAACTCATTCAATGCACACACCAGCGCAAATCAGGATGAGAATGGAAAAACCAGCCGAAACTTTATTGCTCAAAAGACATCAATTTCTGATTTTTATTTCGGCTCGTACCGAAATATTTTTCCTAAAAATGAGTCTTATTTGTATAATTCTTTCGGCTGCCTGCCGAAATATTTATCACATTTGACCCCTTGAAAGTGATTAATATTTCGGTCGCTTTTACCGAAACATTTTTCCATACTACGGTTTTTACCGTATAAAATAATGCATGAATTTGCGGAAACCCCCAAAACCGTAGGAAACGACGCGCATCTGGAAGATTCAACGATAATTTGATGCTTCTAGCGGGTATCCCAGAAAATAAACTCAACAAAAATTTTTGATCGCTTTAGGACCAGTTGATTGAATGTTTTCCCTAAATTTTTTTCATCTTTTAGTGCAAATTTGGGGTATATCATCTCATCAATGCGATTTTTTATTTGAGGAATCATCAGTGACCATGAATAAATCAAGAACTTGAATTTTTATGTTTTTCAAAGTTTTCAATTTTCGCTCTGAGTAGGGGGTCAGATATTTTAAGTTTTGAGTATGTGCAACAATTAAAATTAGAAAAAGTAAAAAGTACATTTCAAGAAAAAGGGCCATTTCAATATGAAAAGACATTTCAAGAAAAGAGGATATTTCAATCAAAACAGACATTTAAAGAAAGTAGACATTTCAAGAAATATATTTTTTGCTTGTAATGTCTCTTTTTCTTGAAATGTCCGCTTTCTAGAAATGTCCCTTTTCCTTGAAATGTCCACTAATCAATCAAAGCCTATAAGTAGCTCGATCTATGCGATATTTCCTGTGCACCCAGCTGACTGTTCCGTTCAGTCAGCTGTTCCTGAATGCTCCTTTGCTCTCCGTTTTTATAATAAAACAGTCTAACCAAAGCACGAGTACTAGCGGCAACACTCGTACAGACTCCGATTCAGGCCAGAACATTTCAATAGAATTTGTCTTCACAAAAACTTTTTCGACTGATTTTTGCCATTTTGAGGACTTTTTATGGTAACCGGTGAAAATAATTCGTTGGGACGAATAATTCGGTTTCCTAACGAATAATTCGTTACATACCGAATAATTCGTTGTTTCCAACGAATAATTCGTTTTTTAAAGCGAATAATTCGTTTGTTTTTCTTTTCAAGCCTGACCCTAATCCTAACCCATAAACCTAACCCTAACCCGTACCTAGCATAACCGCTACCTAACTGCTTAAATCAGGTTATGTATGCGCTCCGCGCCTGATTTCAGAGATAAGCTCCTTTTTGAGTATGCTGTCTTTCTTTCAGCCGCGCCTGTAGTCAGGTTTTTTTATGAAAAATCGAGTTGCGAACCTAGCCGGAGGACAGCCTTTCAAAACGAATAATTCGGTAACCCTAACGAATTATTCGGTAACCATCACGAATTATTCGTTTTAAACGAATTATTTTTACGGAAAATAGCTGTTTACCCTTGAAAATAATTCGTTCGGGCAACGAATAATTCGTTGCAACGAATTACTTTCACCGGCGACGCTTTTTATGCTCTTTAGCGCCTCAAACTGGCAAAATCTTTCATCAAAACTATTTTTTTCAGCTTCATTTGAGCTTTCCTTATTCCTATGACTTCGAAAAGTCGAAAATTTGGCAAATTTTTTCTAAGTTTTTTTTTTATTAAAATAAGGCACTTTCAAAGCTTCGCCCCGGCGTATCACGTGACGTTCACCCCTTGACATAATATATTGAAATGATCCAAAGACAATGAGGATTTTAAAAATGTACCACACAAAAGCTCTTGATGAAATTTACAAATCGGGAGGGAATCCCGAAAATTTGAAAATTCTGCATTTATTTTTATCAGAAAACAAAGAATTTTTTCCGGTTATTTCTTTGTTTATATTTAGATATTGCTTGTTTACTTCAATTGGGTGGTCACGTGGGAATATGCAGCCTCCCCTCCAGTTTCAAAACCGTTTCTTACAGAACAGGAAGAACAAAGCGGTAAGCTAACAATTCCCGCAAGAAATTTCAGGGACCTTTTTTAGAGTCGGTCGAGAATCGAATGAATCGCCGTTATTTGGTCAAGAACCTTGCTTGTACATATCGACAACATCTTTATGCAATGGCGGCCGATAAAAATAACACGATTGAGGATCTACTGGACTTTCACAGATTAATTGAGGGTTTATATGTTGAACCAGGCGCTGAACCGAAGGATCCATTTTCTTGGAAGCGATTTGATTCGATGGCTCCGATCAAATGGAATGATAAATTCGGCTCCAAATATATATTCAAAGGAAAAAGGTCAAGTTTAGAGCCAAATTTCAGTGTTTTCGCGCTACGCCATGCCGACTCCCCAAAAGTCAAAAAAGACTTCCTGATTTGCCTCCCTCCCAAAGCGGGGACATCCAACTGGCAAATCGCCCTCGCAAAACTTTCCCAGACAAGAGAAGAAATGGCCGCAAAAGGCGTCGTGCTTGAGGATGACTCGAATAAAAACGTCTTTTATCCGGAGGCTTTGTATGGCTTTGTTCCGAGATTTCATACAGTCAAGCATGCTGCGCTGTTGCAAGGAAAAGAGAAGAGATACATAAACACGAGGGATCCATTTACGAGGGCAAGATCAGGTAAAATTTATACCGTAAAAATAAGGAGGGGAGCCCCTTAAGTCTCAATCTTCTTTAAGGCTGGAGAGACAAAATCCAGTACTACCCAGATGATCCTAAGCATGAAGCAAACAACAGACAATTCAACTCCTACGTCGAGAAAGCCCAAAAAGAGCCTGGCCCACCCTCCCCGCAAAAATTCAAAGTCTCGCTTGAAAAATGGCTGCGAATGCTGGTTCACGACACAAACGACACGGCAATGAATCAACATTGGAAAGCTCAAGACGAATGTTGTCATTTTGTAAGTTGCTCTTTTTTCGACCATCCGCTGTCGTATACTTAGTTCAACGGTTGCCCGACGGTTGTGTTTTGATAGCTTTTATCAGCCATAACATGAACACACTTAGATTTTATGGGAGCTCGCAGAATAAATAGCAAAAACATAATGAATGACATTGAACAACATGAATGAATTTCATTCGAGACTCGTAAAGTGCTGAAACCTGCAATTTATGCGCAAAAAACTGGCAAAAAAGCGTCAATTTCGACCAACAACTTTGATCAGATTTTTTGGCAAATCAGGCGTCGAGATTCAACCGACAAGCGAATCAAATTTCCGAAAAAAAATTTTCCGAGATATTCGAATTATTTGTCGCATTTTTCAATTTAAGGATATTTTCTAGTGTGCGATGGACTACGAATACATCATCCACGGCCGTCTATCAGAAGAAGAATGGCCTTGGGTCCTGGACAAGCAGGGCCTAACCGGCATTCTCGAGCTCGCCCCTCGTTACGGCGGCCCAGACCCCGATTCCGGCTGGTTTCATCACGAAGCCCAAGGATTCGTAGAAATACCAATCGACTTGATAAAAGAACTCTACAGACGATACTACTTCGATTTCGTCGCCGGAGGTTACTCTCCTCAATTCGTTGAAAAATTCATTAGTGCAGTTGAAGAAGCCCAAAATAACCTAAGATAGAGTGCGAAAACTGTTCAAAATGCCAAACAAAAATATTCTGTAAAGGAAAATAATTTTTAACCAAAAGTGTTAAACAAAAATTATTCTATTCTTATACCTAAAAAAGCTGTAATAAATATTTATTAGAAAGGTTTTGACGGTTTCGAATTATTGAAAAATAGGGTTGGCCGAAAAAATCGGCAAGCCCCTTAAATTTAGACATCAAGGAACGGGGCTGAGACGGCCCGAAAGATTCGAAAAACTACCAAAAACTGATTTTTTCATGTTCTTAGACTTAAAAGAGTAGTCTGACCCTAATTTCATTTTGGAAATAGATCATGTACGTACTTGATTGAAAGAACTGACGCTGAAGAACATTCTTACATGATTTATGCTGACGTCAGCATGACTGATCGAAAGAAATGACTCATTAAATAATGGTTTTATTGTTAAAAATCGAAAAAATCGAAATTTTCAAAAAATATTTTTTTCAATGCCTTCCCGTTGTGCGACCGATTTCATTTATATATCAAAATGATCTTCAAAAACGGCGCTTCGGATGAGATGTGAAATGTGTTGGTCGAAACACCTTCGATTTTTTTGGCCAACCCTATTTGAAAACTCTCCATTATTAAACACTCCCATTTTTTATATAAAACTGACGCAAGTAGCTTTTAACTACTTTGAGATGGTGGTCGTGGAGATTTTTATTTACTTGATAATATTTGAAATTTTGATAATATTATTACATTCCTTGATAAAAAAGGGAGCATTTTTGGTCTCTAGCTTTTTTTTATTGGACCAACTTTAATTAAGAAAAATTTCGATTTTATGTTAAGGAGCGGGTCGACGAGAATCGGAATTTTTAAACCAATTTTCCCGAAAAATCCGATTCTGTAAACATATTTTGACTTATCAGGTGAGAACAGAAGGGTATTTAGAATAGAGCGGCAACGAGTTTCGCGGGAGTTTGCAGAAATTTCTTGCACTTTATTACCAAATGTGGTAGAAAAAAAATAGCGAAAAAATCGAAAAATTGCCAAAATTGCGATTTGGGGTCCACTTTGAGACACGATTACGCCCTTTTTTTTTGGACAATTTTTTTTCTTATTTTCGCCGCTGTATTCTTCAAACCCTTTTCTACTCACCTTACCAATCAGAATTATTCATTCAAAGCTAGTTTTTCCGGAATTTTGGTTGAAAAAATCCCGATTCTCGTCGACCCCCTTAAGAAATCGCCATTTTCTGGAAATTTCATACGCGTTTCTTTGCACTATAGAAACGGGGTCAGAAAGGATAAAAATGCTTGTTTATTACAGTTGTTTTACATATCTTATTTTGAAAATCATACGAGCACTATTTCGGGTAGCTATTTTTTGAGCGTGGGCCCTACATATGACCCCTTTTCAAACATCTTTCCTTAAATATAAGCCTTCAAAGATTTCGAAAATGCATGTAAATTTTACTTAGCGTAAAATTCGGATATTTTTCGGTTTTTCAATGTCCTCTGGTGTGTAGGTTAGTACGGATAAAAGTTTCGGCAAACGCGCCCGAAATGAAAATTACTTAGAAAGGCATGAATGTGATAAACATTTAGGCAGCCTGCCGAATTTTTCTCGGAACATTTTGTTAAAGTTTTTTTCCTCTTTTGTGGACCCCATTTTTGTGGACATTTTCTCCATTTTGAGGGGTTTTCATGGGACACTTTTGCAAGGATAATGTTCCACTTTTGTGGACATTTGTCCAGCCGTTAAGTTTGAAGGAAAAAAGGGTGTTTTTACAAAAATCAGGTTTTTTTTGTAAGAAATCAATGGCTTATTCTGTTTAATTGACCAAAAATGGTAAAAAAGGCAAAATAAAGCGTTTCGATGATGAAATTTGCAATTTTTGAAGAAAAATTTATCGAAGAAAAAATTTTAAGCTCCTACGGTGAGACATTTTTTGAAGACTCTTGCCCACTTTTGTGGATATTTTATGAAAATTTGGGACAAAAAATGTCCAAAAAAGAGTAAATAATTGTACCTTTTCGATTACTGCGAGAATCAAGAAACTTTGGAGTCCAAAGTTTGGACATTAAAGTCAAAGTCAGCGGTATTTCGATAGAAAAAGAGAATATCAATTCTGAGGAAGAAAAATTGAAGATTTTTAGCTGAGAAAATGGGACAGGAGCAAATCTGTTAGATTTTTACGTTAAGTTTTTTGACTCAAATTGAATCAAATCAACGAAAATTAAAGCGAATTTATTGATTTTCGCTGTTATGGCTTCCTATTTCGTTGTTCTAGAAAAAAATTTAATTTCAACTTCTTTGCGTGTGACACTTGGGCACGAAATTGCCTCAGAACATTGCCTTCAAGGAATTATCTTAAGGATACGAAGAAAAAGAAACTAATCGAAAATTGCAAGAAAAATGTCTTTTTCTTTATATCTTTCGTCTTTTATTGAAAAAATATCTTGATTGGCACAAAGATGGGCACACACAATCGCCTTAAGGCAAATATAATAAAAAAAACAGTCAAAGCAAAAAAAAATATTTTTTTTTGTTTTTTTCTATTTTTTGATATTTTCGATATTTTCTGGTGATTCTTGATGAATCCTGATGCATCTTGATGGCGACAGATTTCTTGACAAATAATAACATGTTTTTATTCAAGAAAAAATCAAACATTCATTCACCCCACCTTACCCCAAATCACAGAAAGGGAACTTAATCCCAAATGACCTGAAAGATTTAAAGCAAATCTAGTGACGTGTATCTCAGTTTTCTCAATTTCCGAAAAATGATAATACGATTGTATAATGCGACCCTTAGACAACTCTAAAAGCTTGATTTTTAAATTTTTATTCAGATGTATCAAAATTCTAAAAATCGAAAATCGTGGGGAGCCTTATGGTAAATATATTCATATTTGATTGTCTACCCTGGAAATTTTCCTCGCGAGGACCTCGGTAAGGCCAATCATTTTGAGGCCGGTTTTTATTGAGGAACTGCCTTCCATATCCTCTCTTAGGCCCTCTTTCATTGTACCAGTCTCTTGCCGGTCTTCCTGGCGGTTCTGTGGCGGCCGCTCAAAATGTCGGCAATTGCCACCGTGGCCTCCAGCGCGTCGAGTGTCCCTGTGTTGTCTTTCGCAAGCGAGAGGGCAGGGATCATCGTTAGGGCGCGAGCCATAGATGTCTCCGTAGCGATCTCGAAGATAGTCATCCCTATCCACGTACCTTTCCAAGGATGAACCATCAGTCGAGCGTCGCCTTGAGGTGTAGCGTTCCCTGCTCCGACCTCGAATCTCCTCAGCGCGATAGGGCTCCTTGAATGCTGGGCGAACTGGGATATGGTGCCGCCCTGGGTCATATCTTCCGGGGCTGTGGCTGCGATCTCTAGCCGCTCTCCCGTCGAACTCAGGGATCTGTCTTTGTCCCGAGCTGCTTCAGAGTTCTAAATGAAGCAATGAAGCCTGTTTTCTACCATCAGGGATCCCTTGAGTGCGCTGACTCATCCGCTGTGCCATCAGCACGCTTTCTTTTGGCCGCTTCAGAGGCAAAAGGGAAAGATGGGCGCTGTATTCTTAGGCGCACTGCAGGGATAAGTGATGGTAGAAAATGTAATTAACTTGGTACAGGCCAAGCAAGGCAATTCTAAGGTATTTCATTGAAGCTTGCGAAAAAAAACCCCGTATTTTTGGTTCTAAACACGTCTCAAGATTAAATTTGCTGTTAACGCTTGAACGCACATTTTGAAGGGGCGTCGTAATTATATATCAAATGATTAATGGAGGATTTAATGTAAACAAGTACTTCCGGTCCGGAAACAAGTATTTCCGGACCGGAAACACGTATTTTCTGGCCGGAAGTGCAGTTGATAAATAATAGCCGGAAGTTCAATGTTAATTTTTTTCGTAATCAATAAGTTCCGTTGTATATCCGTAAATTATCCAAATAAAATTTCATTTTTGATTATTTTAAATTCCTATCCAACGCTTTATTTTATAAATAAAAAGGATGAGCGAAATAAAATTGAAGCAAAAGAGAAAATGAGTACGATAATAAATGGAGAAATTTTACCAGATATGCGGTTTGCCTATCCTTACAGAATTCTTTTGAGCGGATCATCAGGAGCTGGAAAGACCTATCTAGCAAAGCAAGTTTTACAACACAGAGATATTTTTCAGAAGAAAACAAAACGTGTTGTCTATTTTTATCCTTGTTTTCTTGAAGATAAGCCTGTCCAATGGGATGATCTTGGTATCCCTGTTAGTTACAGGGTTGGTCTGCCTTCTCAAGAAGAAATTGACGAGATTCCCTCACACTCAACAATTGTACTTGATGATTTGTACGAGGAAGCAATTCAAAGTCAGGCAATTGATCATCTTTTTCGAGTTACAAGTGGAAAGAAAAATCTAAACGTGATGATAATGACTCAAAATAACTATGCCCAGGGAAAATTCGGACGAAATATCAAGCTCAACTGTAACGCGACATTTCTCTGTAGAAACTGTCTTGATGGAACAGTTAACAAACGTGCTTGTAGTCAAGCTGGACTTCTAAAAGCTTACAAAAGAGCGACGGAAGAGAACAAGAATAAGCAGTATCCGTACATGTTTCTGGATCAATCACCTCGAGGCCATGCCTCAAGCTATCGACTGTATACGGATATATTCTCCGATTATCCAGTTGTCTTCTCAGTTAGCGGAATGAAGGCTTGCATCGTACCATACAACGATTTTAAGCAAAATTTCGATATAATCGACAGAGACAATACTTTCGAGGCAGTTGAAAAGAAAGATGCGAAGAAAAACCCGCCGTGCAAAACAGTTGAATCAACCAGAGTCAAATCAAAGATTAGATGCGACAGTTTTACCGAAGACTCGTCAGAGTCGGAGGTTGAAAGGTCAAGATCCAGAAAGCGGAACAAGAAGTCAAGTGTCGACAAGAAATCAAAAAAGAAAACAAAGAAGCGAAGACGACAGTCAACCTCAAGCGAAGCGTCTTCGGAAGACGACAGTTCCGAGAACGAGAAATCAAAATCAAAAAAGAATAAGCGAAGACGTCCTTCAACCTCAAGCGAATCCAGTACCGAATACGTCAGCTCAGACGAAAAATCAAAAAAATCGAAGCAAAGAAGAAATTCAAACTCATCCGAAAGTCCAAGCTCCGAAGAAGTCAGCTCTGGAGGATCAGATTCAAGCCCTTCACGAAAACGTGGCAAGCGCTCCAGCGTTCTCAGCGAAAGTAGCGGAATTTCTCAGGAAGAGTAAAGTGTCGAGTACCCATCGTCGTATTTCCAAAAAGCGATTTCCTCGTCGACGATTTATTGTTGACACTCAGTTCAAAATATTCCAGGGTGATCTTATTGATTACCAGAAACTCAAATACTCTAATCGACATCACGTTTTTATTCTTCTCATCATTGACTGTTTTTCACGCTATGTTTGGACAAGACCACTCAAAACAAAATCTGGAAAGGATGTGGCAAATGCTCTCAACGATATATTTCAAGATTTTCTGGAGTGGCCGAATTCTTTGATTACAGATGAAGGTCTGGAATTTTACAACTCAAATGTGCGAAAAATTCTGGATCGTTATGGAATGCATCACTATAGTATCAAAAGTAAAATGAAGGCGGCGATAGCAGAACGTGCGATTCAAACCTTCAGGAAACGTATTCATCTTTTCATGAAAACTAAGAAGACAAAAACATGGATTGATGTTCTCCCGGCAATAACAAAAGGGTATAACTCAACTCCTCATCGTTCCATTGGCATGGCTCCAAACCAAGTCTCACCAAAAAATAGAGCACAGGTTTTCACTCGACTTTATCCCGACATTGACTTGAAAGTCAAGCCCAGACTTAAAGTTGGCAACGTAGTGAGAGTAAAAAAGAAAAAAGAACTTTTCGAAAAAGGATACACCCAAAATTGGTCAGACGAAGTTTACATCATCACAGACATCCGTCAAAGAGCTGGTATAGTTTGGTATAAAATTGCTGACGAAGAAGGAAATCGTCAACCTCGAATAAAGTATTATTTGAACTCAATCTAGTCGCCAATGATATTGAATCTTTTCGGAAGAAGCAAGGAACTAAAAGTTCCTGAAATTTTATTTGATAACAACGAAGAATACTGTGTTCAAATTGTAAGCGCTGTCTGTAATCTCATGACCACTCCACGTGACGTTGACATTTGTTTCATTGAATTTAACTCGATTGCTTCTTGTTATGGTCAACCTAATACGCTGCAGATGGGTCAACTCCGTCCAAACGATAGGTGGTGCCATTTTCCCGACCAACGCTCCCTTTTCTTCCCCTTGAACGTATATAACTGGCGGGATACGAGATTCTCAATCGACTTAGGCGAAGAACACGTTGTCCAACACTTTTCTCTCCAGATCGAGATTAAAACAAGAGAATGAAAACCATTATTTCCGCGCTCGAAAGTCGACCAAAAAAATGGTTTCCCAAATCTCAGTCGGGCGCAGGAAAAAGAAAATCAAAAAAAGCTCCAACCAAACTCAAACTCACTCCAGCAAGAAAAAAACCTTCCTCAAAACCAAAGAAAAAAAGAAATTTTACAACAAAAGACTTGAAAAAGTCAAAGAAGTCGTCCAAAAAGAAAAGAGCATGAACTCTTACTATATTGCTAAACGTTTAGAACGTGTAGAAAATTTCCTTGGTGTTTTCTCTATTGATACATTACCTTCTCTTTATGAATATCCTGCTTTTCTAGTTGTTAATCTTTCACCAGAAAAGTCAAAAGGTTCTCACTGGATAGCAATTCGTCTTGAAAAGTCAAAAATCGAGATTTTTGATAGTTTGAAACTAGGAAAATATCCAAAAGAGTTAACCGACTTTTTTGGTGATCGAAAAAGATATTTTTATAAAAGAATTCAGTCAGATGCGTCATTTTACTGTGGTTTCTACGTTTGTTTCTATGTTATCTTTCGCTCCCTTTATTCTCTGAAAAAACTCTCCTCTATCTTTTCTAAAAATCTTTCTGAAAACGATCAACTCCTTTTTGACAAACTCTCTCATATTTGGTGATTAAAATTGGTGAAAACGATCTTCAAATTTTATCCATTTAGACTGAAATTATGATAGAAGTTGAGTATTACGACCAGAAAGTCGTCAAGCGTCACTATCCAAGAGAGGTAGATAGTTTGACCGGTCGTCTTCATTTCCACTTCGATGCGGATCCAAATCTTTTTCTCGTCAAAAACAACATTGCGATTCATTTTACGATCGAACTGGACAAGAACTACATCCCCTGCAATGGATTCGCAAGCAAACAGTTTGGAAAAACAGAAGTTGCCGTGAATTCTCAAATAATTGATAATTCCAATTCAAAGTAAGAGTTTGTGTTCATAAATATGGCTAACTGTTATCTTAGCGCGCATTATATGCTCGCTGATTATCTGACAAAGCTGACAAACTATGATCCTCAATATGTGATGACTGCTTTCCAGATCGAGGGGTACTACGACGAGTACAATTTTGAGACACTTGCAACTGATGCGGCTAAGGAAGAAATCAGAGACGGTAGGAGACCAGGCTGCTTTGTCAACTCTGATGGGAATTATGTTTACGAACTCATCTTCTTACCTACTCACGGATTCTTCCTTGAAAATAAACCTCTTCCTCTCAACACTGATCTATCACTGACGCTCTACCGTTTAAAGCATGAGTTCTCTACAATTTTTATTGGAAGCGACCCAAATGATAAGTTGCCGGCTGGAGAAGCTCTCAAAATAACAGATGCCTATGCAATGGTTGAATATGTGTCCTCTCCAAGCTTGAGAAATCATTTTGCGAGAATCAAATCGAAACCGATCTCCTACAAATTTAATGACACTATGATAAAGACAATGGCTTTACCAAAAGGTCGTAAGCAAGTTCAGCTGCTCAATGTTACTGGTGGAAATACACCCGCGTACATGTTCTTTGGACTCATCAAAACAGATGCCTTGTTTGGATCGGATGCTTTTGAGTCCACAAATTTCAGTTTTCATCAGGATCTTACGCAAATAAACGTTACATTAAACGGGCAGTCGCTCCATGGATATCCTCAGGTAAGATAACATAGAAGAATAAAAAAATTTATCATATTCCTAGAAAATCACGAATCAGTATCCAATTCTCCCTTATTGGAAATTTCAAAATGCTCTTGGAAGAATCTCTCAAAGCAACTTGTCTTATGTGACATCCATGGATGCGTACAAGAGCAATGCAATTTTCGCTCATGAATTTGAGGGCGAGGAAATATCACAAGGATGGCTCTCCTTCACATTTGATTTCAACAAACCACTAGATGACGACGATGACTATCACATTGTTATATGGTCGATTGTGTCTGTCAAACTTACGATTGACGAACATAAACAAGTCGAAAAAACGTTATTGTAAAGGTAAACATAAAAGAATCACTGGTAGTAAAAGATGCACTGACTAACCAGTGCTTTAGCACTTCTGGACTTGATTTGGTCGTTTTCGTCATTCTCAAAAAGATGTTTGTCACGATTAAATCTTTCACTTTTCGATCACACAACGGAGGCGGATTTTTCAAAGTCAAGGGAACTTATATTCCAGGCTTTGAGACTCATTTCGACTACACCCAACCTGCTTCAGAAATCAACTTGAGAATGTTTGAAAAGACTGCAGCTGAAATTTCTGAAACGTTCGCTACTCTTCTGTCCTTCACAGAATCTCATCAACCTGCGTCCGTCAACCTTACTTCCGAGTCAAAGCAATCCGACTGGGAAAGAGAGCACAATATCCCCGCTTCGTACACTTTCCGATTCAGTCGACTTCCGATTCAGCCAACCCCGATTCAGTCATTTCCCGTCCAGCCAACTCCGATGCACTCAACTACAATCCAGCCATCTCCCATCCAGCAAACTACTATTCAGCCAACTCCAATCCAGTCATCTCCGATCCAGCCAACTCCGATGCAGTCAACTCCAATCCAGTCATCTCCGATCCAGCCAACTCCGATGCAGTCAACTCCAATTCAGTCAACTACAATCCAGCCATCTCCCATCCAGCCAATTCCAACTCAGTCAACTCCAATTCAGCCGACTTCCGAACAACCAATGTCCATCTAATCTTTTCGTTTTCTGATCGTTTTCTGCTTCTTTACTCGAGTAATAAACTTTGGTGTTTTTTTACTTCCTTGTCGTTCTTTCGAGCAGGTTTCTTTATTTATAAACATTGAAGACGCAAAGTTCCGCTCGAGCAGACTCAGTGATCCAAAGCAGGCGCTGATTTTTCCAGCGCTTTTGACTCTCATAGTAGAATTTCTAAGTGATCTCATTCTCAACAAAAAATGACTCAATCCAAAGAACATTTTTTTCAAATTGAAGCCTTCAATTTTGAAGAGAACGGTTGTGGAGGAGTTTTCCACATTGATGCCATCTGCAACCCGCTTATCGACGATACTTGTCCTGTTTTGGTTGACGAATTCAGGTTCCATGTCCAGATAACAGTCTCAACCAAGCAAGAGGTTGAGATGGAATCTCGTCTTCTAACGGAATTATGCAACTCAAAAAAGCCTGTGCAAATACGCTGTCTTGAAGACCCTCTTACTTTGGAAGAAAAAGAAGCTGGAAAAAAAGAATCCAACAGAGAATTGTCCATACTGATGGCCGATATTGACAAATGGGCGGCTACCAAGTGCTGAATCTACAGATACAACTTTTGAAACTTTCTAGTCTTTATTTGTGGTGCTTTGCTTTTCTGTACTTTTTTAGAATGACTGTGACGCTTCCTTTTCTTTACTTTTATACTGTGGTGCTTTGCTTTGTAAATATTTTTCGGTGAAAATAAATGTCGGTGATTAATCTTTTTGTTGTTCTTTGAAGCAGGATCTTTTGTTTATAAGCATAGGAAGCGGAAAGGCGGTCACAAGGCTAGAAAAAGAGCACTGGTTAGCCAGTGCATTTGAACTTCAGGAGCAAAAATGATTCTTCTCTCATTCGCAAAATGATCGTTACAATTAAAAACTTTGATTTTCACACCGCAAACAAAGGAGGAGTTTTCTACATTGACGCGGCAGTGATCTCAAATGCAGATAATTTCTTTCCTGATGGATTCTCAGGAGAAGAGATTGAGCTCCGTCTGCCTATTCGAACTAAACATGAACTCGAGGTTGAGTTCCTTCATCTGCTCGAGTTTCGCCACACTAAGAAGGAGCTTCTGGTCGAGATCGAACGCGAGGCTCTTCAGACACTGTCTGAGCAGATTAGAAATGAGCCAAAAGCGTACATTTTCCGGTACGCTTCGCCGTTTCAACCTGAAAAAGAGCCATCTCATGACTGTCCCGTTTGCGGTCAAGAAAATGTCTTCAAATCAACATCAATTCTTGGATGGAACTTGGGCACGACGCCTGACGATGATGTTATAACGCAGCCCGAGCAAACAGGAACAATTTACATTGACGGAGACAATCAAGTTGTTGCTCCACCGCCACGCTCCGGAACTTCCGCATAAATAAATCTGTCTTCCCTACTCCGTTAACTCCAAATTTCTACTTCTTTTCATATCGGTGTCAACAAATCTGTCTTACCTGCTTCGATTACTTTTAATTTCTGCTCCATTATGTGTCGGTGTGAATAAAAATTGTTTAAAAATTGGTATTTCAGCTTTTTTGGTTAGCAAATTTCAAATAACGAGATCGGATTTACAGACTTAGATTTTCGGAAACAGTTTTTGTTGATTTTCAACTAAGGTTTGCTGACATAAATTTTCAACTTCATGGGTGAATGGTAAGTCATGGGTAAAGATAGTTTCGGATGATAAGTCAAGCTGAAAATTTGAGAGCAGCGCCGGCTCTGTATAAATAATCGAACAACAGTAGAATCAGACACATCAAAATGACAGAGTTAACAAAAATTATTTTTCTTAATAAATGAAATGAAACAAGATGAATATCATGATGTTTTCTGCCATAAGCTTGTTCTGACTCTTGCTGTAATTTGACGTAATAAAGTTGATCGTTAGTAGGTATTATTTGGATCAGAGCTGTTGTCTGAGGTATAATTTGGATCAGATCTGATTTGTATTATTGGGATCTGGCCATTCTTGAGAGGTATCATTGGCATCACGCAAGTCTTGAAGGTATAATTGACTTAGTCCAGTTTTTGAAGGTAAAATTGACTTCAACATTTGAATGCCAATTCGTTTGTTCCTCCGGATTAAAACATTTGTGCGTTGAAACAGGATTGTATTTTGATACGTTTACTTCCGGCGGAAGGGGCGGCGCACGCGAACGAGTGCGGCGCAAGTTGTTAGCGCGCTGATCCCGCCGATAAAACCGGAACAAGATGAGGGAATTTCATCAAATATCAAAACTAGATTTTAAAAGATGTTCGATCTTCCCTCGAATCCCGACGGCATTGCTCAAGCTTACAACCTTACCAACCAATTTATACTCCTTCTCGAAGCACTTTGGACCACGATCAGAGACCAATACACTATGGCGGTCGATAAAGAGACCTATCTTCGACGAGTTCGTAAGTTATTCTTGAGTCTTTTCAAATACTTATTTATATCAAGGCGGACTACTGGATCATTTGGACTTTGACGTGCCCCTTGTGGCAAGACTCGAAGACATGATTGAGAACTCAGACGGTGAAATTGACATTGACGATTCCAGCGCAGCTTCCTCCTCCGAAGATGATTCTGATGATGAAACCTACTATCCAACAACTCCACCAAAAACGAGAGGTAAAATTTATTTTTAAAGCAATTTCAGAACTGGTTTTTTAGCTGCCAAACGACAATTATTCGAAACTGATGAGCCAAAACAAAAACGACAGAAAGTCGACCAGTTTGATCAGCTTGAAGACGATGAGGAAACCTACCATCCAACAACTCCACAAAAAACGAGAGGTAAAATTTATTTTAAAAGCGATTTCAGAACTGTTTTTTAGCTGTCAAACGAAAATTATTCGAAACTGATGAGTCAGAACAAAAACGACAGAAAGTCGACCAGTTTGATCAGCTTGAAGATGATGATGAAACTGACATTGGAAGCGATAATGACGCCGAGATCAACGACGAGGCAGACGCTGCGAGAGAGGTTATCGCTGCTGAAGATAACGGTATAGCTGGAGTGGGTGTCTCAGCTGAGGAAAACGACGTAGATGAAAACAACGATGATAGCGGAGCTGAGACTGGACCGGATAGCGAGGAAGAATGGGCGGCTCGACCAAAATCGCAAAAAAATCAACTCTGGACCCAAACGACCTGGGACATGTGCCAACCTTCCACAAGCCGAGCTTCGATGTACACGCCACCGCCGACGCCTCCTCCATTTGACTCTCCTCGTCCTCCACCATTTGAGTTTCCTTCTCCGGCTGGACGGTCATCTGTTATTCGATCACCTACGGTTCCCGTATTCCGACCAATTACCACTCAACAAATGATGGCTTCAGCAATCACAACAAGTAAATCTTTTTTATTGAAGCTTATGTTAACTTTAATCAAGTTGATTTGACCGGAGATCCTTCCTCTGACGATGATGATCAAGTTGTCCCAGGTAGTTTGAACTTTTAAATCCTTGTCTAACAATAATTTAGCAATCGACATTGCGTACGCTGATGATACCTTTGGCTCCTTGGACGCCGAACAATTCCAGCAGATCGTCGATGAAAACGACGCGCAAGCGAGAGCAGAAGAAATCCGACAGCTGCAATCGGAGCTGGAGAATCCGTCAAGAGGAGGTACTCCTGATACCATAATCGATGCCTGTTTATCGCCGTACCTTTTAGGGGAGACCTTGGATACAGCACTCTCCATGGGACTGATCACGCGAGAAACTGCTGAATTCATCGATGAAACCGCCGAGATGATGGAAGACGAAGAAGATCCTCCCGCCAACGTGACGCCAGAAAAAACCTTTACCGAACTTTAAATTTCTTCCTTTTTGCAAACTTTCCTGTTGCTTTACTTCCGGTGATTATTTCTTTCAATAAACATGCTTTGGTGAACTTCCGTTGTTTTTTCTAGCACTGGTTTGAAGCATTGATCAAGGGCATAAAAATGAGCTTGATAGCTCGAAAATATCATTCTTAAAAAAAAATGAATCGCAGCGCACCAGTCTCAGATGAATTTACTTTTCTCGACTTGATTTGCAAAATCAAGGAAGAAATCATCAGTCAGAACAAAGCTGCTACAACCCTAGTTGTACTCGCGCTTGCTGCTTACTGCTGGATGGTAATTAAGATTTGGAAGATGAAAGCAAAGAAGAAATCGACTGCGAAAAGAGCCTCGATCGTTGTTACTGATTCTGATCCTGCTTTGTCTCCTCAAGATTCTTGGGTTTGATTTGCTCTATCTCCTGTAGGTGTTTAATAAAACACAATGGATTGATATTTAACGAGTTTATTTTGTCATATATTACTGGCAGGTTAGATTTGGAACTGTTACGAAATATAGCGCAGAAAATTTGAAGCTTGAACAAAATTTGGCACTTGAAGTGGGATAAAAGGCAGGTTATCAGTCATGGCTAGTTTTGAGACGGTAGAAATACATTATCAATGAGAATTTATCTATCAAAGAGTTTCTTTCAATAAAAGAAAGTTTTCAATAAGGCTTTATCAATCAAAAGGTGGAGATATCTGTGAATAAATTACTCTTCCATTGCGTCCATCTGATCGTATTCCATAGTTTCGTCCTCGCTATCGATCTCCATTTTCTCAAGAAGACTCGTCCATTCCATTGTTCCTTCGCTAATCGTCATCTGCTCCATCATTATCGTTGCTTTTTCGACGTCCTTCTTGAATTCTTCTGCTAGAAAAGTCATAAATTCATTAAAGCCGGAAGTAAAACTACCTTTGATGAATTCCAGAAGAAAGGATCGAGTTTCAACTTCCATTGTTTCGTCGGTTATTTTCATCTTCAACATCATTTGCGTGACTAAGTTCACATCCTTTTTGTATTCTTTCTCTGCTAAAAGATGATGAACTTGTGCAATTCCAAGGAGTAAAATACCTTTGATAAGGTCGGAAACTGAGTCGAGATTTGCGTCGATAGCGGCTTTGATGGTCGCGCGCTCCCACGAGGTCAAGGGGCGCTCGGATTTGAATTCTCTCATTCTGCTTTGATTGCGTTTTTTTTTGGCGCCAGCGTGGCTAGACCTGCGGTGAGCGCGCCTCTCTCAGGCTAGGTTCTCGCGAGCGGGGGTTGAACGGGCGAATCAGTGAGGCGCCTGCTCAGGGGCAGGCTCATTTCAAGCACACACTTCACTCGCTGCAAGTTCATGCACAAGACTTTTCATAGAATTCGAAAACAGAGAAAAAGATTGAAGATAAGAGAAAACTAAGAGAAATCACCTTAAGTTTTTCAATTATACTAGTTGTAAGAAACCTAGTCGTTTACGACTATCTTTATTAAAATTTATTTCTGAATTAAGTCTCATATTTGCTTTTACTTCAATTGAATGAATCTTCAAGTTCTTCTTTAAATTATTTCTTGCTTATGGAGATATATCATTTTTGAAATTCAGATGACTCGATTTCCCATAAATCTCTCCGGAGGAGAAGTTGCTACGACCAAAATTCCGACCGAATCGACAAGCACATCCTCTGTCTCCCCATGTGAGTTGGTCACCGAGTTAACAACTGTTAACAATCAAGCGGACCCAATTGAAGCAACCAACTTCAGTTGGTTAAAACAAGCCGTTTTCACAGGTACTGAAGAACATTTAATTATCAATTCCAAATATTTAAAAATAATTTCCAGCGGCAGTTACTTCTACGCTTTGGTTTTTCTTCATGATTTACAAAAAATACGAAATGCGAATAAGAAGATCAATCACAGACTGCTGCAGATCGACTCTTTCTCGAGATAGGAAGGATCCCAAAGGTAATTTTAGACAATTTGACTCCAACTAACAATTTAACAAAGATAACAGAAGCGAAGAAGAGTTGAAGACAAAAGACAAAAAGCCTGATGTCAAGAATGAACGATCAAAGAACGACGAAGAGATCCGAGAGCAAGTCACGACAAAAAAGAAGAAAGATGAGAATTGGACTCCTGGACCGGACTGGATGCGATTGAATCGTCTCTGGCGAGCAAAGAAGAAGGAAGAGCAATCCCGAATAGAAGAAGTTTAGGACAAGAAAGAAATTTGATTGTAGATTAGAACGATAATTGACGGAATAGAGAAACTTCTAATTTTCTTTCAATTCTAAGACTGAACCTCGAATCATGGAAAACTGCGACTTTTACGCTCAATACAGATTCGATTACGTTTCTGAAGAAGAAGTTGGCGCCCTCTGTGCCTGTCGAGGTAACTTAGAGATCACAAGAGAATATACTTTACTTATTTTCTCAAGAGTCGATGGAAGAAAAAGTCGACGTGGACTCCATTCTCCAGATCGCAAGCTTGTCCGCTGTCGGAGCTTGCTTTCTTCTGATGGTAATTCTCATTGCTTTGATCACCAAAAAGAAGCCAGCCACTCCAAAGCGAAGTAAGTCATCCAAATCAATCAAACCATTTTACTAAAACTTAACATAGACCTGGTCATCTCACGACCTACACATCTTCCAGAAGACATCTAGACCTCAATAACTCATGTAAGCTTCCAAAATCATAAACAATCAGTCTGATATCATCTTCAGCCTCCTGTGTGCCTTCTTCCTAGTTGCCAGCGCTTCCACTCATCTCTTCCGTCCGCCAGCGCTTCTACCGTGTGCCATCCTTTCAATCCTCCAAGTTACCAGCGTTTCTACTCATCTGACTATCTGCCAGCTCTTCGATCGTGTGCCTTTCTTCCAAGTTCTTCATATCTGCTAAAAAGGACACTCTCTTATAGTTTATTTTCTTATAATTTTAAGAGAGAGACAAAAGAATGATGGGTCGAAGACCACCAACAACGATGTCGCCTAAACCAACGATGCCAACAGGTCTGGAAACGACAACAAGTCCTCAGGGAAACGATGGCGATAGAGACATGATTTTTTGTGTCTCGTACTCAGGATAAGGGTTCAAAAATCTGTTAGAATCTTTATTAGACAATTTTTTGAGCCAAGTAAAGACTGTTTAATCAAGTTCTTTTCTAAAGAAGTTGCGATAATTGTAATCATCCTCATCTGGCTTTATTTCGTCTTTCGTCTTATTATTCAAGGTATTTGATTTCATACAAAATAAATATAATTTGCTATCGTGTTATTGACATTATTATTCAGCCATCGTCGTCGTGAAAACCTCAACAAGACCTGCTACTCATCAACCAGAAGCACAGCATTCCAGCGCTACCCAACAAGAAGCTCATCGACAAGAAGCTCTGCGTCCTTCTTCTCAGCAAACGATCTCCCAGCAGCCACAAGGTTTGAGATATTTTTTCGAACCAGCTCATAATAATTCTTATTTTTAGCGCAAACTCAGACTGGCGTGCCTGAACTTGAGTGGGACAACTCCTTCGACTTACCAATTGACCTCTCCACGACCGGTCCACGAGCAAATGCTTCTGCTGCGTCTTCGACTGGAACTACCTCGCAAACTTCCGCAGCACGCAATTCTACGCCAATCTCTCTCGCTGGAACATCTTCCACATCACGAAATATGACTACTCCTCGCATTCAAACTACCGCACGCGCACTTCCTTCCGCTTCCGCACAAAAGAAATCTTCCGCTCGCTTGTCCCAACCGAAAGCATCACAAATCGCCTGCCGACCTCCGTGGAACGCTTCAGTTCGAACGTCCACACTCGCGTCAACAAACACTCGCGCCCAGCCATCCGTTGAGCAGCAAGGTAGAAAAACACAAGAAAAGGAAATTGAACTAACAAACATTCTAGCTCGAGCAGTTCGCCAACGAAAACAACCGACTACCCTGTCCATCAATCACAGCCTTAAAAAATATTAGACTGCCCATCCACTTTGCCTCAAAAAAAAAATAAACAGTTATTGCAGTGAAAAAAGGACTTTTATTTCAATAAAGATTGTTTGCATGAGTCAAAACAAAGAAAGAAAATGAAAGAGCAGGAAAAATTCTCAACAATCGAGAATGAACAGTAGTGAAAGAATTACAGAGTAATTGAGTAGATTCGTACCATATTGTAGTGAAGTTCTCCGTCGTCGTCCATTGTAATCGCAAGCTGAGTTCCTTCATTCTCAAGCTCCATTGTTTGGAGCAGCCTATCGTCGGTGATTGCAATGAAGTCGTTAACGCTGACGATATTCATTTTTCTAGCATCTGGCAGCGATCCCATTGCAAAAACTGGCGTCCCAGAAATGTCGATGTCGGCATCTGACCCGATCGTCGCTGTCATCATGCGCGAATTTTGCAGTCCTTCCAAAAACTGCAACAACTGGACAGTACCATTCTCAGACCGTCCGACAATAATATATCCTCGGTAGTCATAGAGCCATGGAACTGTGACGCTTTTTCTGGCAAAATTTTTCATTTTTCGTTTTAAGCCGGGGATTTGAAATAATGAAAATTCATTTTCTCGCTGCTGGGCCTCATATTCTTCATTCAGAACGTCATCATAAGAAGGGGCCAACTCGTTTTGATTGTTGATTTCCATTTCGAAAAAGACTTATTTCAATTTTTGATGATTCTTGTTTCAAACCTTCGCTTATATCAGAGCTTGAGTTCTAGCGCCTCACTAAGGTCATATGTCACCTGCAAATTACACGCACCTTCAATTTCATGCACTTTCTTTTATTGAAAACAGATTGCCTAGGTGCACATGGACAGAAAAGTGAAAGCGAAAAGATCTTTTAGTCGTTTCTTCTTTTTTCAGCGACAATGTCGGAGAATCGGGTGTATCGAAATGGAATTCTGCAGAACGCACAGTCATCTTTTCGTGGAGATATTTCGCGATGTTTCGCATAGCATTTTTCACAATAAAAATGCTTGCAGGGACTAGAAATCTAAAAATAATTAGAAGAATGCTGAAAATCGGAAGAAATACCATTTTGACATCATCTTCGTGGCAAAAGATACAAACTTTTTCCTCATCTTTGTCAATTTCTCGTCGAGCCATTTTTCGTTGTTGAGCTTTGATAAACAAGTCACCGTAGCAATCCGAAAGCAAATAGGTTTTGCAAAATGCGACTGCTGAAACTCTCGAAAAGTATTGGTCTTCTTGTTTGTCAGCCTGACTGGCGAAAAGGTTCCATTCCTCAGGAGTAAAGGCGATTGTTATTTCCTTCGCGCAGAATTCGCATACCAGCCAAACGCTAAAAGCTTTGTCTTCTATGTCATCATCGGGCTCCAGATAATCGACTTGGTAGTTGTCTGTATTTTTTCTGTCGCAGCCGAGACAAAAAAGAACAATTTCAGTCTCTGGGAGGGGTTTTAATTGATAGTCAATAGTTGACATTTTCAATTATACTCACAATTCACCCTGATCCCGGATTTATCTCATTTCCCCGATGGCGCTCAGACTCGCGGCGCGCTTTTCAGAATTCGAGGCGCTAGAAATTGAGTTGAAAATAAAAAGGCTGAGCTGAAGGAAAAGAAGACAGCAAAATTTTTTTTTCGAAAAGCTCAAAGACTTAGTCCGAAAATCGAGAAAGATTAAGAAGATGGATTCTGATAGCGATCTGGAAGTTGAGCAACCCGGTAACGATCAGCCTGACCTTGACTTTCGGATGGAAACGGCTCGAACACACCCCATTCCTCAGCTACGCTTTTTTCTGGAATTGATTTACACCGCCGCTGAGACACATCCTTGGCTGACTAGCTACAAAGGTTTCTACTGCGTCAAGAACGATGATGGCGTTCTCCAGCTTGTCCGATTTCGGCTTGGAGCTCTTCATCCCTATACGATGGACGTCGTAATTGGTAGCGACGAGTTTAATGACCTGGACGGACGACTTTGCACCCGCATCGCCGAGCAAGAAAATTTCCATCTTACTGTCGTCGACTCCGCGGTTCTCCTTGTTGATCGAACTCCACGCCGCCGATCCCGCCTGCGACGACAGGGCTTCGAACTGGCCGTTTCTATCCAAACTGGTTACCCTGTTTTCATGCTTGTTTCATTCTACTCAGTTGAGATTCAATAGACGTCCATTGAAATAATTTTTGTTTTGTTTATTTGCAGGAAATAGTCGCGAAATCGAGTTTGGTTGAGCTGGTGGCGCAAAATTGACTTTTTAGAATTTGGTTGAGCTGGTGGCGCAAGTCAACGTTGTTATAAAAAGAGTGAGCGTCAAGTCTCAAGCATGAAAAGGTATAATCTCTTTTTTCCTGGGTTAAATCCATGGATAACTCTCGGAGAGCTTCAGCGATGCACAGAGGATTACACCAAACTTTTTAAGGACGGAAAATTAGCTCATCGACAGTTCATTTCCCATATTTACCATCTATCAGTAAATAGCTCTTCTCTTGCCACGGAACCAATTTTAGACTTTTATCAACTTGAAATCCTTAGAGTGAAGTCTAAATGTAAAAAATCGATAAAACTTGTTTTAGTTGACGATGTGGTTGTTAAAAAATCGCAAAAATTTGTTGAAGAAGGCGAGTCATATTTTTACCTTTATTCTTTCGACATTTTTCTCAGTAAATTGGACAGAAAAGGCAGACTCAAGAACATAAATGATTTTTCGTTTAAAATTCAGGGATTAAGTTTATTCGATGGACCGGATCAAGTCTTTTCGAGGGAATTATCAAAATATGCGAAAAAATTGAATGCGGAGACAAATTTTTTCTCTTTGGGCACGTCTCATCTGCCTGACCAGCGTTCACAAGTCAAATTAGAGCTCTTGCAAACATTTCGAGCCGATGACTCTACGCGGACTCTCAACTTTATTGTTGACAAAGACGAGCTTATGTCCGAAAACGCGCTAACCCTCAGATTTATTTTCAACATGAATAATTTAGCAACATTTTACAAATGTTTGAATCCGAAATGTGGATTTGAAACATATTTTGAGACGTTGTTTAAAAAACATGATTTGAAATGTAAGGCTCGTGTCAAAAAAATTACTCCAACCCAGCGAGCTTACGGGGTCTCAATAAATCCAATCGAGGAGGCGATTCAAGCTGGTTTCCTGTCTTCTGAGATGAGAAAGTTCAGAAAGACAAGATTCGGTAAGCTTTATTGTGAGATTTTTTGAAAATTCAAAAATCTAGTTACGTTTGACATCGAAACGATGGAGAGACCGATTGAGGAAACGACCAAGTCAACAACTGTTCATTCGGAACTTCGACTTCTTTCCATCGCAATCGGGAGTAATTTTGGATACCAGCGGTTCTTGATAAGGCGGAGTGATGAAAATGATGCCGCGAAACAACTTGTTCAAAAATTTGTCGACGAAATTGAAGACCTTGCTGTCTCTGAAGAAACGTATCTTCCCTCTGAGCTAAAAGATGCAATCCAGAATCTCAAAAACATCGATATCAACTCAGGTAATTTAGAAACAAGAAAATTGCTGACCAGTTTCTAGTCAATGCCGAGCGAAAGATGAAAGTTCGATATCTGCGACGAGAGCTCACAAACTATGCGAAAATGGACATTTACGGTTTCAATAGTGCTAAATTTGATTTGAAAGTTTTAAGTCCCTACCTTATACCCATTCTTATGAAAAAGTATGGGTCAAAATTCACTAGTATTAAAAAAGGCACTCATTATTTCTCAATGTCAACGCCAACATATCAATTCAAGGATGCCAAACTATTCAGCACTCCAACTGATTTGGCTGGATATCTCAAGCAAGGAGGAGTCGAGGAAGGAAAAGCGATTTGGCCATATGAAAAATATCGCAGCGTCTTTGATATCATGAACGATAAAAATTTCCCTCCAAGAGATGAATTTTTTTCTAGTCTCAAGAATAAGGAAATCTCTGAGGAAGATTATGAACTTTTCAGATCTGAGTTTTATAGAAATCAAAGACGAGATCAAAATTATTCTATGGGTCATTGGCTCAAACACTACAATTTGACAGATGTCACCCCTTTTGCGAAAGCAATTGACAATCAATTCAAATTATTTTTCGAGACTTTTAAAATTGACCCTTCTTTCTGTATGAGCTTGCCCAAATTTGCGATGGCGTGTGTTTTTGAAGGTTACTCGAAGAATTCCCCGCTTACATGTAAGATATTCTTGTTGACTTTCATGACATTTATATAGTTTCGTTCCACCGAAATTATCACAAGGAACACAAACTCTTACGTGATAATATAATTGGTGGTCCTGTGAACGTCTACTCTCGCTATACTGAACTTCGACCCGACGTGGATGCTCCGGAAAATGCAAAGTTTGCGCCGAATGGGGATCCGTTCACAAAGATAGTCTTTTTCGACTTCAATGCCTTGTACCTCTTCGCTCAAAAAATGTTGCTACCATCCACCCCAGGTAAAGCTTCTTTGATTTCTGACCTCACTATATAATAAGGTATACGATGGCAAAAAATCGACAATTCCGTCTTCCGCAAATCGATCATGACGACAGATAACTCTCTTGCCGCACTCCAGTGGCTCACATATATTGATGAATTCAGCCCCTTGTTGGTTCAAGCTAATGGTGAGCGACTCAGACTCGAACATCAATATTTCAGGGGTGAGCATCAGGTTCTTAATTATAAAATTGATGGCTACGCTTGTGTTGATGGAAAACATCACTATTTTGAGTTCTTAGGTTGTTATTTTCATCAATACTGCGTTGATTGCAATCCAGGTCAGGCTGACCATGAGTTTGAGAAGAAAAAGCGCATTTTGTCCAGAAAAGGGACTGTTCATATTATGCGCGAATGTGAATGGATCCATCGTCGTAATAGATATTATGTCGACCGTGTTTCAAAATACTGGGGTCGGATATTTAAACTCAAAGAGTCCGAAAAGAGCATTCTCGACGGCATTCGAAATGACGAGATATATGGATTTATTGTAGCGGATGTTTCTTGTCCGAAAGAGGTCTTTGATCAAATCTCGTACATAAATTTTCCGCCAGTGATTCAGCGAATGAAAATCACAAACGAGCATTTGAGTCCTTATATGAAAGCTCAATTTGAAAAAACCGGAAGCAAATGCGATCAAGAAACGGTCGTACAAACATATAATGGTAAGAGTATGTTTCTCTTGACAACATTAGTGAAATTTTATCTTGACCTAGGCTTAGAAGTAACTAACATTCAATCTTTCACCCAATTTCGAGCAACTAAAAGTCTAAGTGATTATGCTGACAATATTACTCATGGTCGAGTCAATGCTCTTGATGACAAGAATACTGCTCTTGCTCTTGCATTTAAAACGATTGGCAATTGCGGTGGTTTCGGTAAAGCCATCGAACAGGTCGACCGACCAAATACCAAATTTAACAATGATAAGCAACTGAAAAAGTCAATTATAAAGCCAACATTTAAATCTCATGAGACACTCTCTCAAGAAAACGGTGAGTATGAAATTTCCGAAGTCATTTTCGACAAGTTACGCATCAAAGATGACAAGCCAACTGTTCTTGGTGTGGCTATTCTTCAAAACTCGAAACTTCACTTTCTCTCCTTTGTTTATAAATTTCTTCACAAATACCTGAGACCTGGATCCTACAAGCTGAACTATTGCGATACAGACAGTTTGGCAATATGTAAGTTTATATTTTCTGTCACTTATAATCATATTTTAGCGTTCACTCGAAGCGGAACGGACGGTAAAACAACAAGGTCACAGATGGAAGCCGCTTTACTACCTTGTGTTCGGGAAGAACTCATGGACGAATTTCTACAAGTTTGGCATAAATGGATTGTCCTTGAAGATACAACTCTAAATCACAAAACTCCTGGACTTCTTAAAGGTTTGCTGATGTTTCGAATAGATACCAAGTTTTTTAAGCGGAATGGCAAACGAATAATGGCGCACTTGTTTGTCTTGGAAACAAGATGTACTTTGGCTATGATGAAGAAAACAAACAGACAAAGCGATCAACGAAAGGAGTTCCTCACAATCACGAGCTCAAACTTCAAGAATTTCTTGATTGTCTAAATGAAACTGTAACCACTAGTAACACATGCAAAGTTCGCATGTTACGCTCGACTAACGACAATATTGTGAAACGAATTTCCATCGAAAAGAAAGTTCTCTCGAATATTTTTGTAAAGCTTCGAGTCATGTCGGACGGCGTCACATGTAAACCACTGACCCTCAACGGGGAAATCCTTTAATCTGTTCCAAGTGAATAAATTTGGGTGAATATAAATCAATTTTTCTCGGTACTTTCTTATAAAATGCCTTTTTATCCATCAGAAAGAGCAGATTTAGAAGCACTTCGTAAAGAATACGGTGGAATTCATCTACCACTTGAAGAAGAGGAGCTTGATTACTTTAGACAGACAGAGAGAGTTGGTCAGCTACACAACAGGCTTATCATTCCTCCTCCAAAACCAGGACGAGTCGTCGAAACGGCTCATTTGAGATTGCTTATTAACAAAGATTTTGATTTGAACAATCTCATTGAAGATATCTTCGATGTGATTTCACCAGTCTTTCGGATCAAAATCGATTTTGGATTTCTCATGGAGAATATTTTGACTGAAGATCCTGACTCTCGATACAGATTTCATTGGCCTCAAATTTCGACTGGACTCCCGATCGAGCCACATTTGATAAAGAACAAGTCTACTAAAAAAGAGTTCCTGGAAAACATTCCAAACTGGTCTGACATTCCCAAACTGGTTGAAATACAGCACGAAAATCAAAGTAGTTTCAGAAAGAGCGGATACAATCTAACTAAGCTCCTCACCTGCAGTGTTTACGTGACTAAGATGAAGTAAGCTCTCAGCGGGAAACCTCGTGCTCTCAACGCCCTCTTTTGGATACTGACCTCAATTTAACTGTAACAGCTTCTCCTTCCTCATCACAAAGTCAAAATGAAACAAAATTTGGGTTAAGCTTTCAAAGCCGAAGTTTACTTGAAAATTGAACTTTGAAATGAAACATATGTTTTTTTATCTGTCGTATTGATCGCATCTGCCTACTTCTTGATAAAATGAAACTCAATCATTAAGAATATTGTGATTGTGACTTCGGGTGATTCTTCCTTTAAAATGTCACAATTTTACCTGCAAAATTCGGTTTTTTCTCGTGAATATCAAATGTATTCCGTATTTACAACATCTTATTCTGTATCAACTGTATTGAAATTAAAATAAATTTTATTTTCTATCCTTAAAATTGATTTCGACTGAATTCTTTTCAATTATGAGCATTTCTATCAACAACTTGCCTGCATACATTGCCAACACTTGCAAAAAACAGTAAACTACATATCAAACAATTATTAATCGTTTGATTTTGAATTTCTTGTACTGTCTCTTGTATTGAGAGAGAAGAAAAGGGGGGAGGACAGTCAAGATTTCTTCGCTTTCTTCGTAGCGGGGCCGGGTCGTCTTGTCTTCGAGGGGCCGGGTCGCTTCGTCTTCGAGGGGCCGGGTCGCTTCGTCTTGGAGGGGGCAGGTCGTTTCGTCTTGGACGGACCTTTCTTCTTGCACGGGCCGGGTCCTTGCCTTTTCGACCTCTAGAAAACACATTTATTTGAAAAGAATCTGATAAACTTACGATGACGACACTGTACTTGGAGCCGCTTCCCAACCCGCTGCGTTTTTGTAGCGTATCCGCCTGGAATTCTCGTATTGAAGCGGCGAATGCCGCTTCCCACTCAAATCTGGTGTTCCACTCGTCTATCTTCTCCCCTGCGTCGCTGAGGACGACAGCGTTCGACCTGAATTAAAGAATAAGAATTGATTAACTTGAAATATTACTTACATCCACCGACCAAAGCTGAGACCCCGCGCGCCTTCCAGCTCTTCTTTCAGGTTCTGGCGCTTTGCTCTGCGCGACTTGCGCAGTAGATAGCTAGAATATATATTAGAGGTGTGGTAAAATACTTTCCTTACGAGTGACATTGAGCGATGTACAGAGAGCGGCGCCATGGCAAGAAGCTTTTCGTGTGTATTGTGTTGTTCAGCTTCTCCACCCCTTTCCTTAGGTCTTTGTTCATTCCCTGTTCAGGGTTGAGTTTGAGGAAGGCCTTCCAGCTTTGTGTCCAGATTCGTGTTTCATCGTGCTCGTCTTTGTAGGAGATTGAGATTAGGTGGTAGGGTAGCCAGTTGTGCACATGTCGGTCTTTGGGAGCTCTATCCTTGCGGATTTCTATAAATTTCAATAAATTTCTGAAAGAAAAGTAGGCTTACCTAATATGAGGCCCTTTCCTGGACTGAACTCGGTTGGCTCCTCCTCCATTTCGATATCAAGCCAGTTGTTGTCGGCCGACACTACCGTTTCGTCGCCAGATGATACAGTGTGGAGGGAAACGCTGTCGGACCGCGCGTCGCAGGATGGCTCGAAGCAGGGAAGATGGGGGACAGTCATCTTCACTCCTGCCGACAGCACCCTGTCCCATGACCCTAGCTGCTTGCTCGAGAACGTCCCGATGTAGCGTAAAATGGAGCGATTATACGCCTAGAAATGATGTTAAATAAGAAGCGTTGGTTTAAAAAGTACCTTGTCCGTCACCTTTCCCTTTTCGTAGTCATCGTGCGTGAGGTGCAAGATAGTGAGTCGGTGTGCGGTATTTTGGCATTTTAGCCAGGTGTTAGCGAAACACAGGCACACTTTCACAATGTCGTGAAAGCGGGCGGAGAAGTCGGGGAACTTTTCGCCCGCAAGACGTGTATCCACTTGGGTTTGGATGTGCGCCGGAACTCGTTTCTGCCCGCCGAAGGTACCTAAAAACCGTTAGTTGATGATAGACTAATTAATGATTAAGGATAAGGGAGGGTAGGGTCGGTTGGTTATGTCTACTCTAGAAAGCAAGACAGTCAGTAATTCTATCTATCCCTTTTTCGGGTCCATCCTTATTCTATCCCTAGCTACCACCCGAAAAAGGGAGAGATAGAATCACTGGCTGTCTTGCTTTCTAGAGTAGACATAACCAGCCGACCCTATCCTCCCTTCTTCTGGGTGGCGAGCTATTGCGGTCCCACAGTCCCACCCTTATTATGTAACTTATCCCTTAGAACCACCCGAAAATGAGAGAGATAGAGTCACTGGCTGTCCTGCTTCCTAGATCGGACATAACCAGCCGACCCTATCCTCCCTTCTTCTGGGTGGCGAGCTATTGTGGTCCCACCGTCCCACCCTTATTATATAACTTATCCCTTAGAACCACCCGAAAATGAGAGAGATAGAGTCACTGGCTGTCCTGCTTCCTAGATCGGACATAACCAGCCGACCCTATCCTCCCTTCTTCTGGGTGGCGAGCTATTGTGGTCCCACCGTCCCACTCTTATTTGTGTAACTTATCCCTTAGAACCACCCGAAAATGAGAGAGATAGAGTCACTGGCTGTCCTGCTTCCTAGATCGGACATAACCAGCCGACCCTATCCTCCCTTCTTCTGGGTGGCGAGCTATTGTGGTCCCACCGTCCCACCCTTATTTGTGTAACTAATTCCTTAAATACCACCCGAAAAATGAGAGAGATAGAGTCACTGGCTGTCCTGCTTTCTAGATCGGACATAACCAGCCGACCCTACCCTCCCTTCTTCTGGGTGGCGAACTATTGTTGACCCACCGTCCCACCCTTATCTAACCTCCTACCCCTCCCTTTTAAACTCACCTCCTTTCTTTGGGGCAGCGGCTTTTGGCTGTTGGCTGACGTCGGCCGCGTCTGAGGCTTGTGACTGTTGGGTGGCCTCTGCCGCGTCTGAGGCTTGTGGCTGTTGGGTGGCCTCGGCCGCGTCTGAGGCTTGTGGCTGTTGGGTGGCCTCGGCCGCGTCTGAGGCTTGTGGCTGTTGGGTGAGCTCGGCCGCGTCTGAGGGTGTTGGCTGTTGGGTGGCCTCTGCCGCGTCTGAGGCTTGTGACTGTTGGGTGGCTTCGGCCGCGTCTGAGGCTTGTGGCTGTTGGGTGGCCTCGGCCGCGTCGGAGGCTTGTGACTGTTGGGTGGCTTTAGCCGCGTCAGAGGCTTGTGGCTGTTGGGTGGCCTCGGCCGCGTCTGAGGCTTGTGGCTGTTGGGTGGGCTCGGCCGCGTCTGAGGCTTTCGGCTGTTGGGTGAGCTCGGTCACGTCTGAGGGTGATGGCTGTTGGGTGGCCTCGCCCGGGGCAGTGGCCTGGGTGGCCACGCCCGGGGCAGAGGATCGAGTGGTCCGACGGGGCCCACGCTTCGAAATCCTAAAAGAAAAGAGTTAGTCCCGAATGTCACTTTGTTTAACCCGCGAAGAGTAATTCTAGATATCTCTAGAATTTTTAGGGTTAGGGTAAGGGTAGCTTGGATAATTACCCCTTAGGATCATCCTTCAAAACACAAAACATAAATTTTTCAACAAAAAACACAAACAAAAACACAACAAAAACACAACGATAAACCTGACCTGCACAAACTTAACACCCTCGTCAATACACGTGAAATATGCGTAAAACTGTTTATTCTAGTACAACAATTTATCAAACAAACAGCACGGGTTCAACCAGATGCTCCAGCAGTCACGAAGGAGTCGGTGAAACAGCACGTGTGATGATGAAGGAAGTTGCGTCTCCACTTGAACTGAACAAACCTGAATAATAAAGTTATCCCGTGAAGTGAAGTTCTTGAGTTTCTCTAACTAAGTTTTCACCTCGAGTTTACACGCTCGCGTATGAGCAACGGTTGGCTTCTGCCCTACCGTTCGTGACACGCGTAGGTTTTTCTTCCTAAGGGCAGGTGCGCCTGACCTTCACCATTACTTCTACACCTAGAATCCTAACGCAATCAACAACACAATCAACAACACAACAAAACAGAACAACCAACAATACAGGACAAAAAGACAATCAACAATACAGAACAAACAGAACACAAACATAAATTTTTCTTTGATTTTTTCATTTGGAGAGCTGCTCGTGGTAGGCCTTCTCAGCAGAGATGACGGGAGCGTAGTTAACGTTGTTGTAAGAAGACCGCTCGATGTCCAGGCTTCGTCGTCAGAATCGTAGATGGTCTCGTTATCAACCTGAAAAAATGAGTTAGAATCGAGAAGGAAACATGCTCGCTTTAAAAGCGTCAATCAGAACGCAAAAAAAAGGGGGGAAATCTTATGACACAAACGAGCGTTTCTTTTTTTCACAAATTGTCGATCAATCTTTGATCCTATTCCTGAGCCGAAGACTCATGAAAGCAAAAGTAAAATCAGGAAAACTTACGTGAATAATGAGGAGACAGAATCATACGAGCTCGAACTTGCGGCGATAATTGGTTCTCTCTTTCTCACGACGTAATTCTGAGCTGGCGATGACGCTTCGTCCCAGGTCTAAAAGATGTAATCAGAAAAGGTTATCTTTGGTACTTTCAAAATTGATAAACTTGTTAAAAAAAATGGAAGGCTTTATCGAAACGAGGCTTGAACATTCTTTAATACGAGTAGTTAACGATTTCGGGGAAATAGCAAAGTGCTCAATCAAAGAGAAAAATCAAAGTGACATTTTATTTCAAAGAAACATTCCGTTAGTTTACCTTTGGCTTCTGTTGTTCGGGTTTTGGACTGCGTCGCGTAACACAAATTGTGAATTACAAGCAGCGCTAATTTTTCGTCCACTTATGAAACGGCGTTCGTTAGGTAGTCGATAAGAGATTGAAGTTGAGCGTGAAAATCGGACTCGCCTTGAGCGAAGGGACTGAAAGAATTGGTGTTAGTATTTGCCTGCTTGAAAGCCAGGGAAGGCAGTCATACTTTTTCTAAACTTGTGTAGAAATCAAGAACTTACCTCATCGACGACGGTGGGTTCGAGTTCGACGAAGACAGCTCGGAGGCCAGCGCTGGTTTCGGAGAAGAAAGTGTTGAAGGAGTCATCACCACCATCGAGTGTCTTTGCCCGTTTCTCTATCATAAACCTCTCCAACTTCGCTGAAGATGTCTCTAATCTGCACTTCCGTCGCTTCGTAAGGAATGTTTTCGACAAAAACCGACAAAAAACACGCTGAAATTTATCAGTTTAGCAATTTTAATAATAACCAGAATTAGAGCTTCATTTAAAGTGATTCTCTTATTAAATTCTTCTCTTTGATTAAATTTTCTCTAAATTTATACAGTAAAAAAAATAACTTTTCTTCTGAAGAGCTGCGCGCGTTCTGAATGGCCGTGGCAGAGGCAGCTGACAAGCGCGGCCAATCAGCGCGCGCACAGCTCAGTTCTCGAAAAGTCAGACGGTTTTTCGAAGGGTCATATTTCTTCTCGAGAATTATCTCGGAGCGCACTCATTTGGACTTTTCTCTCACTTGGACTCGCGCTCATTCTAACTCTTCGCTCGTTTGAACTCGTCGGTCAATAGGAGTGTTGGTTGAATAGAGCGAGGATTCATCGGTTTATTTCATTTACCTGATCTATCCGTTCTATTTAGAATTTGATGAAGCATGGCATAAGCCGATGACTATCATCTTCTACGTAACTCGAAAGTTGACGAGGCAGCATGCGGATCAGATGCTCATCTGATGATCCTGTTATTATAAGATAATAAAAAACATGCTTCCTACCGGAAGCAATGTTTACATTAAGTCCACTTATAATTATTTTATATATAATTACGACGAAGGGGTCCTTCCCCGGAATTTCAAATCTTAATAACGGATCTTTTTGTGGGATTTTTAGATTCCACGTGATCTGAGGATCATTTTCATGTATTTTCGTCTTTGAAAATGACAGAAATGCATGTTTATTGTACTAAGCGTGAAAATCGTAACTTTTTCGACTTTTCAATGTCATCGAAAATTGACATATAAAGGGTTTAATTAAACAGGGGATAAATAAACACCCAAAAATCAATTTACAGCTATTTTCCTCTTTTGTGGACACTTTTTGTCTCAAATTTTCGAAAAAATAGTCCACAAAAATTCCCAAATTTCATCATTGAAACGCTTTTTATGCCTTTTTTACTATTTTTGGTGAATGAAACTGTAAATTTTACAATGTAAAACCCATTGATTTCTTTGAAAAAAACACCTTATTTCTTCTTCTTAAATTTTCTCAGCTGAATAAATATCCATAAAAGTGGAATATTACCCTTGGAAAAATGTCCCACAAAAGCCCCTTAAAATGAAGAAAATGTCAACAAAATTCGGGTCCAGAAAAGAGGAGAAAAACTTTATTTTTTCTAAAAACAATCAGATAATAAGATAACTCCGGGAATCCGTAAGCGAAGAAAATTTTGCTCTGAGGCCGAAAATTTTTTAATGTAAGATTCAAATTTTTCATCGAAAAGAGCCCGAAAAATGAGGGTTCAATTCAAATTTTGATAAAGTAAAGTTGGAGTTCGAGCTTCGAAGGTGGTCTGAGACCACTGGTCTGCGTAGAAATCTGCGCGAAATGCGTTTAAGCGTTGAAACTCGAGCGAAGAAAGTTTTTTACCAAGAAAATTTGCTTGTAAAAATCAAGGATGACCCCACAATATGAAGCTTCAAAATTGTTTTTTTTCACGTTGGAACGCATATCGGACAGATCTCTGCGCAGAATCCCTTCGAACCCTATACAGTTGACTCGCACAATTTGGTCCCGCACAATTCGGCCCTTTTTTTGAATTTCGCGAAAATTAATGAAATTCGCTCAATAAGCCATCTTTGTGAATTTCTGTCAAATTTGCTTGCTAAAAGGTATTTTGTAAGATGTATTCACGAGATAAATGCTTTTTCTTACTCTTTTTTTCTGATAAACACGTAGAATTTACGGGGATAATTGACGTAAAAAGTAATCGCAATCTACAGTGAGAACTCAAATTTCCCCGCTTCGAAATTGCGCCGCTCATTTGGAACTCTGATCTGCCTCAAGCAGAACTTCAGTCATTTTTGGAATCTAGACGATGCCTGAGTCAACTGCCAGAGAATATATCCGAAAAACATGGCTTAGAGAAGATATCTGGGAATGGTTAGGAGTGCAGATAAAAGTTGTATTCCTCGTCGGCAGCTCAGGTCGGCAACTAGCCAGTTGCATGTGGACAATAGTTATGTGACATAACTTATGGAGCGTTGTACGACGTCAAAATTTGGCCAACTTAAACCGCATTATTTGTCTACGTTTTCAATTGTTGAGATTATTAGTAGATTTTGGCAGTTTCACTTCAACAGGCACTGAAGATGGTAACAAACCGAAAACATTCTGCCAAAATCTACTAATTATCTCAACAATTGAAAATGTAGACAAATAATGAGGTATAAGTTCGCCAAATTTTGACGTCGTACAACGCTCCGTTATGTCCACAATTCGGCGCGCGAAATTCAAAGTGTATAAAATAGCGCTTAGGACTTTTGGCTCTAATTTTCGTCGAGTTAAAAAGCTCGTAAATGGATTACTAGAAAGCTTTTACTCTGTTCTATAAAAATGAACCATTGAAAATTGAAAAGTCCGTTTCGATTTTCCAGCAGAGAGCGAAAGAGAAATCTGGCGCAAAACGCCACCATTTTTGAGTTTTCACTCGAAACTTCACAAATTGGTTCGTTTTCATTCTATCAGCTTACATTTCAAAATTCTAGTCAAACAGATTACTACAACGGGAATTACAGGGGGTCAAACTCCGTGGTCAAATGATTGGAGCACGTGTATTGAGAAGTTAATCAATTCTGCTTTTATACTTGTTGAATTTGTTGGACGATAAAAAATGTTTATAACTAGGGATTCTCACGGAAAATTAAAGTGTACTCAATTTTCTTAAAACTTTCACTCTACATTAGGGTCGGAAATTTCGGGGCCATGAGCGCGGGCGGGGCCGATATTTTTTTGGGTTACTCTATGGGAGGTACTCTTCCAGAAAATACACATGGCCCTCGCTTAACCCAACATCGCCAAGCAAATTTTAACCTATTTTGGAAATGGCCTTTTTACACTAAAATTATGCATTTTTATTGTTTATCTCCCTTTTTTATGCGTACAAACCATTTTTTTTTTAAATAAATTTGCTTTTTAACCGATCATTGCCGAAAAATATTTAACCTGCTCATGAAAAAAGTCTGTTTTATACGAAATTAATGTTTTGAAGTTCTTTTAATGCATTTTTTTACCTGTAAAAATTAATAATCTTTTATAAAATACATTCATAACCCATAATAGGAAAAAAAAATCAATATTATTTTGAAAAGAAAAAAATCTACTTTCCAAAGTTACGATTCTTTCCATAATTTCCTTATAAATGCATTAATCAAGAAAAAGCAACATAAATTTGTAATTTTATTGATTTTCTCAACTTTAAGAATGGCATATTAAAAAATCACTTCCCTGAAAAAGACAAAAACGATTAATAAGAAGAAAAGACCATCAATTCTAGTTATCTTTGTTTATTTTCTAAAGATCAGCAGGTAAGCATTGTAAGCATCAATCTCTTTACTCGAAGGATTTTTGTCTTCCCATTCCCCGGCTTGTTGATTCTGTGGTAAGTCGAAGCATTCACGCATTTTCTGAACGCACAGAGCACGGAATTCTTTCGCTATGGTCTTGTCTTGTGCTTTTCGATCAAACGATTTTTTCATTGCTTTGAAGTGATCCTTAATAACTTTGGTAAAATTTTTGAAAATTTTTATTAGTTACCGAATCGAGATTCATTGGGATGTAATCGTAAATCACTGCAAGGAGTTTTGTTTCTCGCTCTTGTTCCTTCTTGTACTCTTTCTGCCGTTTGATCTTGGCTTCAATATCGGCTGCATCCGCAGATTCTTTGCGTCGTTTGCGAGCATCTGTGAGCCGTTTGAGCGTCCCGCGTTTGAAAGCTTGCTGGATTTTGGAGGCATCGCGTTCACGCCAGAAAGAAATCGGTCGGTTGTACTTTGACTTGCCAGCAAGAGCGAGATTTTCAGGGTCAAGATTGAATCGATAGCCATAAATCCGCTTAAGAGCACCCATCGACTAAATCATTTAAGTTACTACTTGTGAACAAAATTATTGTCTCTTACCATTTCGGCAAGTTGATTCGTCCATGTAACTTCACCGATGAGAGGAGTCGTGTCGTCTTGAATCCGGAATCTATGGAACACATTTTTCACAATTTCTGCCTTTGACTTGATCGCGTCATTTACTTCTTTGAAGTTCTTCTGCTGGATGGATTCAGCGACTGCCTTGAATAAAACGGATTCTGTTTCATCCTGCAACATGAGATTCTTGTTCTTGCTCCTCACTGCGATGAATGGACTAGCAGCACTGACGATTCCGTCGAAAGTGAGGTCAAGCTCTTCTTTTAGCGTCTCGTAAAAGGTAACATCGCATTTTGCTCGAACTTTGTCCCACCAAGGAGCAACGATGTTTTTGTAGACGTAAATCGCCGCGAGAAGTTCGACCTGGAACCTCTGTTTGTTGTCCGCAATGAACTTGGAACTTGTTTTGTGGCCTTCTCGTGACAAGAACTCTTCAACATAAGGCAGATTGATCAGGACGTTCTCGAGGTTCTTCGCAAAGACAGAAAATCTCACATTTGAGTAAAGTGAAAGAGATTCAGGAAGAACATCGTCGGATTCCATCGTTTTCGCTTTTAAGAATGTCAAAAAGGCTGCTCCTCTGGAGGATTTAGTTTGGTGAAGTCGATGAGATGATAAAACTTTCTCCAGAAGGGACACTTGTTCGAGGATATCCTTTGGTAACGAAGCTCGAAGACCCTTTTCGCAGTTCAAGGGGATGTGCATGCTGCAAGGGACGTGAACGCGATCTCGAGCGAAGACTTCGTCAAGGGATTTTCTGATAATCTCCACACTTTTCACTGCAGCTGGAGCCCTGTCGCTGTGAAGGCTTTGAGTTTTTTCAGCGATCAGTCGTTGGATAGCTTCAGGATATTCTTTCATCTTCGAGGTGAACTGCTCTGTAGCGCCAGAATGGTCAGCAACCTTCTTGATATCCCAAAAAAGCGAGTCACCGTCACTTGACAAGATCGTTAATGTGCTGTACTCGTTCCCACTGATGGTTGTGCTATCCAGGCCAATCGACAAACTTGTTGCATCTTCAATAAAGACGATTTCTTGTTGATGTTGAAGTGGCTGGACAAGCGGAAGATGATTTCGCAGAGATCGGTCCGTAAATGGCTCAATGTTTGCATCAGGGATGTTCTCGCAAATTTCATCAATGACTTCGTTAATGACAGCAGGTGAAATATTCTTCTCGGTGCTCAAAAGCAAGCAGCTTTCTTTCAGATCGATTCGGTTGATGACAGAAGCAGGTTTTTCTTTTGGCAGCTCTTGTGAATATGAAGAAGTCGGCTGAGAAATAACAACTTCATCGAGTTGAGAGAACAATTTCTCTTCTTCATCGAGGGATGGCAATGTTTCGTTACAAATCTCGGCAACTTTTCTTAGCTGAAGCTCGCGAAATGATGAAGATCGTGCGTTCGAAATCATGAGAATCGCGTTGAGCTGGTGTTTGTTCAGTTTCTCTTCGAGAAAAGCGAATGAATCGATGGTGAGCTCATTGCCAGCGGGAAGATCTCACGTCATAGTCATTTTGCGTTTTCTTGTTTGAGAAGGCTCTTTGTCAACTGAAACGCGAATCAGTCTTACAGCTCCATCTTCAGGAAGATGACGAATCGCCTTTCGAAGAACGCCAACATTACGATCGTATGCCTTTTTCTTTTCGCCGTGGTGACTATTCAACGGGAAATCGAAGTCGAAACCTAAATGGAAATTTATGTGAATAAGAAATTATAGTAAATCTTTGACCTTTAGGTGAGTCCTGAGCAAGTGCGTTGCAAATCGCTCTGGCAACCGATTGGAGCTCCGACGAAGTTTTTACCGCAACATCTGCTGCAAGTTCTGTGGGGGATCGCCCGGCAAGCTCGCAAATATACTCCATTCCAATCTCTTCAGAGATTTCGACAGCAACAACCGAGAAGTCTTCAATCGAGGCGGATTCAACGAACATTGCTACAAGTTCAAGATTTCTGAAAAGAGTACTCGTTATTAAACAAGCAAAAATTTGCGTCTGAATGCACAAAAAATAAAAATAACTTCTACGGTGAAAAAAAAATGAAACAAAATGAAAGAGTCTTTGATGCTGATGATTTAAAAAAAAATTCTTAAAATACATCTGCTCCTGGAGTTCTTCTGGTCTCTTCTGTCTTTTTATTAGTGATCTTCTGTCAAAAATGAAAATAATTTTATTGATCAACTTTTCCTTTCGGTCTTTATGAATGATCGACAATAAAAACTAATGAAAATCTTAACCTAACGATCATTCTTCTTGAATAATGATTTGAGTGCCTATTTGGTCATGCCAGCCATTTATTTCATCGACAATTCTAAGAGTGGGGCTCTCTTAAAATTCGATTTCAGTGGTTAAACAACCGAAATAAATAGCTAAACAATCCCTGACGATTATTTTTTGATTTGCTTAGATGCATATTAAAGTAAAATATATAATCATTTCATAAACGACGATATATTTATGCTTTAAATTAACGCATAAAAACAAGATTCAAAAAACAAACCGTCATGACCCGTCTCCCCGGAACCCTGTCCCCCGACTCGAACCCTTAGAACCAGAGTATCCCCCCTCCCCCAGGTTATCCGCGTAGTTTCCCCTTTCTCCCAGCGTTCAGGCACCATGCCGAAGGTGGTGTTACTCCTGTCTGGGGGGGACGCCCTCACTCCACAAGAGGGCAGCGGCCTCGCCTGGGGGCAGATACCTCTGCTGGCCCTTAGGGCCCTGATGCCAGAGGTCCGGTGGCATCAGGAGTCGGGATTGCCGGAATAGTGTGGGACTTGGGCTTGGGTTGCGGGCAATACTGCAAAATGCGAAATTTCGCTCGTGCCCTACCCCCCACGCACCTCCATTTTTCAGGAGTATCTATCCGGTGAGGGTGGCCTAGGGGTGTCCAATCGGGTGCATTTACTTCCTGCACCCTTGCTCAAGGGGCTGCCTGCCGAAAGATTAGTCGGGTCACCGGACTGACCTCGGTTAAAAAAATAATTAACCCTTTTAATAATTAACTCAAAGAGTTTATTGAAAAAAGGGGGGGAAATTAGGGGAGACGGGCGGCGTGAGTCCGGAGACTGAGGTGGCCCGCAGAAAAAAGTTCGCTTATGCGCGCGAACCTACGCCTAGAACGCCTACGCCTACGCATAAGCGCGTGTGCAGCGCAGCGCGCTAACGCGCGCTCAGCGCTGCGAGCCGCTGCACCACCACCGTCCAGACCGGCGAGCGAGGCGCTGAAAGCGAGCTCTCGAGGCTCTGCCCGGCTTTGATTGGCCAAGAGGCGCGCTCGTTGCGCGCCGCCGAAAAAAAGAGGAGGAAGAAGAGAAAAGGGAGAAAAAGGAGCGAAAAACGAAGAAAAGAGGATGGAAGGTCGGGCAAGGGCAATTTTCAGAAATTTAATACAATTTTAGCCCTTAAAATGGGTGTCTTATTAATTTTTATTGAATTTTTGTGCATAAAATTGCATTTTTATTATAAAAATATCATTTTTTAAAGAAAAATGAAAATTTTTGAAAATAGGTTAATTTTCCCTTGCCGAAAATGGGTTAATTATTATTTTTGATCCTTATTTTTTGATTTGACACGCATTAAAAAGCATTAAAAGTAACTTAAATACATTATTAAAATGAAAAAAGCCATTCTCAAAAATGGGTTAAAATTTGCTTGCCGATGATGGGTTAAGCGAGGGCCATGTGTTTTTTCTGGAAGAGTACCTCCTATTTAGTAACCCAAAAAATATCAGAGCCGCCCGCGGTCATGGCCCCGAAATTTCCGACCCTACTGTAGATAGGGTGGTCGCTAAAAAAATCAACTTTTGATCCAAAAGGTCTGTAGGAGTAATTTTTTGATATAAGGATATTTCAAGTGAATGAAATAAATTTATCAAAAAAAAAATTTTAAAATTTTGAAAAAAGTACTATTTTGAGAGCTTCAAAAGTACGAAAAAAACTATTTTCTGAGCGACACGAGATAGAGAGGAATGGAGCACGCCACTGAAAAGAGCATCGTCGTTTTATTAAGATGAAAAAATAAAATCTTTTGGGTTTCATCATCTTCCAGTACTTTTTGACAAAAAACTGTATTCTAGCCCCGGAGGACCTTGGAGGACCCTATCTGCTGGAAGACTTTTTTACTGGAGAACTTTTTGAAATACAAAAATACTTTAAAATATCAATTTTATTCATCCTATGTACTGTGGTACAGTGTCACATGACTGACCGGAGGACTTTTGGAGGACCTTCTCCTGGAAGAGAGACTGTGATGGAAGACGATGTAAAAAACAAATTTTTTTACTAAATATACTTCATCTCTAAATCAGAGTACATTGATCACGTGACATCCCGAAATGAATGAAAACATGTAATACTGATTCATTGCAATAACAGAATTCTCTTCTTGAGAATTAATAAATTGACTGCGAGACCGCGAAAACTAGACATGTATTCTGCTGAATTATCACTTTTCCCGGTTTTTTCCAAGCTTTTTTGAACAGAGAATAGTCTTGCCTTTGCGAGAGTATGAGATTTCTTTACTTTTTCTTTCTCAAATATTTTGTGTTGTCTGATCATGAGGGATGTCCTCTTCAAGTCTCTCAAGTAAGAGACTTCTTGATATCAGAGAGTCTAATTTCTGAAGAAAAATGGAACCAACAAAGAGAACTTTATAATAAAAACAAGAGTTATTGGTCAAAATTCGTCCGAGTTGGTTCCAGCCTCTTTAAAAATGTTTTTCGAGCGATTTACCAGGAAAACAGATTTTGGAATATGGAAATGGAATTATTTTATTTTCGTCAAAAAGATTCCGATGCTTATAAAAAAAAGAAAGTTACGTTACTTTTGGCGGATCCTTATTCCTCAAAATTTCATCATTTTTGCCAAGCGAAAACAAGAAGACAGTCACAAGCGACGAGCGATTACTGTGACATTGACAGCGAAAATTTTTCCGTTTCGAAAACCGAAGATTTTTCTCATAATTCTTAGTAATTTTTTTTCTAGATGGTGTCAAAGTCAAAATTTTGTTTATTTACAATCGTGTTTCTCTCGTAAGAAAGGCTATAAAAAGAGACCGAAAAACGAAAAAAATCATATTCTTCAAGTTCAAGAATTTTTTTCTCAAACAGAGATATTTCTAATTTCTCTTTACTTTGAGTATTAACTTTTATTTTCTTTAGATGGGCGTAACGGCATCGGTCATGCTCTACGCGAGCGTGACTATCACAAATCTCGTGTTAAATGCGGTCACTTTGTCCCGGCAAAATCACGAAGACATCGAGCTTTTTGCGGTATTATTATAATCATAAAACTATGAAAAATAAAATTCGTATAAGGAGAACATTGAAGAAAATGATCTCAAACGCATATTTTGCAGCTGTGCGATTAAAAATAGAGCAAAACAAGTATCCACCCTTGAGTCCGTCTCTCAATGTTTGGGAGATTTAGGGGAAGTGCTTATCTTAAGTGAGGAGGAAATGCTTGAAGGCAGAAAGGAGTTAGAAGAAAACTGGCCCTATATTGATACAAATGGAGACGGAACCCTTGACCTCGAAGAGTTTTCGGACTCGCTGGCCTTGTTATCATGTGAGAATCATTTAGTACCTGCTTCTTATCCAATATTATATTCAGTGACAGTCTCCAAAAGCCTCATTGAAGGCGTGGGCAATCCAGATGGTGGACTCAACATGATGGAGTACAAGAACATCGTCAATCTCTTACTGAATTCGGCCCGTCAGATCATGACAATCAATTTCGCCTTTGAAACTGAGTTACTCGAGTACTTTGACACATCTCAAACCGACGGCAACCCCTCGGAATTGAGCGAGTCGGAGCTGATGCGCCTTTTGCCCCGCGTTTGGTCGCGTTCCGTCGCCGACTGTTGAAAGGCTTCAAAAACTTTCAAGAACTTGATTCAACAAGTTTATTTACTTCTCGTGTTGATTCGCGATATTTATTCTTTCTGTCAATCTTCGCAGAAATGACCCTAAAAATAAATTTCCTCCACCAGATTTCTTCAATTTTGGAGGTCCTCCGGGTCCTCCAGATGTCACGTGCATAACGTTTTTTTAATATGTTATCATTTTTTAGTAAATCTTAAAAAATTAGAAGAAAAAAATTTTGCTTCTTCTTCCAGCAGGTTTCTTCCATTTTGGAGGTCCTCCGGGTCCTCCGGACGTCACGTGGGTGAATATTTTTGAATATTCATTAAATTATAATTAAATAAAAAAAAATTTTTTTTTTGGTCTTCCATCGGGGTGTCTTCCATTTCGTGGGGTCCTCCGGGGTTCCTCCAGCGCTAGAATACAGTTTTTGGCAAATAAATACGGGAAGAAAGCCGAACCCAAAGAATTTTTTCATTGGTCCTTACTAAACTCAATATGCTCTTTCTAATGGTGCCTTCACCTTTTTCTTATCTCGGCTCGCTCAAAAGTTACGTGATTTTAGTACTGTATTTTAGTACTTCACGTGACGTCAAAAAATTTTTTTTTCGAAAATTGAAATCTATACCTAAAATACTATAATAGTCCCAAAAATAAAAGAGTTCCCATTGAAAACAAAAAAGTTTCATTTTTTTAGCGACCACCCTAACTGTAGATCTATCCCTCAACTAAAAATGTAATTTTTAGGAAAAAAAATAATCAAGCGGTTTTGGCGCCAGGGAGCGCGGCAGGTGCCTAACTTGCGAAAAATAGCGATTTTCGCATATTTTCGAACACGCCTCAAGCCCACAAAATTATTGTTTTTTTTCAAACAAACTATATTTTCAGAAACAACTAACCTTGATCTAAAAATGTAATGAAGGACAGTTGAATTGTCCAAAAAAGTTTTATGTAATTACGATGATTCACATAAAGTACGATTTTCAAAATTTTGACCATATGAATTTCCTTCCAGGCATAGCCTAGACTCGATTTTTCGGGCATTTATTGATAGCTGAACTCAAAAGCTCTCTAAAAATGTATCATGCGCGGCCCTGAGACAATTATAAAAAAGGGATTATTTCTTCGTTTCCATGCAAAAACAGCACAAATGACCATTTCAAGCTCAATTTAAGGGACATTTACCTGACGATACGGAAAAATGATCAATATATTTTTTGTTCCTCTTTACCTAAGCATTTGAAAAATTATAAAAGAATTTGAAAATTCCCACTTTCGCAAAAGCAATGGGGACCCCCTTAAACATTGGCTTAACCAACTTCAATCATGTCTACTTCAATATCATTAATATTATGTCAATCGTGGCTTCTCCATCATCAATTCTGGTATCAACATCATCAATCCTGGCTTCACCGACTTCAATCATGGCTTCACCAATGCCAATCCCGGGTCATTGGAAGTCCATCCCAACTTCTCGGAAGTCATCATTTTCGTCAATTTCAATCTTGGCTTTTCCAAAGTCAATTTTAGAGAAACCATGATTGACAACAGAGAAGCCGATACTGACGTATGAGGGGCCAGGATTGACTTCTGAAAAGCTAGGATCGAATTTGTTGAAGCCGGGATTGAACTTGTTGAAGTCACGGCGACTTTGGCAAGCGGCGACCACTCATCAGCTCAGTTCAACGATTTTTTGGGAAGGACATATCAGCTCAGCGCAGCTCACAATATAATCTTGTCAATATTGGCTTCTTTGAAAACAGTAAAATCTTCTCAGCGCAGCTCTTTAGAGTGCCAGCTCAATTCAATATGCAAAATTTTCACTTGAGTTTTAACTAAAGCTAAGAAAAAAGCAAAATATTCAAAACTTGGAACGATTTCTTTCGAGCGAAATTTTCGCGAAAATTTTTGGTAAAAAGCGAAAGCGAAGCGAATTGAAATTTCAAAAAGCGAAAGCGAAGCGAATTCGCTTCGCTTTGCTTCGCTTCGCTCATGAGCGAATTCGCTAAGCGAATCCAGACCCTGGTTACAAATTTTCTTACACAGACGAAGTCCTTACACTTCGTTAGGAAACACCGTGAGTTTTGCGTGAATTTTGTTGGGTTGCTTTTGTAATAAAAATAATCCTACTTAGCATTTTGCCGCTACGAAAGTTAAAATTCATAGCTTATATGAAATGTTGTCTCTAAATGAAGATCTTTATTCAATACTAAGCAAAATAGTTCTGCATGCAGAATACCCTCCCTTTATCGCCTCTAGAAGGCAGTAAAGGCGATGAACACATTCTCGTCGGTGCGGGAAATTTGTCGTCGTAAATCTTTTAGTGATGTTTTTTTTCAGTTGATAAAAAGCGTTTATTAAAAAACAACACTGTTTGAAAGTAAAAGATAATCGCATAAAATAGAAATTAGAAAGGGCAAATAGATTGACTTGTAAGAAGATCGTTGAACACAGTTTCCATAAGACTGTAATCCGTGATTTTGTGATAAGCTGTTAGTCGAAGCAAATCACAATGAGTGTTGAATCGATTGTGAAAAGTGCTTGCTTTCTTTTGGTTCGACGCCACATTGGAGTTTTTATCGAAGTTTTCTTAGGGACACCCTTAAAGAAAATTGAAAAAAAAATTCGATGATTTTGATCTGTGAATCCAAAAATATAAGTTTAATTTTAAAAAGTCGATAAAAAATTTCCCGACAACCTTCCCCTAAAGATAAACGCCCAGCAAATGAAGACGCGAGGGGAAAAAATAAATTCAAATTATACAAACATTCGGGATCCCGAAAAGCTTGAAATGACAACCGTTTGACTTCCTTAAAGAGGGGGTCGTCAATATGGATTTCGAGGGGTGACCAAAAAACGGGGGTATGGCGCCCAGGTTATGCATGCATAACTTATGCAACATAAGTTATGAAAATGCATAACCTGGTTATGCACCCTTAGATAAATATCCTTTATTTAACATTTAATAGATAGATCCAGTACGCTTCGCCATATATATGAAAACACCATTTTGACGGGTTTACGGCGGGAGTAAGTCTTTGTAAAGACTTGGTCATTGCGCAAAGACTGAGTTTTTTTTCTCTCGGCAATAAGTCTTTTTATTAAAAAAATAAAAGACTAGGTCTTTTACACATCCCTCAAAAAACGATTGCTACAGTCGAATAATTGTTGACTTCCTTGTATCCGGCGCCAGCTTTGATTAATCGACAGTAAAACTGCCTTTGTTTGAATTATACATCGACACGGGTAGATCCTGGCCGTTTTCTCTGCTTTTTTCTCGAAATTTTACGTTTTGAATAAAAAACAAGCATTTTGAAAACAAAAATTTTTTCCATTTAGAATCCGCACAATTCCGGACATTTTGCCCTTTTTGCTGAAAAAAAAGTGTCCGGAATTGTGCGTAACGACTGTACATGATACACGTGCCACATCCACTCAAAGAAAACCGCTACACTTTCTACATAATAATCTTTATTGCCTCGAATTCATCGCCAAATCGAAATCGAAATTGAATTTGTCGCCAAAGTTCTAAAGTCAAACTAGATTACTTCTTAGGTTATGAGCATTGTTAGGTCTAAAAAGAGACGTCAAAAATAGTGAGAGGCTAAAAAATCGTCTCTTCCGACATATATTACTGTGAAATGTATTCTCGTCATGTCGATAATAATAAATCTGCTCTAGAATTTTCTTAAAGTGAACAAAATCTTCACTCCAAGATAATTTTAGCAATGTAGCAAGCTACCCTTTGCTACACGTTTTTTAACGCTGCTTCATGCTACACCTGCTACATCAACATGTAGCAATTGCTACATTGCTACATTACTACACTGCCTTATATGATATAAGTTATATCCAAGCCTGCTTAATTGAACATGAAGAAAAGAACATAAAATTCATTGAAAATGACATTTTAAACCATTTCCAGAGCAAGTGTGCGGCGCACACTGTGCGCTCCGCGCTTGACTTGTAGAAAATTCATTGCCAAAACAGGTTACACTTCTACTGTTCCGACTGTATTTTGCAAGTTGAGAAAGTTTCTAGAATAAAGACTCACTCCCGCCGTCACCCTTTTGATGTCTTTTGGTATGAGTTAAGCATAAAATTGCTGCAATTTTCATCGAAAATGCATAACCAGGTTCTGGCAATATCTCGGCGCCCAACACCCCAAAAAACCATCATTTTAAAATTTTCACGAAAATGGCCCTACTTTGAGGAAATTTTTAGCAGATTTTTCCGGCCTAATTTTTTTAGTCTTTGCCGATGAATTATTTCAAGCCTATCCTATTTTAACGCTTGAACGCATATTGCGCAGATTTAGCTAAAAACGCGATTTTAGGTCGACTTTGACGCTCGATTTCCTCATTTTTCCCTTGAAAGTTTTCTCTGAAACCAAGCCGCCCACATTATTTTAACCCTTTTAAACTTATTTAGATTGAGAACAAAACAAATTTGTTTGAAAAAAATTGAGTTTTTTAGGTTGAAAGAATCCTGATTCTCGACCACCACCCCCTTAAAGCTCGATATCTCCTTCTTTACTTTGCCAAAATTTTTAATGGACCCCCACTTTAGGAGCTCTTTTTCGACTAGGAATCCGAATCTGGCATTGAAAAAAATTTTTGACTTTAGGATAAAAATTTGGCTTCAGAACGAATATTTCCGATTTTTTCGAATCATGCTTTTTTAGCTTTTCAACAGCTCCGAATTAATTTTTCCGTCGATGAAAATTATTTTTTCCACGTTTAATCGCATTGTTGCATCGAATTAAATAAAAATTTTATCATAAGTATATATTTTGCACATTTGTATTTGCGATCAATGAAATTGAAGAAAATTAAAAAAAAAAATGATTTCGAACCCTGACTGTAACGCCTTCGCAGAAAATCCATCGATGCAGCATTTTCATCTTTTGGTTTGAGGCGGCGATAAGGGAGCCAACGTAAGCATCATCAAGTGGAGTTACTGGCACAATTGGGATAACATTCGCCATTTGGAGTGAAAAGCGCCCAGTTGTAACATAAGCGAAGCCGGAGAAATAATCCGGATAACTTTCTTCAGGATAAACTTGCTTCGGAACAAAGTATTTTTCAGGGATGATTACTTTTGACATTTATAAGTTATAATTTTTTACTGAGCCATCGTGGCGTGGTTGTAGGCGGTCACGAGGAGACTTTTCTCCCATTTCGCCGAAATTTTAACGAGGAGACTTTTTCTCCATTTGACCATCTTCTGAGAATTTTCGAACGAGGAGACTTTTTGCAATTATTTTCTCTAGATGAATTTCACTGTGTAGATTCTACGCCGTAGAAGATGAATGTTCGACTGATTGTCTACAAAAAATAACTGGAGAAATTTATTCTTCAGAGGATAAGTAAGAAAATAGATTCGGCAGGAGAAAATTACAAAATCTAATAACCCCCAACCACGGGGCTACTTCGCCCCTTAGGTCCAAAAATGCCGGGGTCTAGTCTAGGGTTCCTTAGGGTTACCTTCAGGCCTATACTAACCCTAGCCTATGATAGGCTGCCTATCTCCCTCGGGTAAGTTTGTTCTCTGATTTTGCCCAGTCCAAACTACAAATTATTCCTCAAAAGCTCAGAATTGGCGAGCCCAAAGAGTGCCTAAGTATATAAAAAAGATAAAGGACTTCTCCATTTTATGAGGATATTCTACTAAATAATAACACCGCCAACAAGTTATCATCCCTGAAATTTACTGTCTAGTTCACGTATCGGCTTTGTCCATTTTGGAATCTTGAGACATCCTGTTGCTTCGAACTCAGAATCGCGTATCAGTTCGAGATCCTTCTTTAGATTTTTAGGAATGATAAGAACGTCATCATCGCCTTTGAAGACAAAATCTACATTGTGACAATTCCTTTTGATAAAATTGAGGTAACCAACGTCTTTGAAGGAAAGATTGAAGAGACTCTCCTTGAAGTCGAACTGGGGTCGGAAACTTATATCAATAAGAGAATAGACTAAGACTTGTCCTTTTGGGAACTCCACATTTTGCTCCCTTTTTCAATTTCAAAAGTCTTACAAGTTTTTTATTTAATAAAGTAAACTTTCAGTGACAACATCATTGTTAGCCCGATAACGCGAGTTTGAAATTATACGATAACGAGAGCGGGAGCAGTTAGTGCACCCGGGCCATCTAGAACAATTTTAAGCAAAAAGAGGGCAAAACTGCTTGTTTTCTTGGTCTGTAAGACGGCGCTTTCGTCGGATTTTTGAAAAATGCTCGGTCTAGAACTCCTGAGAACTCTTTTTTCTGAGGAAAAACGCGAAAAGAACGCGCGCTCTCTTGATGAATGTTATGTAACATTGAGTTCTCGAGACGAATTTCCAAAAATTTCCTCCTTTTTTGTAAAGAATAGGGATTAAATATAGAGTATGAAGATTTTTTAAAGTCAAACTAAGTGAGGAATAGATGCTAGAATCTAAGTTTTTTTGAATTTTTCGATTATCTTCAAAATTGAAGAAAATCACAATGCAACAACTAGCTCTGGGAGCACTTAGTGCTCCCGCTCTCGTTATCGGGTTAACTTGATATTATATGTTATTTTGACTATATTTTTATATGTTATTCCAAAAGAGACGCTTTTAAATTTACCGAGTGAAAAAAACGTCTCTTCTTAGAAAAATTTTATAAAGTTAGCGTTTCCTATTTATCGGTGCGCTGGTTAAATTCAAGACTAAAAGTTTTTGGATACTGAGCGTCGGTTGAAGAAGCAGGGGATGCGATACATGAAAAAAGCTTCATCGTGGAACTTAGCTTCACATGTAAACCTTTACGCCATTATCATTTTCATGTATCACTTGCCCTGCTACCTCAAACGGCTACCTCAAGCGTCATAAGTTCCAAAATTTTCTGACTGTACCAGTTCATCTAGCGAAACATATACATATATATTTTTATTTAGCTAACAAGGATTTCAAATCTTTTTTCAGATCTGAAATATCTCATCTAGAACTTGAGATATGAAACATTCTATAGGCCTGCTAATGCAATTAATTTCCGATTTATATATCAAACTATATATTTTCTGAAAGCTTGAAAAATCTTCATTCTAATTTTAGGAACCGTTCCTAATTTTAGGAACGCCATTCTCCTACCCCCGCAAAAACCTGCTCTTTGGCGTTTTTTTTTGTAAAATCAACAATTTTTAGTCTAGAATCTAATCTGCGCACCGAAAAAAGGAAACGCTTTTTTTATAGTATCTTTCTTAGAAGAGAAGTTTTTTCGACTCGATATATTTATAAACGTCTCTTTTAGAATCTCATATAAAGATATAGCCAAAAAAACATTTAGTTTGACTTTAAATATTTCAACAAAATGTGTTATTCTAAGATTATGAGCATAATTATTAATTTTTTGATGTCGACGAGAGGATTAACAAGATTACTAATCAAAAATCGGGCTTTAAGAGGCGTCTCAAAAGGGTTTAAACTTTCTTTTGACATATAAAGAATCTTGAACAACCCAACTTCTACCGGGGTCAAAAATTGGCTGAAAATCGTTGTTGACACCCTTAAGCTAAAAACGATGAGTAAAGCCAAAAATACAAAATTAAGGTAATACCTTAATTTGATAATACCGTATTATCTTCAGCTGAAATCTCATGAGGACACGTCAAAACTCAAATTATCAATGGAGAATTGACTCTTTCTCATAATGAGAATCTCATTAGATTTTTTAGTCTCTGTCAAGTCTAGTCTTATAAGTCTTAAAAATTTCAAGATACGTTTCCGATCCCAAGAATCGAGGATGAGCAAGTCTTCTTTGATGTTTGCCTCTTCTTCGAGATCTTTATCGTTTCCAGTGATAAATACAATCTTGATTTCGAATCCAATCTTTTTCCAAATATCTTTTCTTAGCCATGTTCTTCTCAGAATTTCCCTTTCATGAATCGCTCCTGGTATTGATTTGATCCCAAAAATGAGCGAAGTTAGACTTGGATCTTGAAAATCACATGCATTTGGCTCTTGAATGATTGCAGGTTTCAGGTGTTTGTTGAAGCGGATCATTTGATTAAGGTACGGAAAATCTGAAAAAAAGACTTATTGAAGCCAAAAATCAAAAACTTTATACAATTAAAATGTAAGAATATAATATATTATTTTTAAGGAACCCCCCCCCCCGGTCGCTTTTTCGAAAAATTAAACTTCTGAATTATAATATTTTGACCCCGGAAATTGATTATACAGGTCAAAAAAACGATTTTCTAGCATCATTTTTCGGGGGTCTCTCTCGACTACTCCACCCATAAAAACGTATTTGAAATTGGACTTTTCGCCAAAAACTGACAAATAAGCCCTTATTTTGGCGAAAATATTGAATTCTCTTCAAGAGACTAATAGTCAAATATTCTTCTTATCAAGTTTTTGAATTAAGTTTAACTTAAGGACGCATTAAAAACCAATAATATGGTGTTTTTTATAAATTTTTATTTTTCGAAAGAAAAAGCTGAAGGGGGGGGGGGGGTTCTTAAAAAATACAAAAAGTACCCTGGAATTTTTGGTAAACAAAAAAAAAATTTAAGAAAAAGGATGAGAACCCAAAGGGATGAGCAAGAAAGGAACTGAAACCAAAGGAGTGATTTGATCGATTCGGTTTTGATAGGTTTGATAAACTTGACGAGGCACACTCCACTTTGTGTCGCAGTCAAAACTTCGCACCAGTACTCCAAAGGTCTCCAGCCGAGCAAGTAGGAAACAAGACCGCCGACCAGAGTCCGAAATCTGGTAGAAAGTCCGTGCTCCCGCTCCCTCACCCTGAAAAAAGGGTGCTCCCTCGTAAAAAATCCGTAGTCTGAAAAATTTTCTAATAATATACTTTAAGGAACCCCCGTCAAGAATTTTTGAAAAATCTTTTTTGGGAATATTAAAATTTTGACCCCGGAAATGGATTCTTTGGGTAAAAAACGATTTTGAGGATTCATTTTTTGGGGCTCTATATACATATACTTTATCAATTAAGAAATATACAATACATGTACTTATAATCCGAGAAAAATATATTTTTCTCAAATTATTAAAGTCAAACTAAATATTATTTTGGCTATTTATCTATATGAAATTTTTTAAGAGACGTTTATAAGAATATCGAATCGAAAAAACGTCTCTTCTATGAAAAATACCACAGTTATTTTGGGAAACCTTCGAAACTATTCTGCATGCAGAATAGTTCTGCAAAATGCAGAATAGTTTTGTCGAAAAAAGAACTATTTTCCGACGAAATAATTCTACATGCAGAATAGTTCTGCATTTAAGAAAAACGACTTTTATCAAAGGAGGCGCGAGAGTAGAGAAAGTTGACCACCTTCAGAAATGAGTTCCCTACCAGAATTTGCACTACCCGCAGCGTGCTTCCAAACAGTGAAATTTTGTCTATAAATGAAGATCTTCTTTTCAACACAATGCAGAATAGTTCTGCACTTGTGCAGAATAGTTCTGTATTTTGCAGAATAGTTCTACATTTGCAGAATAGTTCTGCATTCGACAGAATAGTTCTACAAAACGCAGAATAGTTCTACTTTTTGCAGACTAGTTCTATTATTTGCAGAATAGTTCTGCATGCAGAATAGTTTCGACCCCCTCCCGTTATTTTCCTCTTTTGTGGACATTTTTTGTCCAAAATTTCTATAAAAATGTCCACTAAAGAGGGCAAGAGTTTTCAAAAAAATGTCCCCTCGTAGGGCCTTAAAATTTTCTCCTCGATAAATTTTTCGAAATATGGCAAATTTGCTCATCGAAACGTTTTTTTTTTGCCTGTTTTACCATTTTGGTCAATTAAACTGTATAAGCCATTGATTTCTTATAAAAAACATCCTGAATTTTGGAAATAGACCCTATTTCTTCCTATTAAATTTTCTCGGCTTGACAAATTTGCACAAAAGTGCAGCATTATCCTTGCAAAAGTGTCCAACAAAACCCCCATAAAATGAAGAAAAATTTTGTCTTTATGTCTTTGGAATCAAAAAATATTATCAAAATTTTAAAAAGTCGAAAAAAATCTTCTCGACCACCAACTACTTAAGCAGATTTTACTTATTTTTTTCCAGAAAGAAAAATTTGGTTTTGTCTCGCTTATGCCTTTTTTGATAAAAAAAATCTTGATTGTCGACCACCAACCCCATAATTTATACCTGGGTAAATACATTTGCCCTCTATTTTCTGCCGTTGTCCTCTCAATTCCGGATAATTTTCTTCGAGAAGCGTCAGGTTGAGAAAAATATCTGGCTCATCATCATTGCAATTCTCAAATTCGTTCGTTCTTATTTCAGTGTTCGGGTCTTCAAATATTGTTCTGTCGAGCAAGTTTTCTTCCTTCATTTCGTTAATAATCATATTTTGAATTTGATCTTCTTCATTTGGCGATAATTGAACCGGCTCATTAGTAATAAGATGAAGAAACAAGAGACCGATAAACTGAATAAAATCGTTTTATTATCATTCATTTAAAATTATCCCTACGCCATAAATGAAAATAGCAATCACATATTGACACTTTGCTCCTCTTTTCCTCATTTTGTGAGGATGCTGAAGATACACCCTTTCTTTAATTTATAGAGAAACTGAATTTATTGAGTTAATGTAAATATAGATATCAAATGTTCTAGAAATTTTCGGCTTGGAAAATTGATAATGTTTGTATATTGTAAACAAACCAAACCAATACTCATCTCAACAAACACCAGACAAAACAATAGACGCATATGTTTAGCGAAATAACTTCCTGAACACAACAAGCGATTTGAGTTTGAGTGCAGACCCTTGCGTTCTTGGCTAGATATGAGTCATTTTTGACCGTAGCGATCGACGCACACCCAAATTTCTTAATTCCAAATTCGCGTGGTTTCTTAGGGGTCTACAGAGGGTAATCGTTGTTCGCAAATTTGGCCCAGATCGAAGCTGGAAACTTTAATTTTTTGGGAAGAACCAAGAAAAGAAAATGATTTTATTGTATTTACTTTGGCTGTTCGGCTTATTTATCTTCCGAAAATGTTTTTTTTTCGTAGTTTGCCCTTCAATTCTTCAGCTTACAAATGGTTAGCTTACGTTTGAGCAATAACGCATAGCCTATACGACCACCAAGCATTATTCAGCCCCGCGCGGCGCGCCGAATAAGTAGTGTAAAAAACAGCGCCGACTTTTTTGTCTTATTCATAATTATGTCGACGTAATAAGTTTAAAACAATATTGTTAGAGATTTTGAACACTCAGCTGTTCACTCATGTTATTATCAAGGAGAAACAAATTCGACTTTTCGATAATGAGCGCAAGAGAAATCTTGTGCAAAGCGCCATCCCTCTGGGTGACGGCGGATTCCATTCTTTTAAAAGAATCATTCTTTTTCTCAATATTCTAGAGAAAATTAGGTAAAAATAGGTTTTTCGGATATATAAAAATTCTTGGATATCAAACTCTCTGGAGTTTCCCTGATAACTGGCGCGAAGCGCACACTCGCTCCTGAGTTATTTGCATAAAAAGGATTTTGTTTCTGAACTTTTGACTGTCTTTTATGCGTTGTTTCAGGTATTCTTAAAAAAGAATGATTCTTCACAAAGAATGGAACCCGCCGTCTACCATCCCTCTTGAGAAATTTCAAGAAATTTTGCAGAGTAGTTCGATTTAATCAATAAATATTTTAAGAATTTCTTTTCTTAAGTGTTTTTTATCAAAAATTTTTATCTATTTTTTTGATTTTTTCTGACGATGACGATGATTTTCCTAAAACGAAAATTCACAAAGTTTGCAAAAATGGCTTTTTTGCAGGCAGAAACCCTGAGGCAGAACAAAAAATGCAAGTAATTTTTCAGGCATCATGGTTTTGATTCCGGGACTGGGGTCGGCAGTTTTTGTAGAATGTTTTTTTGCAAAAAAAAATATGACGAAAATACATTTCAATCTAAGAACTATCGGAAGAGACGATTTTTTATCCTCTGACTACGCAAAGCGTCTCTTTTGAGACTCTTTAATGCACATTAGCTTTGAAAAAATCTAGTTTGACTTTAAAAATTTCGCGAAAAAATTTTTTTCTGAACTGCACAACTTACCTGCAAAGCAATTGACTTGTGCAGAGCAGTGCAGAGCAGTCAGTTTCTCCTGCCCTGCTCTGCTCTGCACAGTCCAAAATCTGGACACTGTGCAGAGCAGAAGCCGACCCCAGTTCCGGGATTAATTGAATAATACAGCAATCTCACTGGTTACCTTAAAATGCACTTCTCTTTTAGCTTTTAGCTTTATCTTCAGTGATACAACCGATTTTTATTTTTGGGCCAACTGTGTCGACTAAGAATTTTTTGAGATTTTTTTTTGCCCTATTGTGAAAAGGCTGTTGAATAATATGTCAATTTTTGACTTCTTTTGCTTCTCTAGAAACAAAATCTAATAATATTATTTTCTTCTCTGGTGTCCCAGAAATAAAATCAGATAAATTTTTAATGATGAGTGCAAACATCATGAAAATCATCAAATCAAAGGTAAAATTAGCAATTTTAAACCACAAAATATCAACGAACATGGCCGATGTGACATGTTTGCTGCGAATTATTTACCGATTGGGTCCCCCAAGATAAGCCTGAACCGAAATTCAAGATCAAATTTCGATGGAAATTTCTCAAAGTTGAATTTTTCAGTGAGAAACGAATGAAATGAATTTTTTTTTTTTGCCAGGTTACTATCGAAACACATACTTTGTGCTTTTAATATTTGATTGAATAAAACTGTTGGAAAAGTAGACAATTTTCGTGCTTTTTGCATTGACCGCCTTGTCTGCCTTGTCTGCCGAATTCGCCGAGTGAAGGTTCAACTCACTCAACTTACTGTATTTCATAGAAGGCACGTTTTTGACTCAATTCATTTGTCTCTTTTTAAATCAAACATAGCGAAAATTATATCTTTTCATGAATAATCCAAGGAGAATTTATTTATCTCAGATCAAGAGCATAATCAAAATGTGAAAATGAAGCTATTGTTCAAATGAAGTCTTTCCGTCCGATCGTTCTCCTGCCAAATCAATGTTTATTGTAATTGAAAGTCGCGGGCGAAGTGCCTACAAATTGATGTCAGATTTTTTAGGTGTAGGGCGCCCAGGTTCACAATTGTGAACCCGTTTCACAAAATTTTTAAAAGAACGAAATGAGGGGTCTGTATGCGTTCCGCGCCTGATTCCATAGAGAAACTCATTTTTGATGTATTTAACTTTCTCTACAACCGCGCCTTCAGTCAATTTGAGTCACTTTTTTGACCGAAATTGTTAACCAACCGATTGTGAACCTGGGCGTTCTGAATATTCGGATCCGTTCCTTATTTTTTTTTGTCGTTCTCAAAACACAGTTTCACTACTGGAGTTTAGGGACTAGGGTGGGTCACTTTCAGGATTGGTCTTCCGAACTTATTTTAATTTTATCAGGGGATAGTTCTGACACAAATAGAGAACTTTTTTCAATAGATTTGAAAAAAAAAAAATTTTTTGGAAATTTTTTCGATAATTCAGTATTGAAAAAATAGTTTTTCTAGAATAACTATTTTAAAAGTGACCCACCCTATTAGGGACACAAAATTTTGAGGCAGATGATGCCAAATAAAACTCGACCGAGGAATACGGTAACATTTCATTGAACATTACATATCATTTGTCAAAAAAAGACATTTATATACAGTAAAAACGCCTGGTCTGGGACGGCCTTAATCAACAAAAGCGTCCCAAACCAGGCGTTTTTTCATTTTCCTCTCTGGCGCGAATTTCGCTCGCAATAAGTTTAAAATCACCCCCTGGGCGTGTGCCTTTGATCTTAAACGGCCCGACCGTTTCAAACCAGGCGTACTTTTGACCGTCCCAGACAAGGCGTTTTTATTGTAACTAATAATTTCTCTATTTGTTAAACTTGTCTAAAAGACTGATTTCATTTTGGTTTGATTTTAAAAATTTCTTATGATAGTATTAAAATCGGCAGTTTTTGGCAGTCAACTTGCAGCTGCGACTGGTGGTTGTTTATTTTTGCATTCACTTGGCAGTTGCAGTTACAATTTTAGAAGGCTTGTTGCCTTTTCCTTTCACTGAAAGGAATCTGAAAGGCTTTCAGATTTCGAACTCTAGGTGGTGGGGATAAACGGATTAGTATTACAAAATTTCGCTGAGATCACGGTTTATGAAATGGTTGAATTCAAAAACTCTTGAGTTCTGCAGTCTTACAAAAGAAGCTCTGATGATGATCTTCCAACCGAAAACGTTCAGCAAACTGCAATTAACTCCTTCATTTATCTACACGATGTCATTTATCAATCATATAATTGGAATTATCAAAATTTTAGGCTGCAATCCTAATTTTTCTGATCATTGGTGGTTCTTTTGTTTTCTCCGGCTCCGGCAACTCGCAAAGCGATCCAAGATATGTCTTGCGTTCTTATCAAGAAAAAATCGGTAAACAAGCAAATGAAATAAACAAGCCGACTATGCCCGATTTGCTTAGGACTCATCATGAGTACTGCAGGTAAAATTTATTATAGCCAGAAGTTACTATCAAAGAAATCATATGATTTAATTTTTCATAAAAAGTTTTTGCGCAAAAATCTTTGCTATGGCAACTTGGTCCTAGGGTCGGCACCGACCACCGACCAAAACCCGACGAATCAAACCTGTGATTTTTATTCTTTATTTGGTCGGTGGTCGGGTATGGTCGGTTTTTGGTCGGTTTTTGGTCGGTCTTGGTCGGATATTGAACGGTTGACGGTGGGGTTGGTCGGTTTGGGCCAATGCCGAACTGCGATTCTTTGTTCGCGACAAACTTTCATGGAAAATCCATGAGAAAATTTGGCCAATCAGAGGCCCCTATTCGGCCTACCGGCCAATCAGTGGCCAGTATTTTTTTCTGGAAAAATTTGTCGCGAACAAAGAATCGCAGTTCGGCACTTCCCCGTCGGTTTCGGTCGGAAACCTATTCATTTTCTTCACCCATCGAGTATAATTTTAGTGATAACTAACAGCGGACCATTATTTCTTTTGGATAAAAACCGACCCGACCCGACCAAAAACCGACCACCGACCGACCGAAAACCGACCAAAAGTAAGGCGACCCGACCAACCAAAACGACCACGGATTTCGCCAAATTTTTGGGAGACCGACCAACCCGACCTGGGAAAATGGTGGTCGGTGCCGACCCTAGACTTGGTCCTAGCTCAAAAATGCGGGTAAAACCTTATTTGATAGGCATAATCTGATTTTACTGGGGGATAAAAAAGCGTTGAAAAAATTAGGCAGCAAAAACTAGAAAAAATTTTGGCAAGAAAAAATCGGTCAAAAATCCAGTCAAAGTAGGGCCATTCTCGCGAAAATGCACCAAAATGGTCATTGTTTAAAATTTCTTTAATTTCAACTCCTAAATCTTATTTTTATCAAATGATTTTGGGCTCAACAGATTTGGGACTCCAGAAATTGGGAGAATCTGTAGATTCCAAAAAATAAGATTCATATCCAGACTCTGTATATAACTTATATAATGTAAGCGAAATTACGATCACCCTTGAAAAAATTCTCGTCGACCCCCCCCCCTTAAAATGGAACAGAGCTTTTTCAGAACCCCAGACTTTGCTTTAAATCATTTTTAATTTAAGCCAAAGTCCACTAACAAGAACTTTACAAAATCGGGCTTCAACTCTCGAAGGACTTTCAAAAGGCGGGGTGAAGTTTTCAACCTGTCTCACGGCAAAGTCTGCGTCAACGGCGCTGACTCAAATCTTCCTCGAAATTACAGGATTTATTAAGGATCCAATCGGTGTTCAATTCAAGGAAGGACATAAATTATGGACGATTAATTGATTCTTAACGAATGAACGCATTCGCAAACTGGAATTTTTTCATTTTAAGCAACACCCCAAGTTTCTTGAAATTCCTGCGTTCAAAAATCAGCTTCCGATTTTGGCAGTGGCAACCGACATTATTTTTCAGATTTTGAAGTCATTATTTTAGAAAAAATAAAATTGATAAAAAGATTATATTATTCCTCAGATAAATGTCCAATTAAAGCAAATTCTCGATGGCGATCACCGAAGTAATAATGAATGCGATTCTCTCGAAAAGGGCTGTCTCTTGCAACCAGGTTCGTTTAACTAAGCTCGGTTCGACGATAAATCCTAATATAAAAATCTTGATTACCCGTTTTTGATCATGAGTTTCTACTATAAAGCAAGGGTTAGTTAATGCTACTAAAGGTAGCTCTTAAGGGGGTAGAACTAGGTTTTTCGAAAATAACCAATTCTAGACCGGCGCTCAAAGCCAGGCGAGCTTAGATATTTAAATTCTCTCTTCGGCTGAAGATTGAGCAAACGTAGATCTAACAACATTTCTCTTAAAAAATTTTTTCGTGAACAGAGTCACGTGACATGCCAAATTTTTGAAATTCCATTTGAAGATAGTTTAACCCTTTTTCTAGCAACATCTATGAAGAAATTTCCTTATCATAAGTAAAAACAGGTTTTTTTTTAATAAAAATGGCCCTCCAAAATTACTTTTATTCGAAAACCTTGGGGAAAACCCCAAGGCTTTCCATTTTGAATTATAAAGGTGGGTTTCAGATCCCAGGGCACCGCTTTACATTTAGACTCCTAATTTTAGAGTATTCAAAATCTCTGGGTGCAAATTTCTCTACACTGCAAAATTCAGAGCTTCTTTAACAAAATAGGAGCAGCTTTTTTCAAACTTGGGATCTTAAAATTTTTTCGCGATTTTGTCTAAGATGCCAAATTTTCGTGGCCCAAAATTATACGAAAAATAAAGTGCAACAGTAACGATTTTTGTGAGCCTTTGTTTCGAGTAAAAATTGAAGATTTATATTTACTCAAGTTTTTAGACCAAATCGACAAGGACTCTTTGCAATTCATTTTTGTTCGCGACCCGATGGACCGAATATTCTCCGCCTGGAAAGACAAAATGAACAGAACTGAGGATCGTGAAATGTACTACGAATTCCCTGGGAAGCAAATTATTAGAGAAGAGTTCGATCTTCCCGAAAATTTTCTGTTTCCGAAGCGAAAAATGGACGCGCATAAAATGGGATATTATGTCAGCTTTCAGATGTTTGCCCGGTGGTTGGCGAAAGACAATCATTACAAGACTAATATTCACTGGAATACACTTCAGGTATCTTCAATCATTAGCCTTATGGGCCATAAGTTATGGCGATCTTAGTACAAAAATTGGATTTTTTATAAATCGGATCCAAAAACAAAAATTCAATTCAAAGCATCTAACTAAGACGCACCAAAAGTGCTTATCCAAGTTAACAAATTTTACTTGAGTATCTTTTTGAAATTGCATAACTTGTAATACCATGGAGTTTAACTCTTTTGGGAGAAAGTCCCTGGTCCCATTCCCCCTTTCCCGCGCATTCTACTGTCAGAGGATTCAAGAAATTATTCCAAGCCCCTGTTTGGCGCTTTCTCGAATCTCGAAAGTCTGAGTGGAAGATAAATGTCCGCTGATTGGCTAGACATAGCTGCCGCAAAATTAGGCGCGCTCAGAATTGGGGTTCGCGCAAAGCCCATGTATTCTCGCGAACCTCAGATTCTCCTATCTCCACTTAGAGCTCAACTCCATGGTAGTTTCATACATTCATTTTGAAAATCCTGGCGATATCGGGGAGCTACCTCTCGTGGTCATTTCGTCAAATTTGTGTCTTATGGCAAGTTACCTCTCGAGGCTTTTTGCCTCACGTGGTCATTTCCTAACGACCTTAGTAATCTGAAAAGAAATGACGACTGCCACTGCAAAGTGACTGCCAATGTTGACTGCCAAAAACTGCCAATTTTGATACTGTTAAGGACCCTTCCCACGGCTCGGTTTTTCGAGAATTTCAAAGCCGTCTAGCGACTAAACAAGATGCCATATATTTTTTCCTAATAGAGATATGAAAAAGTCTCTACGGAAAGAATGTGTCCGCGAAAAATAAAAGTGAAATGATGGATCTTACAGCGATTTGAAAAACCGCAAAATCCAAACCGTGGGAGGGGTCCTTAAGGGGGTAGAAACAGCTTTCTCGATTTTGGACTGTAGCTACATAAAAGAAAACATAAGATTAATTTATATTAACGGAAATTCCTCATAAATGTTCCTAGAAAAGGGGTTGAGCTTCACATAACTGTGAATGAAATTTGCTAAACTATCAGGTGACTCGAGATATTCGTGTTTGAAAATTGGCGAAAATCGAGAATTTCGGAGAGATGAGTTGCTCCTGAGCCCGCTTATTCAAAAAATTGATGACTAAAACAAATTTCGAGAGAGATGTTCCTAGATCTAAGATGTATCTATCTAAAAATGAAGAGAAGATTTGAAACCGTAAGATTCTCTTGTCTGTAGCGTCGGTCAAAAAATGCCTTCTTCGGAAAAAAGCTGTTTCTACCCCCTTAATATAAATTTTTAAAATCAAACTTAATTCAAAGCAGTCTTTTTAACAAGTTTGCCATAAAAAAAACAACGTTATAAAAATGTCTCTTTTGATAAGAAAGATGGAAAAATATAGGTCTCGGGAGCAAAATTTGATCATAATTTATGATTCATAAACGTTTTTTTTTCTTTGTCAGTCTACAATTTTTGGACATTTTGTGTCGCACTATATTCTTAAAAAATAACCAGATAAGATAATTATTTGAAAAATTTTATTCTTTTCTGTCAGAGCGAATCAAGAGTAACTTTCGAAAAGTTCGAAAATTAAGGACCCCCCGTCAGCTTTTTTCGAAAAATCAAATTTCGGAATTTTTAAGTTTTGACCCCGGAAATGGACTCTACGGGTCTAAAAACAATTTTGAGGCTTCATTTTTTTGGGGTCTATGTAGACTCTAACACCCTCAAAATCGCATTTGAAAATTTGACTTTACGCCCAAAATTGACGAATTTGCCCTAATTTTGGCTAGAATATTGATTTTTCTTGGTCAAAAATTCCTCCTATCAAGTTTTTGTAGCAAATTTAACTTAAGTACGCATTAAGAACCAGAAATATGGTGTTTTTTAAATTTTCATTTTTCGAGGAAAAAGCTGACGGGGGGCTGGGGTCGGCAACTCGACACTCAAATCTCGTGTCGAGTCGAGTCGAGTCGAGTTCATTTTTCTTCAGCGAGTGTCGAGTCGAGTCGAGTCGAGTCGAGTTGTGTCGAGTTGTGTCGAGTTTTGAAAATGTGATGATATTCATATACATGATTCAAAATTTTGCCTCGACTGGCTTTCTAGGATGGTCTACCTCGGAAGATTTTTGAAAGAGATGATGACTCCGGCATTTTTGACCGTCAATGTCAGTAATTTATCTCGAAAAATTTCGACAAAACTCGACAAAAACTCGACACAACTCGACAACTCGACATAACTCGACACTAAAATTGGCTGTCGAGTCGAGTCGAGTTTTCAAAAACTCAACTCGACTCGACTCGACAACTCGACTGTCGAGTTTTTGAGTTGTCGAGTTGCCGACCCCAGACGGGGGGTCCTTAAACTGCGTTCAAATTTACAAATAATTTTGTTCGGGTTTTGGCAAAGAAAAAAACCAATTATGACCATGCCTCTCGGAGTATTTTCAAATAAGTCTTTCACACCTAACTTATCATCTAAATGTATAACGTCAAATAAGCCGATACATGATGACATCGAGAACCTCTCGACGATAAGCAAATTTCGTCGAGAAGCAACTTGCCACAAAAGGCAAATTAGGCCCTTTATCATATAGCGTACATCATAGAGGGTTATTTATAGATTTAAATAACAGTCGATTGAAAAAGCCGCCTAAATTTTGGGCGGTGAAATCAAGTCTTTTCACTTAAAACTTTTGTAATTTAGAGAGAGATTGTATAGAATTTGTCAATAAAAACATTGTAGAGCTCATGCGACATCTGCGCGTTCGATTTCGACTTTATCGGGCGCATCTCTCAAATGGACGAAGACATGCCTCGCTTGATGCAACAACTCAACGTCAGAAGCCCATCTTACGACGAAATTCAACAGGGATTCCAATCCGCAAATGCTCATTCAACGAAACATTCAAAATTGAAGATAGAAGAAGAGTTTTCAAAATTAACGAATGTCGAGTTGGAGAATTTATTGGCGATATATATTGGAGATTATGCTGCTTTCGGCTTGCCTATTCCTGGTTTCGCTAAGCCATCATTCATTTGATGATGATAATGAAAAATAGATTCTGTATATCTCCATTTTCAATTTTTTTTTTATTTCACATCAATATTTTCTGCTCAATTTTTTTTTTAATATTTACATGCATCATCGAATAAGAATAAATCAAAAAATATACAGTTGACTCGCACAATTTGGCCCTTTTTTGATTGGCAGATTTCTCGAAAAAGGGCCGAATTGTGCGGGTCCGAAATTCAAATTAATTTGCTGTTTCTTTAAAAAAGATCAATTTTGGAGCCCTTAAATGTTAAAATATAACTTTTTTATACAATTATCCCCGTAAATTCTACGTGTTTAACGGAAAAAAGAGTAAGAAATAGCATTTATCTCGTGAATACATCTTACAAAATACGTTTGAGCAAGAAAATTTTCATTAAGGGGGAGGTGGTCGAAAAATTTTTTGTCGACTTTTTAAAATTTTACTGATATTTTTGGATTCCTCGATCAAAAAGGAACAATTTTGGTCTCTCCCTTTTTTTGATTGGATTAACTTTAATATAGAAAATTTTTTATTTTATGTCATGAAGAAGAGATTTTTGGAATTTTAGAATTTGTTTATTTCGCACTTAAACCAACAAAACTTTATTTTTTTATGTATAATATGTTTTTCTATCAGATTAAAACTGTAAATATCAAAAAATTACGGGTTTCGGCGATTTTTTGGAATTAATTTTAATAAAATTTTTAATAAAAATTAGTGAAAAATAACGATTTTTAGCAAAAATGACATTTTTAAATCGGCCGTTACGACCTTAATTACCATAGCATCCCAATTTTCTCTCCACGTTGGCCTCAAGATAATTGTCTGAAGAATATTTTTCATCAGTAAAATTTTTAAAAATTTTTAGGGTTTGGCCGGAATCCTTGTTAAGAGTAGGGTCGTCTTTAACATAAATTTTCTCCAACATCGTAAATTTTTTTTTCAAATTTTTTCCTGTTGGCCCCTCCGTTAAACCCTTTTCTATCAGATAAAAATCGAATGAAAATCTTTCATAATAAATTCTAGGAGTTATGCTTGTTAAAAGAGGTGTTAAGAATCGACCAGCTCCCCCTTAAGAAGAAGAATTTCATTAATTTACGCGAAATTCGTAAAAAAGGGCCGAATTGTGCGGGTCCAAATTGTGCGAGTCAACTGTTATTGACATTCATACAGTATGATTCAGTATTGATTATAAGTTATAACGTGAAAAATGAGTTCTTCTATGAAATCAGGCGCAGAGCGCATATAAACCCCTCATTTCATTCTTTTAAAAATTTTGTGCACCGGGTTCACAATTGTGAACCTTGGCGCCCTACACCCATCTATGCTCAGAAAATTTTACATTGATAAGATGAAAAAATATCATGAAATAGCAATAGATCTGATTCTCGACCACCAACCTATAATGAGAAATAGATTTAATAAGCAGGTTTAAAGAGGAAATCAGAAAATACAAGTGTGATTGTTTGAAACAAGATCATTGAACATTGTTTCCATCTGTTGATAGTCAGTCACTTTGTGATACACGGTCAGACGGAGTAGGTCACATCGAGTTCTGTAGCGTTTTGCCTTCGCGCTTGCTCTGACGCCTTCGCAGAAAGTCCATGATTGAAGCATTTTTTCACTTTGACCCGTCGCGGCAATTAAAGAGCCAACATAAGCATCATCAATTGGAGTTATTTGAACAAAAGGAATTTTTTCTGCCAATTTTAATGAAAAATTTCCTGTCGTTATATAGGCAAGTCCTGAAAAATATGCAGGATAACTATCTTCGGAATAAACTTGCTCAGGGACGAAGTATTGAAACGGGATGACCATTTTATTTATAAAAAATAAGGAAAAGGACGGTGCCGGTACCAAATTGGTACCCGGTACCAAAGTCAAGCATTTTTTCTGACTCATCAAAAATCTTATGTCCGCTCCGCGGCTGAAAGGTCCGGAAACTTCATTTATTTAGCGAATAAACCTTTTAAAAATAATTTTGGTTCGGTATCGTGACATTTTTTGGTACCGGGTACCAATTTTTGATTGGTATCGGCACCGTCCGTCCTCGAAAAATAAATTGCATTTTCAAGCGCTATTTTTAGGACTTTTATCTCAAAAAAAATTTTCTCAAATTTAAAAGCTATAGGTTACAAGTTACTATAAAACTCTTCGAATTTTTTCTTTTTAGGCATTTTTTTTAAAACTAGACTCATATGAATACTTTTTGTGTAAATATTTCTTCATCACATGTTAAAATACACATTGACAATATGATATTGACGACGCGTTTTTAAGCCCAAGCGAACAAACGCATAGAAATGAAAAATAAAATGGTCTTCCCTAAGATTTACTGCTAAGTTCTCGAATGGGTTTCGTCCATGTTGGAAGTTTAAGACAACCAGTGGCCTCGAAATCGGAATTTGTTATCTTTTCTAGTTGTTTTTTGAGGTTTATCGGGATGAGGAGAATATCATCGTCACCCTTGAAGACAAAGTCAACATTATCGCAGAAGTTTTTGATGAAATCGAGGTATCCGACGTCTTTGAATGCAAGATTGAAGAGACTCTCCTCTAAATCAAGAACAAGCAAGTCTTTATTTATTCTAGCTTCGTCCTTGAGCTCTTTGTATTAGGGTCTGCAAGTGGAACCTAAAAAATATTCTTCTTTAAAAACCATCTAGGTTTTTATTATTGCGGAAAAAACAGATAAGCAAAAAAAGCGTTTTAAATCTTGAAAAAATCCGTGTTCCTGCTTTCAACCTGCTCCAAAAGGCTCCCTATTTTTCAAATTTAAAATTTTCTATTTCATGAAATTATTCTTATCGATTCTTAATATCTGAGATCAATAAATATACAGTTGACTCGCACAATTTGGACCTTTTTTGTTTTGCAGATTTCTCGAAAAAGGGCCGAATCGTGCGGGTCCGAAATTCCGATTAATTTGCTGCTCCTTCAAAAAAAGATCAATTATAGAGCCCTAAAATGTTAAAATCTCATTTTTTTGTCAATTATCCCCGTAAATTCTACGTGTTTATCAGAATAAAGAGTAAGAAATAGCATTTATCTCGTGAATACATCTTACAAAATACGTTTGAGCAAGCAAATTTGACAGATATTCACAAAGATGGCTTATTGAGCGAATTTCATTAATTTTCGCGAAATTCGGAAAAAGGGCCAAATTGTGCGGGTCCATAGTTCAGACTCCTGTGCGAGTCAACTGTAATTCTTTTTGAAGAATTGAAAATAAACTTGATGTTATTTTTGCTGATGGTTGGATTTTTCCTTACACAAGCTCTGATATGGTTTTTTAACCTCACTGGCACAAAAGCCTCTTTTGCACATACAGTTTTTTATGGAATTTTTGGACATCAAATTTTTGGACATTTTTGCAATTTTATGGGGTTTTTTTGAGACACTTTTCAAAAATGCATGTATTAAATTTTCGGACATATTCTGTGCAAAAATTTTTAATTATCTTTTTTTTTGCCAAATATGACGTTTTTTTATCAAAAATCACACTTTTTCTTTGAGAAAGATAAGATTGAAGTTTGATCTCGTACCTCTGGAACATTCTTCGTCTTTAGAAGAAGGATGAAACAGAGGATGATTGAGATTTTCCTCAGAAAAAAATTTTTAAGCATTTTGGATTGGACATTTTTTTTGGTAGCTTGTATCAAATTTTTGGACATTTTTGCGAAAATGTTGGCACAAAAAATGTCCAAAATTCCATAATTAAGTGAACTGACAATATAATTATAATATGATATTGTGCAAATGAAGCTCTTAAGGGGGTGGTGGTCGAGAATCGGATTTCTTTCAACAAAATTACCTCAAAATTTTTCAAAATTTTTTTTTCTTTTTGCAACGAAAATGGGTTTAAAAGGCTTCAAATTATGTGGGCGACTAGGTATGAAAAAATAAATTCTCGGAAAAAACTCGAAAAATGCTTCTAGAATGGACCTATCTCTTGACAAAATTTCGAAGAAACCCTTAAATTTTTTTCAAAATAAAATTTATTCTGAAGAAAGTTCAGAGTCTAAACTTCAGACCCTTGCGCGTGTGGGCGAGATAGTTTTATAAATATTGTGTATCGTTTTGAGGAAGCAGGAGCTCATTATAATAATGTTGTTTTCCTGAAAATCGTCATTTTTTACACAATTTGAACTAAATTTTTCGTAAAAATGGCAAATATTCTCAATTTTTGCATTTTTATAAGTCCTATCTAGTATTTTAACAATCTCTCGCAGCAAAAATAAAATTATCATCGGTTTTTGGACAAATTATAAAAATCAAAATTTCGAAAATTCTTAAATTCCCGGTATAAAATTGAAAATTTTCTTAAGTAAACTAGATCAAATCAAAAAATGCTAGGGACAAAAAATGTTCCCTTTTTATCAAGGATCTCAAAAATAAAATCAGAATTTCGAAGAGTTGAAAAAATATTCTCGACCACCACCCCCTTAAGCAGATGAAGCCACTTATGAAGCCATCATTGAGAGACTAAAATACCAAGCGCTTAATCATCACAACTCGTGATTCACGAGCGAGCTTGAGCGAACGAGGGAGCGCTTTTGCTCAATCTCTCATGAAAAATTTTGGAGCTTCTGCTCGCACTCGCTCACTCACGAAAAAATCAAAGCATCGCGCTCACTCGCCCATCTTAGTTTCGACCAAATTTTCAAACACTGACTGACCGTAGCCCCTCGGATGAGTTTGTTCTTCTATTTTGCCTATTTACGCGCGGGCTCCCTTCCGACCATATATCTAGGATAGCAGCGCGGTGTAGCATCCTGGCTTAGATTTTTAAAACCTTTTTTAAATATTCTATATTTGTTGCGGACCCCAGCCTTTGTCTTTTCCAGTTATAAAAACAACCTTGATTTCAAATCCAAGCGTTTTCCATATTTCTTTTCTTAACCAAGTTCTCCTCAAAGTTTCTCTTGCTTGAATCGCTTTTGGCATTGACTTGATTCCGAAAATCAGAGAAGGTAAACTAGAATCTTGAAATTGACATTCATCTGGCTGTTGGATAACTGAAGGCTTCATGTTCTTATTGAAACGAAGCATCTCATTCAGAAACGGATAATCTAAAAAAAATTTTGAATTACAGTGAAAACCCATTTTAAGGCCGATTTTCGGATGACAGAGGATTTCAAAAGTGGCCTTAAAATGGGTATTTTTTGTCTCGAGTCGGATGAGGACAAATTTTTCCTTTCTTGGGATAAGAAATTATGAATGAGGGTCATAGGGTTATCGCATATTTCTTTCGCTCGAAAAAAATAATATAAAGTTTATTAATCATGGATTTTTCTAAATGTGACCTTTGAATTGAATTCAAGGTGATTCTTTCTTAAATCATTTCAAAAATTTTATCTGAAAGACACGTCTGAAAAAGGATCACGATGAAAAATTCTTAGAAAAAAGATATGAAGAGGTTCTAGTGAAGACGTCAAAGAATAGTGACGTGTAGAAGACAATAACTGAGCTTTTTCGAAAGAAAAATGCTCTTGAAATTCATCTGCGTGTTTTTACACGCCTATATAATGATAAATTGGAATTCTTGGACTCAAAATGCAAGTGAAAATTCAAAGAGGACCGTAAGAAATCATCGTCAATTAAATAATTCGAGAAAGAATTATCGAAGAGTACCAAAAAATAGAAATGAACATAAAACACGAGACATCACGCAGTCAAATAATATAAGCTTTTTCAAGTGACGCTTCAATATTGAATGATGATTTCAAAAACTTTTGTGGGGCCGGAAATCGTAAAAACTGCAAGTGCAGTTTTCTTCAGCTCCTCGAGACGAGTTGAATGATGGGTCTAACTCTTGATAACTCTAAGGATTTACCGGTTTACCGGCTGGTTACCGGAAAATACGTTGTCACCGGCCGTTTTTGTTCTAGAAGTGGTCAACAGATGCTCGACCCAGGAAACTGTTCCTTATAGTCAGTTCTATTGCAGGCTAAAAGATGAAAGTCGTATCATTATTCCGAAGATAGTTATCACTAAAATACTATTTTTGGCGGAAATGGGACTAAAAATCAGGAACGTGCAGCGACAACGAAATTTATGCAAAATTTACTGTTTTTAGTGATAACTCTCTTCGTAGTAATGATACGACTTTCATCTTTTAGCCTGCAATAGAACTGACCATAAGGAACAGTTTCCTGGGTCGGGCATCTGTTGACCACTTCTAGAACAAAAACGGCCGGTGACAACGTATTTTCCGGTAACTAGCCGGTAAACCGGTAAATCCTTAGAGTTATCAAGAGTTAGACCCATCATTCAACTCGTCTCGAGGAGCTGAAGAAAACTGCACTTGCAGTTTTTACGATTTCCGGCCCCACAAAAGTTTTTGAAATCATCAATAGAGATTGAAAGAAAGTGGCCTTAAAATGGATTTTTTGAGGATGACAGATTTTGGGGATTTTCCAAAAAGTGGCCTTAAAAGGGCCGGCCTTAAACTGGGTTATCACTGTATTAAAAAAATATATAAATTTTCCAATCTATGATAATATAAATTTTCAATGAGAACTTAGAGGTCTGGGAAAACCATTGTAGTCGAGGTTATATCTAAAAGATCCAATTACAATGTAAAGAAGAATACTTGCGCACGCGCACCCGGAGACAAAAGAGCGAACGCGCACGCTAGTTTCGGTTGTTTTTCCAACTATGCCCAAGCTCATCAGTGAACTCAGAAATGCAGACAAAAAATGAAGTCGAACTCGATATTTTCCCTTATTCTGACCTATGAAAAGAAAAACAGAATTTAAACGTCAATCCAATTATTGTATGCTAACTAAGCAGCAGAGTTGGAAATCGTTTGGAGCAAAATTGGGAGCCCCAAAAGGGAGCTTTCTTTTTTGGGAGCACGGAGGGAGCAGAAGCACAGGTTTCCTGGGCTGTGAGTAAATTGGGAGCTCCCAATTTTGAAAATTTTTGAAAATAAACAATTTTTAGTGTAGAATCTTATCTGCGCGCCGAAAACTGGGAAAAACTTATTCTATAGTAGTTTTCTAAGAAGAGACGTTTTTTCGACTTGATGTAGATTAGGGTCGGACATTCTAGGAAGGTGAGCGCAGACGGAACTGATATTTTAAGGGTGTTTTAAGGACCTCCAAAGACTTCTTAAAAAGCAAAAAAATTTCTAAAATTAAGGGTGTAGGGGCCGAAAATCGATTATTTTAAAATTTGCAAAATTACCCTAAGAGGACCAAAAAGGACGCGAAATATGTTCAAAATTGACCTTTTTTCGGGTCAAAAATGGTCTGAATGTGAAATTATATCTTAAAATTTAAAGAATAAAATTTTAAAAAATTAAAAGCCATAATTCAGCTTAGAACTCGGTTAATGTGAATTTTGTGAAAAAATGGGTGTGGGTGGGGTTGGGGACGTAACTGAGATTGATCCCCTCGGACAACCCTGCCACTGTCAAGCCCCTTAAATTAAAAAATCACGGAACGGGGCTGAGACGGCCCGAAGGGCCGTCAAGCCCTTAAATTAAAAATCACGGAACGGGGCTGAGACGGCCCGAAATCACGGAATATTGATTATTGTATTTCTGACAGTTCTGGATGGTTAAAGAGCTGTTTTTATACCATAGATTCCGTTTTGAAAAATACAAAAATGATTCTGAAAAATTTCATTTTTTCAAATTTTAACCCAAAAAATCACAATACCAAAAATGTGGCAATCCCGTGCACAACCCGTGCACACGAAAGTACATGACCTGAGGTACTTCCAGAAAAAATTTGAGTTCCGTCTGCGCTCATCCTCCGAAAATGTCCGACCCTTATGTAGATATAAACGTCTCTTTTAAAATTTCATATAAATAAATAGCCAAAATTACATCTAGTTTGATTTTATAATTTCAGCAAATGTATTTTTCTCAGATTATAAGCATCTTGATTGGGATACCGCGTCTGCGCGGATTTTTATTAGAAGAGACGTTTTTTGATTAGATATTTTTTTAAATGTCTCTTCTGAAATTTCATATGAATAAACAGCCGAAAATCTACCAAGATTTTTTTTTATTATTTCCAAATAATGTATTTATCTTTGATTTTAAAGATTAGCGAAGAAGAAAACATTGAAGTCTAGCTTAATCATTAGGTGACGAAGGTGATTCTGAAATTCTTAAGTGTTAGAGATATCTACATATCATTTTGTTCCTTGGAGCGAGCTGATTACAAAAATGCAAAAAATATAAAGGTGATTTTGGGGACCCAGAGCCCAACCAAGTGACCGAAAAAATTTTTTTTTGCATTTTTGAAATCAGCTCGCTCTAAGGAACAAAATGATATGTAGATATCTCTTACTCCTAAGAATCTCAGAATCACGTGTCGTCACCTTTTAATCATTTAAACGAATGCCTATTTATACTTTTTATTTCATCGCTATATAATAACCAGACAACGATGATGTTGACTTCGAAAGTTTAAAATGAAAAACTTTGAAAATTTTTGAAATTTAAAAAAAGGGAGTTAAATTTCCCTATGGGAGCTCTCTTTTTTGGGAGCAAAAAGGGAGCAGGAGCACGGATATTTTACGAGGGAGCTCCCTTTTTTCTGGGTAAGGGAGCAGGGAGGGAACGGGAGCACGGATTTTCTACCAGATTTCGAACTCTGCTGAGCAGGACCTAAGCTTAGTTCATAATATAATAAAACATATAATTAAGGAGTTCGGGAAAAAGGCAACCAACTGTTTTTCATTTTCACCTGGATAAATACATTTTCCTTCTATTTTGCGCCGCTTTCCTTTCAGTTCAGGATAATTTCTTTCAAGAAGAGCCAAGTCGAGAAAGATGTCTGTCTCATCTCTTGTGCAGTTCTCGGGTTCACTCTCTAGTGTTTTATTGTACGAGTCTTCAAATTGTACCTTGACCAGAAGGCTCTTTTGCTCAACTTCATCAGACATCACGTCTTTTATGTGTCCAAGAATATTCCACAAACTGATAAGCTTTCAAAAACAATTAAATAAGCTGACCTCAAAAATTCTCTTACAGTGAAAACAAGAATTCCAATGAAAAGCTTTTTGTTTGATTTTTCTTTTTGCATCCTTGTTAAGACTTATTATCTCAATCTGGGAATATGAACAAATTGAGGTCACTCTTTAATTATATTTCTTTAAATAATAATATGCTCTAGAATCGACAATGCATTTTTTATTTTCGATGAGTGCTCGTTAACTTAGGAGTTTTATGCGAGTAATATGGAGTATTAAGACGAAAAATAAAATTTTTATTTCAGTTCTTGCTCAGAGATCTCTGAATCGGCATCTTATTTGCTCATGAGAAAATAAGTCCTAGCTTTATTTGAGGGGATTAATTTTAATTTACAAAATTTTTATTTTAGTTCACGAAGTCGAGATTTTTCGACATTTTAGAATTTGTTTCGTCGCACTGAAACGAACAAAATTTTTTTTATTGTATAATTTTCGGCAGACTCGGCAGACAAGGCGGTCAATACAAAAAGCTCGAAAACGGTCCATTTTTTCCAGCAATTCTTATTCAATCAAATATTTAAAGCACAAGATATGTTTTTTGATAGTTATATGACAAAAAAAACTTCATTTCATTCGTATCTCAGTGAAAAATTAAGAGATAAAGTCCGATCCGCGGGTCAGATGGTAGAAAACCACATATTTGCTAAAAAAGCTTAAATTTTTGGCCATAAATTGCAACATATTGTAGCCTTCGAATTTAGAAAGAATTTTTCTATCAATCGAATGGTATCTCTTCGAAAAAATACAGGCAGAAAGGCAGAATTTGATGAAAAAATTGTCTGCCGAAGTTGCCGAGTTAAGGTCTTTCCGGATGTAGAGCGCGTAGGGTCTGCGAGCTGACCCGGGTGTCGGGCACTGAGGTTATGCCATAACCAGGTTATGCATTTTCGTGGATTTTGCATAACCTGGTTATTAGGGTTGGCCAAAAAAATTGAAGGTCGTGCGAGTAACACGAGTCACCCCTTATTCGAAGCGCCTTTTCTTGGGGATCATTTTTATATATAAATGAAATCGGTCACACAACGGGAAGGCATTGAAAAAAATATTTTTTTTGAAAATTTCGATTTTTCGTTTTTTTAATAAACCCATTATTTAATGAGTCATATCTTTCGATGAGTCATGCTGACGTCATCATAAATCATGTAAGAATATTCTCCAGCGTCTGTTCTTTCAATCAAGTACATACATGATCTATTTCCTCAAGGAAATTAGGTTCAGACTTCTCTTTCAAGTCTAAGAACATGAAAAAATCGATTTTTTGGTAGTTTTTCGAATCTTTCGGGCCGTCTCAGCCCCGTCCCTTGATTTCTAAATTTAAGGGGCTTGACAATGGCGGGGAACTATGAGGTGATCAATCTCAGCTACTTCCCAAACCCCATCCACCCCCATATGCTTTTAAAATACATATTATTCTTGTTTGAAACTAAATTATGGGTTTTATACATAATTCTTAAAAAACTATTTTTCTTGATCGAAACTATAGACGCCAGTGAACATGTAAAGATGTTTCATGATCGTCAGCATGACTCATCGAAAGATATGACTCATTAAATAATAGGTTTTTTGTTAAAAATCGAAAAAATCGAAATTTTCAAAAAATATTTTTTTCAATGTTTTCCCGTTGTGTGACCGATTTCATTTATATATAAAAATGAACCCCAAGAAAAGGCGCTTCGAATGAGGGGTGACTCGTGTTACTCGCACGACTTTCGATTTTTTTGGCCAACCCTACTGGTTATGCATTCTTGATTTAAATTGGAGAAATTTGAGGCTTAATTGGTTCCAAAAGACTTAAAAACGATTTGTTCTCTAAGATCAGGAGCGAAGCGCACTTGAACTATCTGTTACATATCAATTTATATGATTTTTATTAAGAGTGCATAACCTGAAATGCAGACCGTTGAGCTGCACTTGAAAACAATGTTTCAGAATTTTAATTTAACAGGGGCTCTGGTGCGCTCTGCGCCTTTTCTTGGAAAGAATGTCATTATTAGTTCAAAACGGGCCAAAAAATTAGGTAATTACAAACAAGCCAACCCCACAATTCATAAATCACGTTGATTCGAGCGGTACCTCACGTGGTCAAGTAACTCAACTCGACTCGAGTTTATTTAGAATTCTGGCCTCGACTCTCAAGAGATTGGTAAATGCCTTTAGTCTATAGTCAAGAACTGATAGTTAGGAGGTAATAAGAAAATACTCTTTTCAACTAATAAGAACGAATACAGTTATATTTTTTTCTTTCTTTAATTTAACGGCGAGACAGAAATAAAGATTTTTTTAGTTGATATTCCATCTTTTCATGAAATTGATGAAGCTGCTTTTGATGCATGTATAAGGAAGCACAAACTTCTCGATGTCCTTGTGTATGTCGTATCCTTTGCTGACCTTGATTGAAAATCCAAGGGTATCCTCGCTTTGTTCATAAGAGACAAAACCAACATCAACGTATGAAGAGAAGAAAGAAAATCGAATTCCCTGAAAAATAAAATTTTTAACTGCCAGTTAAGCATATTAAATTTTTAGGGTTCTTAAGGGACCACCCGCAGCAAGCTCGCGCCCCTTTTCACGAGCGCAGAACTTTTTCTTACTTTCTTCAAATATCATGAAAATATCAAATCTAGTGTAGATTTTTCTCCTCTTTGATCTCCAATTTGAATTTTTTTCATATCATAATTTTTGAGTTCAGGAAGGAGAAAAAGTGACGCTCAACTTCAAAAGGAATCAGCTCCTAAAATACTTGTCACTCGAAGTTATAAATACCTTCATCAAAAAGCGCATTCAATTTTGACCAGGTCCAAGTTCGCGTGGTCTTCGATTTTTATTTGTATAAGATCGTAATCAGAGGATTTATCAAGAAACCCCCTTCGCGCGGCTGGGAATTTGCACTATTTTGTCTGAATAGGCGCGCTCCACGCTGCGCGACCCCGGCTTCACACCGAGTTACTGCACTAATCCCCTCATTATGACCGGTATAAGCTCAAGTTAAAGACCACGCGAACTTGGACCAGATCAAAATTGAATGCGCTTTTTGATGAAGGTATTTTTAACTTCGAGTGACAAGTATTTTAGGAGCTGATTCCTTTTGAAGTTGAGCGTCACTTTTTCTCCTTCCTGAACTCAAAAATTATGATATGAAAAAAATTCAAATTGGAGATCAAAGAGGAGAAAAATCTACACTAGATTTGATATTTTCAGGGAGGTCCTTTAACGACAAAATTTCGATTGGAAAATAATCAATCATAATTCATGGCGCTCTTTTTTCTTAAAATCTATCTGACAAAATCTTCAGACTAGTCTCGACAGACTTAGATTAGCGATTTTCAGAAGTGCACAAGACAAATGAGACTAGAGAGAAGTTTTTTTCGAAAGTCGATATGTAGTAGGGTAGTAACGTAGTAATATAGTAAATTCCTACATTTTACTTTATCGGACGGTAGTAATCAGGGTTCATAATGCAGCAGTGTAGTAATGTAGCAATGTAGCAATTGCTATATTTTTGCTACATGTAGCAGGTGAAGCATGTAGCAGCGTTCAAAAAGCGTGTAGCAAAGTGTAGCTTGCTACATTGCTACATTTTTCTGGACGTGAGGATTTTTATTATCAAAAGAGATGATTTATTCATAGCAAATATATTTAAATGTCTCTTTTGATTGAAAGTGATGATATTTAGCTTCATTTGTATCTATTTTGCTTTTAAGAAATTGAAAACCAAAAAAAATTCATATATAATTGAGATCTAATCGAAAATGGTAGCAGATCGGCAAAATTTAATGTAGCAAGTGAAGCATGTAGCAGCGGTTTTTTAAAGGAGAATGAAGCACATGTAGCATGTAGCAGGGATATTTTTTGAGGGATGTAGCACTTGTAGCATGTAGCAGCAAAATATTGCTACATTTCGAACCCTGGTAGTATGTAGTAGAATTCTCAGAAGTAGGTAGTAATGAAGTAATACTGTAGTTATAGTGTAGCAATACTACATTAAATTTTTCCGGTTCTAGAGCTAGATTTTTGGGAATTTGCAATTTTTCGCAATTTTTTCTCAAGAAGAGACGTCTTTTTTTTGCATCATCTATGTGACATAGACTATGTCTCTTTTCTATCTTTAAAAATATTAATTGAAATACAACAGATCTAGTTTGACTTTATAAATTTTTATTTTTGATTATTTTTGTGGTAGTAGATCGTAGTTACCTGTTTACTACCTATTACATTAAAGAAAAGCTTCATTATAAAGGGATTTATAATGATGCTTTTTTTATAATGAAGCTTTCTTTATAATGAAACTTTCTTTATAATGATCCAATACATAGCTGGGAGGTGCAATATTTGTCAAAATAACGAACTCTGGTTCAAATAAGGCGCGAAGCGTAAATTATCTCCCAGATATAATATCCAAAAAAAAACATACCGATAATGATCCACTAAACCAGTATTGAACTCTGCCTTCATCTGTGAAAACAACATATTCGTTGGGGCCAATGTCGAAATATTCAAAATCAAAAATGAGGCCATCAGTATCGGGGATAAATCTGCTTTGACATCTGGTGTAGGTGACGTGGCTGGGTGGCAATTTCGGCGATCTAAAAATAAATATAATTTTTAGTTATTAATTTTAGATTTATAGAGAGAATTATTCTTTAAAAGTCTTTCGCGATCATTGTCTTTTTAACAGTTTTATTCTAGGAATCGTCAGCGTGTTTTATGAGTAGGCCTCACTTTGGCAAGAACCTTGTTTACACAGAGCTTGACTTGGACAACATTTACAAAAATTCCTGAAATTCCAAAAATGGCACTCGAACTCTTCAAATGCGGTTGTTAATTCTGACTGACGTATTTTTCAGTCAATCAAGTCGTTCGCACATTTCCCCATGCTTGAACACGTGGCAAATGCGCAATATGCGTTTGAACTTCAAACGTTAACCCGTTAACAGGGCAGTAGGCTTTTGCCTACGCAAGAGCCCGTCGGTGATTGATTCAAATCATGAACCCGCACACGCGATTGGTTACTCATTTCCACGCGTGGAGATTAAATCTCCACGGGGCTGTTAACGGGTTAAATTGAACGTGTGAATCAAAAAAAGTCGAAAATAAGTTTTTATACTAACCTGAGATCTGTTTGCTTGTTAACGAGATATTGATAATCACCATCGCAAATACCAACAGCACGATTATTAAGATAACCGTTTTCAAAGAAGTTTTCTGGAAAATCGAGCAGCATTCCTTATCAGAGTTTGAAATAAAGAAATCCAACAACAATAAAGCAAATCTGCAATACTAAAATTTTCTGCTTGCCAAGCGTCTCAGTTTAAACGTATGAACGCACGAAATTTTTTCCTGCTGAACGCATATTGCGCAGAGTTCTGCGCATGGCCTTTAGAGCGATCTAGCGCCGATTGTGGTCGAGATTTGAAAAGACCAAAGCTACCAAAATAAAGCTCAGACGCCTGCGAACAAGCTCATAATAGTTTAAATTCCTAACCCTAACCCAAACCTTGCTAAAAATAGTGCTAATAAATTTATATTTGATTCGATGCAAATATGCGATAAAACGTCGAAAAAATATTTTTTATAGACGGAAAAAGTAATGAAGAGCTGTTAAAATGCTAACAAAACATTATTCGAAAAATTCGGAATTTTTCGTTCTGAAGCCAAATTTTTATCCTGAAGTCAAAATTTTTTCGATGCCAGATTCGGATTCCTCATCGAAAAAGAGCTCCTAAAGTTGAGGTTCATTTAAAATTTTGGTCAAGTAAAGTATGAGATATCGAGCATTAAAGGGGCTCTGCGCAGAAATCTGCGCAATATGCGTTCACGCGTTAATTAGGTATATTAACAATTCTTTAATCTTTTAATGAATCGACGCTAGAACCTTTCAAAAGCGCTACGCAGGTATCCGCGCAATATGCGTTCAGCGAAACTCAACAAATGTGCGGTTTAACAAATGTGAGTGATATATTCTGGTTGTAGTTATTGTAGTATGTAGTTGCAACATGTAACTATACTATTAACTCTGTTCCTACATGCTCCTCAGTCATGTTTCTGCCTACCATCGCCGAACGCAAGAGATGGAAATATAAACCGGCAACACAGAAAAGCAGTCCTTAAAAGAGGTTTATAGGCTGGGTTGACGAGTTAAACATCGAATTTAAATTTTGGGACGAAACTTTGGAAACCCGACTGAACAGGCACAAACCAAGAAAAGGAACCCATACGGAAAAGACCTTAATTCGGCAAACTCGGCAGACAATTTTTTTTAAAGTTCTGCCTTATATTTGTATTTTTTTAAAGATACCATTTTATTGATAGAAAGTTTCTATCATAGTTTCTTTCATAGAAACAGTATTTCCAAAGTGGAGGACTAGAATAAGTTGCAATTTGAGACCAAAAATCTTAGTTTATAGAAAATATGGAGTATCCTGGATACTGTATCCATTGTTTTACCCGCTGAGCGGGCTTCATCGTTTAATATTTTACTGAGAAACGAATGAAATAAAATTAATTGTCAGATAGCTATCCCGAGGAGAGACCCAGAGGGTGGCGGGTGCACAGGTTCACAATCGGTTGGTTCACAATTTTGTGAACCTGGTTCAATTTTGGCCAAAAAAGTGACTCTAATTGACTTAAGGTGCGATTGTAGAGAAAGCTTATAACGTCAAAAATGAGTTTCCTTATGAAATCAGGCGCGGAGCGCATAAAGATCCCTGATTTCATTCTTTTAAAAATTTTGTGAACCGGGTTCACAATTGTGAACCTGGGCGCTCTACACCCGACCCAGAGCATTATTTCAAGGGGGCTTCATTCTAAAAATTGCATTTTCGTTTTCAGCACTTACTACCTACGCTGCCTTATTTGTTCCTATTCTTGGTTTCACCGAAATTTAAAAATACTCTTTGTCAAAAGAAAAACATGGGCAATATTACATGACGAAAATTTAAGGGTCTTTGCCTTCAATAAATTTTTTTGTCGAAAAACCCGATTTTTACAAAAATCTACATTTATACACATTTTTAACCGCAAGTTCTGCAAAAGTCGCAAAGAGTCATAAATTTTTATTGAAAATGATTAACTATCAAAAAACATTTGAGCAAGCAAGACTCATTTGAGATTGTTTTGTTAGACCTGTTAGAATAATCGGCAAATGCTCATATTTAAAGTTTAACTGAATTGTTTTAAGATTTACCGTGGGCAAATCAAAAATGCAAGGTACAGTGGCATGCGGTGGTCCCGCCAGAGTTGAAAATGAAGTAGGGTAGTAACGTAGTAATGTAGTAAATTACTAAATTTTACTACATCGGACGGTGGTAATGGTAGTATGTAGTAGCTTTCTCTGAAGTATCTTTAGTTGACGAGAGTTCAATAACAGAAGAAGCCGTCATGGCGAAAAGCTTCTGCTAAATAAATGAAATGAAACTTTCTCAGAAGTATCTTTCATTTATTTAGCATAAGCTTTTCGCCAATTACGGCTTCTTCAGTGCTACAGACAAATAGCTGGAAAAAAATCAGAAACATAAAAGCTGTTACCTTTTAAGATGCAAAGACAGAACTAAAAAGGTAACAGCTTTTATGTTTCTGATTTTTTTCCAGCTATTTGTCTGTAGCACTGAAGAAGCCGTAATTGGCGAAAAGCATATTATTGGGTTTTGCATACTCGCTTATACTTCCATAAGGCATATTCTAGCGCTTGCGCTAGAATTGACACTCATCGCTCATCCATTTATGGGTGAGCGCACACTCACATGCATAGTTCTATCAAATACCTCCCGCTCCACCAATTTCCCATGTGACACTTGCTTGACCGGTCACTAATTGGTCTCTCTCTACTGCCAGATTTCTATACCTCAGGACTTGATTCTACAATAAATCACGCATTTATGAATTCGCGGCTTCCCGTCGCCGTCTTCTAACTTAGCGTCAACGGGTTACAAAACCCATTATTATGCTAAATAAATGAAAGATAATTGAACTCTCGTCAACTAAAGATACGATTTCTCAGAAGTGTGAAGTAATACTACACTAATACATCCGGTTCGAAAGATAAAAAGATTTTTGGAAATATGCAAGTTTTCGCAAATTTTTCTCAAGAAGAGACGTCTTAATTTTATTTCGTATTATCTATGTCTCTTTTCTATATTTAAAAATGTTAATTAGAATACAACGGATCTAGTTTGACTTCATAAACTTAAATAAATAGTTATTTTCCTGGAAGTTGTTCGTAGTAAACTGTTGACTACATCCTACATACTACCATGGTCCATTTTTTTTGTAGTAATGGTAGTAGGTAGTAGCAGTTTTCCGGAGCCGTGGTAATAATGTAGTAATGAAGTAGCAACGTGTTACTTCATTTCCAACTCTGGGTCCCGCACTATCAGAGTTCTTCTAGACAGGGCGGCAACGCTTCACGATTTTATCCAATTTCAGAAAAAGCAGAAATCATGCACCCTCAAATAGGGCGGCAGCCACGCACGCCACTGTTCCAAAAAATTTTATCTTTTGATGAGGAATTCAAAAATGTGGTTCAAATTTTTAAAAATAATATAAATTTATTCACCTCCTTAAAAGACTAAATGTCTCTCTGACTAATATGGTTAAAATAATGTACCTTACCTCTTTTTTGAAATATTTTTTTGATTTTCGCAATCATCTTTTTATGAAATATTTGGATTATGTATCTACATACGTAAATAATAATTATGATCTTCTAGAAAAAATTTGGGAAAGAAAATAAAATCCGAGAAAAAAAATTCTTATTGATTAAAATTTTTAATTATGAAGAAATGATTTTGAAATAATATAAAGCAATCAAAATCACAATTTGATTGATTTTGGGCGAAAAAAATAACTAAAATTTTTAGTGATTTAGAAACCAATAACGTTTCTTTTTTAATCGGAGTTTCCAACAATATAAGCAGAATTAAAAGGGGTCAAAAATAATTTTTTTGTCGACCCAGAGCTGGAACTCCGTTTGTTTAAGTAACTTGCAAATTACACGAAATTTTCTTGCAAGAACAAGCAATTTCTATAACTTGCCATGGCAAGTAACTTGTCTTGCCTTGTTTTCTTACGTTGGCAAGTTGTCGACCTCAGGGATAAGTGCAAAAGTCAATAATTAAAATGGATATAAATACCATTTCATATGTCTCGGGCTTTTCTTCTAGGCACTCGTTGTGACCATATATCTTGTATCGTCGACGCGGTCCTTTCTTTCGCCACTTGTTTATGTGAGTTGACAGGATCTGAAAAATGGTTTCAATATTGTTTTCAGGGAATAATTCGATTTCTTTAAAACATCAAAAAAATTATTCGGAGCCCTTTTTAGCCAAAATAAATCTCAAATTTTAGCAAAATTTGGTCATGTTTGTCATTTTCGGCGTAAAACCCAATTTTTTAAAGCAATTAAGATGTGTAAGAGTCGAGATAGACATCCAGAAATGTAGCCTCATAATTGTTCTAAAAATCGATTTGCGGGGTCGAAATTTTGAAATTCAGTAAAGTCCATATACAGAAAAAGTTCAAATTTCATATTTCAGCTTACCTTCTGATTTTGCTCTGTTAGTGTTGGAGGGTGTCACCATGATTGTCTTTGAAGTAGTTTTGATCGCTTAAAATCAAATATAAAAATAATAGCAGAAGTTTTGAGAATTCTTCAAGATATTTAACATAGCAAACGACCGTACCTTTTGTGAAACTCCGGAATTGATCAAGGTCAAAAATACTTCTCTATGGACAGTATTCTAGAAATTCTAAAATTTTTTTTGAGTCAAAATTTTCAAGGAAAAGAAATAGTTATATTTTGGAGTAGGGTTCTAAATGTAGCAATATATCGCTGCTACATGCTACACGTGCTACATCCCCTCAAAAAATCGCTGATACAGAGACGTTCAAAGCTGATAAATCGTCTCTTCCGACAGGTGCTACTTTAACATATATTCTTGTCATAATCTTTTTTTTTTAATTTGTGAATTGAAAAATTCAATTCAAAGTCTACTACGTTCATTGTTCGGTTCGTTTTTGGGTCCTTGGTGAGGGTTCGGATTCGGATTCGAGTATGGCTTCGGGTTTGGGTTCGGATTTGGGTTTTGGTTTCAGCATCGAATGAAGTCGTCCACTTCGAAGAGGGAGACTATTCGGCGAAAAAATACTGCTTACCGGATAAAACACCTAATTCTTTGACCCCAGTTCCATAGATGGTGCACCCTGGCCGGCTTAGGTTAAGGAGGTAGATATCAAGAAAAAAATCCGTTTTTTCGCCTCAAACTTTCTCTACAGATAGTTTCGAGGTCAGAGAGGAAAGTTGTAAGCAAAAAATTTTTCATCAGATCACGTGATTTTTAATAAAATCAACTTAGAAATTTCGAAAATTTGCTCATTATATTAAAAATCGACAATTCCATAGAAATCGGCCTTCCACTACGGTTTTTTTACAAATATTTTTGTAGAATAAGTGTGGGCTTCGGGCTAGAATTTAAGAGAACTCCTTACATGTATAGCTGAGGTAGAGTTCTCTCCAATTAAAAAGCAGGGTAAAACTCGGTTCTTATTGTAAAAAAAAATATGATTTTTGTACCGGCTAGGAATTGAAATCCCCCGAGATCCCCTGTACACTGTACACTCCGGAGTCAATCTCAAAATGCTGTTTACGAGCGCTGTTCATTGTTCACTGAACTTCACTCTGCCCTAAATCGAAAAATTTTTTTCGCGAAGCTTTTAAAGTCAAACTAGATTTTTTTGAAGCTTATGAGCACAATAAAGTCTCAAAAGAGACGTTTTATAAAGTGAGAGGACAAAAAATCGTCTTTTCCAATAGATTTTAGATTGAGATGAATTCTTTTCATACTTTTCTTTGGAAAAATACATTCTTAAACGAAGTTGTTGCTTTTTCACATTCACGGAAGCCAGTCCACGGCAATAATTCAAAGGAAGTTTTTGTTATTAAAACCCTCTTTTAAGAATGACCGATTTTATTTTACAATAATGGCTCCTTCTTAGGCTCAAGTTATATAGTTATTATTAATTGTCAGATTCTATTCGTTTCGTTTGTATTTTCTTTCTTGATTCCTTCTTTTATCACTTCGATCACTTCAAAAAATCAAAAAATCAACAATGGGAAATTTCAAATTTACGGATATCTTTTATTTATTGAAAAAAGGGCTGATTTCTTTACATGTTTTTAATTGCATCATTTATTCGATTTTCAAGCTTCTTCGTGTTTCCTTCCAAATGAACACAGAGACTTTCTTCGTTTCTAAGGTCGAGGCAGGCTTTTTCTCGGAGGATTCCGTTGAAAGCCACGTCTTTTTTATTGTCGAAAAAAGCAGTTGAAGTGAATTTTTGTTAACAAATATAGTAACTTTAAAATTCTGACTTTCAAATTCAACAATTTCCTTCAATAGGGATCGCCAGAGCTTTTTTCGTCAGTTGAGCAACGTTTGCCATGCTTCTTGCACTCTCTGCCGTCATAAACGCACAAGGTCCAGCAATGTAGTCCGGCCAGAACTGCTTCGCCCACTGCTCTTCCGAAATCGAAATTCCTTTTTCTTTCAGCCAAGGATGGTTGTGCGCTTTCAAGAAAAAAAAATGTTGATTTCAAATTTAAAATTTTCGGTACCTTTTACTTCATTCCATCTTTTGCCAAAAATAGTATCTTTTGCTTCTTCTTTCTCGAGTCTCTCAATTATTTTTTCCGGGTAAAAAGCAACATCGTCGTCGATCAAAAGATAAAACTTTGCCGAGCCGCAGAATCGCTCAAAGTATTCATAAGAAGTTTTCGTTTTAAGAATAAGATTGTCGTAAGTATCCTCAAAATCGCCGATGATCCAGTCGTTCTCGTTTTCGACTGGTGTTTCTGCTTTACCGAGGAGGAAGAACTTCGCGAAATTGATTTGCTTTTTCTCTAATTCTACAAAAAAAAATCATTGAATGTCGCCAAAAGATCGTTTTTACCTTCAAAATATCGGCGGAGAAGAAGTCGGTTTTCTCGATTTTTATGGGCGGTGTTGACGATGATAATCAGCTCTTTTTCTGGACATTTTGGCGCCTCGATGAACCCAACTTCCCAAGATTCATTGGTTTTCCAGTTTTCTGGGAGCGCTTCAAATTAGAGTTCGAAATCCGATGGTAGCAAATGGTAACAAAAGGTAGCATGCTACCATTTTCGGTAGCAAATGGTAGCAATGTCATCAGAGGTAGTAGCAAATAGTCTGCTGTTTTTTTTTGAGAGTAAATAGTGCTCATTAGCTTTGAAGCAATCTAGTTTGACTTTAATAATTTGCGAAAAAAAATTCTTTAATGGTAGCAATGGGGTCTGAAAGGGTGATAGAAAGTCGTAGCAGGTAGCAGCGTTGACGGCGGGTTCACGTCTTTATAAAGAATGATTCTTTTTTTCTTTGTTCCAGAGAAAAATGACATAAAAACTGGTTTTTCGATTCTTCTAAATTCTCTGAACATTTTGAAAAGCTGGCGCGAAGCGCACACTCCCTCCTTAATCTTTTTCTCTAACATGAAATTGCTTCCAAAATTTTGAATTCCTTTCATGGCATCTTGTCAAAGAGCACCAAGAAAAATGGTTCTTTCCGAAAAAGAACCATTCTTTGAAAAAAGAATCATTCTTTATAAAGAGGTAAAACCGCCGTTTACCAGTAGCAAATACATTTTCTCGGATTTCGAACTCTGCTTCAAATGTCTTGCATGATTTTAGTTTTTTGTTTCGTCCATCAAGATCAAAGCCATTTTCTTTTATTTCTTCTTTTACCGTCATTTTGAAATAAGGAATATTCTCTTCACACTCATTTTTCGGTAGAATAAGTGTCACTAGCAGCGCTCTATTTCTGGTTTCAAAAATAGTAAAACGTCTTTTTCTTGATTTTAACGAACCAGTTCCCAAAACATAGAAACAAGAAAACAACGGAAAAAGTTTCAATTTTGCTTCGTTTCTCTTTGACACTCATTTTCTCGTATTTTTTCGTTTTTTTTTTCTTCGCTTGGGAAAGAAGTATGGAATTAGCCAGGGTACGGTTGTTTTGAAGTCTGAAATAACATGTTCTAGAGACTTTTGCATTATTCCTCCGAAGTTCGTTATGCCCAAAATCGAACGTTTTTGTGGTAAAAATGAAATTTTTATTTTCGAAATCAAGCATGCAGCATTTCCATGCATGCTACAGGCTTGAATGTGCTCCGTGCCTGATTTAAAAGAGAAACTCATTTTTGAAAGTGGCCAACTTTCTCTACTTTCGCGCGTCCGTTTTAGTAAAAAAAACTCTATAACATGTTATTTCAGACTTCAAAACAACCGTACCCAAGCTAATTGCAGCCTTCCCTTGGGGAGCTAATTAAGTCAATATTAAATAAAGTAATTACAAAAATATGTCAGGCTCAATTCAAATCTAGAAAAAAAGATTTTTTTTCAAGAAAGAGATTTGACTTGAACGCGGTTGTTAGATTATAGACTATAATTTATAGTACTGAAGATGGATCTTTAAGATCCGAAAGCTTTACTATGAATAAACGAATACAAAAATGATGAAAACCATTTCTCTCATGAAAAAGGGAAAATTCAGCCGGCGACTCAAAGCGTCATTGTCACCAATAAGGGTAGCAATCTTGACCAAGATTTCTTGATTGGGTCGGCTCCGATAATTAACATCGAAGTAGGACCACATACAGTGGGTTGCGCAGGTACTGCACCCCTAAAGAGCGGGTAGAGGGTGCAGCAGTCACGCAATCACTTTGAGCAAGTCTAGAAAGAAACAATAGAAAAAGTGCGGGCGAAGGTTGCAGCAACGCCGCAATCATAAAGGGTGCATTACCTGCGCAACCCACTGTAAGTGGAACTTCTTGACTATGTCGTGAATGTCGTGGCAAAAAACGAGAAAGTTGAAAACAAATTTGCTCTTCAAAATGAGTCTCGTCTTTATGTTCACTACATTTATGTCATTCACGACATAGATAGGTAGTTTGATAAAAATGAATAATTTGATTCATGCGATATTGGAGAAAATAAAAGAATTAAAATAATGAGATTTTAACTTTGTGTTTTTTTTCTTATGGTTCTAAATAATAAGGAAATCAAGGACAGAAAAAAAAACAGAAAATAATGATAAAAGTGCACGTCGAAAAATTATACTTCGTAAAATTTCGTCCAGCCTGGCCATTGTTTTTTGAAGATTTTTTTAGTCAAACTCAGTTCTGGCATGATCATATGCTGGCAAAGAAGGCTCTTTTTACCGGTTTCGGACAACTAAAATATTTAAACTTAGATCATAATTTGAGGTTCATTTTTTATTACCTCGAAAGCCTTGAGTTTTATCCCTCCACCAGGATTGAATTGGCAGCCGCTTTCATCCGGCGGGCAGACTTTTTCCCTAGCCAGACAAAACTTTTTGATTTCCTCTAGTTTTTCATCTAGAATTTTCATGTCGTCGTCAAAATTTCTATATGCTTCGATTTTATTCCAAAAAGTCGTGTTGAAATGATGATAAATTGCATTGTCGAATGAATTCCAATCGCGCATTCTTTGTGCTGAAAAAGAATTACCGTGGTTTTCCATTTTAAGAGCGTTTTTTAGATGACAGGGTTTGCTCAAAACGCTCTTAAATTGGAAATTTTCCTATCGATATAGGATGACAGTGGTTATTTTCATTTTTCAGGGAATTTCGAAAGTATGAAACAGAAAAGATCTAAAAGCAAAAGTATTTGTATATCAAGATGAGAACGTGAGTGATTTTTTCAGGATTTTCCTCGAGCGTTTTTTCTTAATCTGATCTCTTTCATTCTTCAAAATTTAAACAACGAAAATGTCAGGAGAAGAAAAGAAAAACACATGTCTTTGGCTTAGAAGAAAAAATATGCGCAGATTCTGGTGAAGGCTCAAAAAGAAAGGATGGGAGAAAGACTGTCATGGAGATCTAATAGATAATCCGAAGGAAAATGATGGGGAAGACATGCCTCAGTCACTGAGGCTCAGGGTACATTTTCTAGCCTTTGTAGGAATAGGTAAATTAAATATCTAGGAATCAGATTAAAAGCAAAAGAGCTCCGACCATGATGGTCCGTCGGCGATGGAGATTGAAGAAGAACCTCAAGTTCAAATGACAGAAGGAGCCGACTCTGCCAAACCATTGACTTTAAAATGGCCGGAAAAGCAGTCAGAGATTACACGTTTTAGTTAATGATTTATTTGAGTCTAAAAATTTTTTGATTGCATAAAAATCTTCAAAAACGCTCTTAAATTGGAATTTTCGCAGATAACATAATTTGCAAAATGTTGGCGAAAACGCTCTTACATTGGGCGCTCTTAAAATGGAAAACCACGGTAATGTTAATTTTTTGAAAGGGGCGATGAAAACTTTTCACAAGAACGATTCCATACTAAGCCTACTGCTAATTTATCATAGCAATTTTTCCTCAAAAGAGACATTTATAATTAACATGACGTTCTTTTATGGGTTAATCTTAAAAAATTATTTGGAGTTCAATTTAATTCACAGAACTATTGAAAATGTATTGATATTGATTGCCTTTGACAGTCACGTTGCAATGGCAGTTGTCATTTTTAAAAAGAATTAATAAAAGCTTTAAATATAAGATTGGTTGCTTCTTTGCAGTGAAAGTCGCCTTTCTCGTTAAGATCGGGGACGGACTGTGCCGGTACCAATCCAAAATTGGTACCCGGTACCAAAAAAATAACAGGATATCGAGCCAAAATTGTTGGTGTATTCGGTCAATAAATGAAGTTTCCTTACACTTCAGCCGCGGAGCGGACATTAGTTTTTTGATGAGTCAGAAAAAATGCTTGACTTTGGTGCCGGCACCGTCCGTCTGCCGATACAGTGAAAACCCATTTTAAGGCCCCTTTTTGGATGACAGCGAATTTCAAAAGTGGCCTTAAAATGGATATTTTTTGCCTTTCGTCGGATGACAACAAATTTTCCCATATTTTTGGGACAAAAATGAATCATAAGGGCTTTTAGGGGAAGACCCGAGTCTACCGCATGTTTCTATCGCCCGAACCAAGTATGATTCAAAATGTGTTCTTTAAATTGGACTCTTGATGATTCTTTCCTTCATTCTTTCAAAAATATTTTTCTGCCAACAAATCAGAGAAAGGGATCAAAAATCCCTATCGAAATCTTCATGCACTTGAACCCAGCAATCTTCAAGCGATCATGGATCAACAAAGGACTACTTCAAAAGAATTATTTTCGAAAACAAATCGAGCAGTTTGAAGATCTCGATGTTACAGAAAATATTCTGGACAAACAAGAATTAGTCGAGCATTTTCTGGCGCTTCAAATGGAAGAGCTACGACTCGGGGAGTCGTAGCTCCCCGCTTCAAATTGATGAAGCACGTCCTTGGACTCCGATGGAGATGGAAGAAATGCTTCAAGTCCAAGTGACAGACAATGCTGACACTGAATTTTTAGCCATCGACTTCAAAATGGCCGAAGACACAGTCGATGATAACTAGTTTTTACAAGCGAAACTGTAACTTTCGGATTAAAAAAAAAGTGGCCTTAAAAGGGATTTTTTTAGGATGACAGATTTTGGAGATTTTCCGAAAAAAGGGCCTTAAAAGGGTGGGCCTTAAAATGGGTTTTCACTGTATCTTAACCCTTATTATCACCGAAGTAAAATAAGTCAGTCAGAAGTGATAACCGCCGCTTTTTATATTTTCTGACAAAAATGGAAAGACATTAACTTTAGCCGGCCAGGGCGCACCATTTGAGGATCACCGGTCAAAGAATCAGTGTTTTTGGAAAAGTTACAGTTTGAAGCACTTTTAAGGCCGACCCTTTAAAGGCCACTTTTTCGAGTAAACCCCCTAAAATCTAAATCCCTAACCCAAAATCTGTCACCCTAAAAAAATCTACTTTAAGGCCACTTTTCCTTCAATTTCAGTTCAAAATCCGAAAGTTAAAATGTCACTTGAAAAAGCTTTTTATCTTCTACTGCGTGATACCTTGTGTTTTTATCTTTATTTTTCTTTTTTTGTATTTTTCGATGTTTTTTTTCGACTTTTTCAATTAAAGATAATTTCTTACGGTCTTGTTTGAATTTTCACTTAGATTTTAAGTCAAAGTGTTTCAATCTATAATCATTATATAGGCGTGTTAAAATACGCAGAGGAATGTTGTGGGGAAGTGCCGCAGAGTCGGGTAGACCCCCGGCGCTGCTGAGTACGGCCCTGCACCTCATCCCTCTCTCGGAGGGGAGATCACTCTTGCCCGGAGCCGCCCATGACTCTTTACTGGTGAACTGAAGTGAAAGATCTCACGTCCCAGGAAGATGATTGGGTTTTTAAAAAAAAAAAATATTTCTTTTTGCCTTGCTGCTGTAAGAGAGAATCGACCGCTCGCCGCTTTTTTCCGTAAGATTTTTGGAATCTGGTCAACATTTACGATTTTTGGATGTTTTCGATTAATTATTGGATCTAAATTATCAATGGATACGATTTTTTGGCCACCGTTGGACTTAGAAATATTGAAAAGTGGAACTTATTTTATCTTTTTTCTTGAATGTTGAAGCCTCGCCAATTATGGGGACCCTGAAATGGATAAATTAGAAATTTTTATTCTTTATTGATGAGATTTATGGCGGACAAATTGGAATTATTTTATTTGGTTGGATTTCAAATTTGCTTATTATTTCCGATGGTCAAGATATTTTGTTTTCAATTCGATTGGAGCTTCGTCTGAAGATATTGGCCTGTTAAGATGAAAATGTATTTTTGAAAAAAGATTGAAAATATTAAGGAAGACAAGAAGAGATTCGGTAGCTGCTAAGAGACGATCAGTGGAGAAAAGTGGATCAGTGGAGAAGAGGATCACTTGAAATCGTTGCAGTTTTATGTCAGAAGAAATTTATTTTGCTGGGAAGACGAGATGTCAGCCAGACAATCTTTATCATTATCATTATCAGAAGACAAACCTGTCTGTTCACACGACAGCGATATGATGGGCCGCGTCATATGTGAATTTCCCATCGCATCATTATCAATCACGATAGAGACGACAAATTTGCTTGAGAAGAACTTGATTAAATTTTCTGTTCCTGAATTCTTACTCTGTATTTTGTTTGACTATTCTAAATACTGATTACACAAATTATTAACTGAAGAAAATTTTCAATAAAGCTCTTCTCACTTCGTGAGGGGGGTGAGTGTGGGGAAGTGCCGCAGAGTCGGGTAGACCCCCGGCGCTGCTGAGTACGGCCCTGCACCTCATCCCTCTCTCGGAGGGGAGATCACTCTTGCCCGGAGCCGCCCATGACTCTTTAATGTCTTAACCATTTTTCTTTCGGAAAAGCTCAGTAATTATCTTCTTCACGTCACTGTTCTTTGACGTCTTCACTAGAATCTCTTCATATCTTTTTTTCTAAGCATTTGCCATGTAACATGGCCCATGTTAATCCCTTTTTAAGACATGCTTTACGAATATTTTTTTGAAAGAATGAAAGAAAGAATCATGTTGAGTTCAATTTAAAGGACTTATTCTGAAAAAGGCTACAATTCATACTTTGTTCGCGCGAAAAAAAATAATACTATTTATATTTTTTAGAAAATAAGTTGAAAGTATATTCCAAAAACAGTGAAAGAAAGTTAAGTTCCGAATAATTTTATGAACCCTCATTTATCTTTTTTTTTCCCAAGAAAGGAAAAATTTTGTTGTCATCCGACTCGAGACAAACAATATCCATTTTAAGGCCACTTTTGAAATTCGCTGTCATCCGAAAATCGGCCTTAAAAAGCTTCACACTGTATTTTGAACTCAGAAAAATTTTTTCATTAGAATCACAAAATCACAAATTTCAGCGACTCACGCTTTTTTGGGCTCTCAAGCGCCGAAATCCCTTGATAATTTTTCTCGAAAGTTTTTTCAACTCTGCCCATAAGATAGTTCTATATGTAGAGTCTACATTGTAGACGAAGAGTTTTTAAAACTTTCTAATTCCGTCTAAAGCTCAGCGTTGTTTGAAATGGCTTATTTTGCAAAATTGCCTCATAACTCCTTAAAAACTTACCCAAGTTTGCAGAGATTGGCCTTTTCTCAGACCTCTCATTTGTCACGAAAAAGAGCACATCCTCCCATTCCCAACAGAGTTCATTCCGCAGCAACACCATGCTTTCCTTGAAATAATCCGACAAAATAACGAGATCCAGTGTTTTTTCGAGATATTCAATGCCTTCGTCTATCTTTCCCAAGTTGGTCCATTCAAGACCAAGGTCAAAAGCGAGATGATTTCGGGCAAAGACATCGTTTCCAAATCGACCAAGGGGATTCGTTCGATTGTAGAAGGCATTGGGATGTGCGTAGAAAGTCTCGATATTTGCTGCTTTTTTGTAGGGGACAGCAAGATCCTTCATGTACCTGATAAAATTAAATTTGCACAAGAAATCTTAACTCACTCAAAAGAGCTCTCGTATAGAGCCGGAATGTCCCTCAAAATCGTGATTCTCCTCGCTCGTGGAAAGGTATCGTAAAGCTCCTCTGACGCGCGTAGATGATGAGCAATAATAACCGGCTTTTCGCCATCAGCAAACTCTTTGAGCATTGATTTGGAAAACGATCGTGGGTAGAAAAATCTGTTTCCGTTATTTCTTGGGAGGGCGATTTTGAGATTTTCTTTGAGACTAAAATATGGGAAAAACTAAGATCTAATCAGCAAGAATATTCTTATTTACCCGTATCGAAGGAATATATTTTGAAGAGTCGAAGACGCTGTTTTGTGAGTTTTCACGAAAACGATGCTATTTGTTGGACTGCACTGTTGTTCCTCTTGGTTTTTTCTAGCTCCATTTTCCATCAGAAAAATAATTCGTTGGTTATCTTTAATCTGCTGTTGCTCCTTCAATTCGGATAACCACCTGAAAATAATGGTCACGCTCGTGATTTTCGAGAAACTTTTATTCCGAGCTTATGGTAGAATAATAATAAGTACTTATGACAGTTTATAAAATTGGCCAAATATTGAAATCAATATCCAAATCAGGGGTGGATATTTTGAAATCAACCATTATTCCATTTTATTCGAGAGCAAATTTGGCTTGATGATTCGGCCTGAAATTTCGCATCTTATCATCTTTTATTTATTCGAATCAGTCCTGAAGATTTCAGACTGATTCATCAAGCCAGTGTTGCTCTGGGAAAAATTAAATAATTATTTGATTTCAAATTATCCACCCGTGATCCAAATCACTAGAAAAATATAGGTTTTCGAATATGGAGAATTGGACAATGATGTTCCAAGATGGCGAATAAGATTGTTGAAACTGATCATGAATTTTACTTTGAAATGAAATCAGCTATTGATATGCAAGGGAAAAACAATTTTTACCATCGACGGAAGCACGAGGGTCCGTACATGAAGAAAAATATATCAGAATTTAACTTTTAACAGGCGCTTTTGTGCGCTCTGCGCCTTATCTTACAGAAAACTTCATCTTTTTACATATCTAAATCAAAACGGGCCAAAGGAGCTAATATTTTGATCGTCAATGCCCCGGGTCTAGCAGACCCTACGCGAAGGGTTGGAAATGTAGCAGTGTAGTAATGTAGCAATGTAGCAATTGCTACATTTTTGCTACATGTTGATGTAGCATGTAGCAGCGTTTAAAAAACGTGTAGCAGAGGGTAGCTTGCTACATTGCTACATTTTTCTGTGGTCAAGAATTTTTTCAAAGTTTGAGAGCAGATTTGTTATTATCGACTCCAGAATTCACGAGAAAATTTTGGCGAAAAAGCAAAAATTTCATTCTAGAATGCAGTTTTGCAAAAATAAAGATGACGAAAATACATTTTACAGTAATATTTCCCGGAAGAGACGATTTTTCAGCTTCTTACTACTATAACGTCTATTTTGAGACCTAACAATGCTCATAAGAAAAAAAGTAATCTAGTTTGATTTTAAAAATTCAATTTCGATTTCGATTTGGCGATAAATTCGAGGCAATAAATTCGAAGCGATAAAGATTTTTATGTAGCACGTGTAGCATGTAGCAAGGATTTTTTTAAGAGATGTTGCCAGTGTAGCATGTAGCAGCAACACATTGCTACATTTCCATCCAGAGTTACAAATTTGCGTAGCGGAGCTAGCGGAGAGAGCTCAGCTACGGCCAAATAATTTCTGGTCAGCTCCGCTACGATTAGCTACGAGCGAAAAAAATTCGGTCAGCTCCGTACGCTCAGCTACGGAGAAAAGAAATTTGGTCAGCTCTGCTAAATTCTCGGGTAAGCTCCGCTATCTCCGGTACGAGAAAATTTTGAAAAATTTGCAGCTCTGTTTCCAACCCTGCCTACGCGCCCGACATCCGAAGATTCCTCTTACCACCTCCTAGCCCTTAGGTATAAGGCCTCTAGTAAGAGAACAAGTTTTATTTTAATTTACCTGATATTGTAGAGGGAGCCCATAGTCATCAAGAATGCAACAACGATAAAAATCCGACGATATTTTTTGATCATTCTTAATCTTAAAATAAAATTAACACGTGGTTTGAGCCAAAAGCACTGGAACAGGCTATTTAAAATAGCCTATTTCGCCAAGCGCAACAGAACAACAGGACATTTAAAGTTTAAAATTTAAACCTATTCAATTATGAGTCAAAAGATTTTGCCGCCCCCAAAATTATGCTGAAATTTGCCGAATTTGCTTTTTTAAAGAGAGAACCCAAAATTCTGCCGTTTTTCAAAATCTTATTTTGCTGTCGCAATTATCTTTAGGAAAGAGTCATTTTTCCGGTTATTTTTTTGCATTTTAAATCAAAAAATAATTGAATTTGCGACATTTTCGAAAATTATCAAGATGCACGCTTTTAAGGACCCCCCCGTCAACAATTTTCCTCGAAAAATCGAAAATTTCAAAAAAGCCATATTTTGGCTTCTTAGCGTGCCTGGAAGTTCAATTTATCATAAAAACTTGTTCGGAGCACTTTTTGACCAATATAAATCTGAAATTCTAGCAAAATTGGGACTTTTACGTCATTTTTCGTCAAAAAGTCCGATTTTCAAACGCGATTTTGAGGGTGTTAGAGTCAAGATAGACCCCCAAAAAATGAAGCCTCAAAATCGTTTTTTGACCTGTAGAATCTATTTCCGGGGTCAAAATTCTGAAATTCCGAAAATAGATTTTTCGAAAATTGTTGACGGGAAGGTCCTTAAAAAGAGCAAATACTCAATTTTTTGGTTGAGAACTCATGGGTATGGCGTGGTCCACGCCTCGCCCTTGCTCCGAATTCTTTCTATGGTCATAATTTGAGAAAATGACATTCGTTGACCTCTATCTTTTCTCAAAATTTTCAAACTTTGAAAGCCTTTGTTAGATAGGTCTGTAGTTGTTTGTTATACCTAAAATTTCGTAGTCTTAGAGCGAATTTTGAAATTATGTGGAATTTTTAAAAAATTGCATGAGATTTTTAATTAATTAAGATTTAAAATGAATAATTCTCACTTACATTTCCTTTTTATTTTTTTAAAATCGTCTTCATAACAGAACTTAATGATCTAAGGAATAACATTTCAATGTTTTCTAGAAAATTTTGGGAAAATAAGTATGAAGAGCCGACTCGGTGGCAGGGTTCGAAATGTAGCAATATATTGCTGCTACATGATGCACGTGCTACATCCCTAAAAAAAGTCCCTGCTACATGCTACACTTACTACATAAAATTGTGCCGGTCTGCTACCATTTTCGATTAGATTTCGATTATATATGAATTTTTTATAGTTTTGAATTTCTTAAAGTCAAACTAAATAGAAATGAAGCTAAATATCATCACTATTAATCAAAAGAGACATTCAAATATATTTGCTATGCATAAATCGTCTCTTCTGATAAAAAAATCTTTGCCCTCAGGAAAATGTAGCAATGAAACAAGCTTTACTTTGCTACACGCTTTTTGAACGCTGCTACATGCTACACCTGCTACATCAACATGTAGCAAAAATGTAGCAATTGCTATACCTGCCAATTTACTACACTGCTACATTTGGAACCCTGCTCGGTGGACCGTGAGAGAGTTAAGAATAGTAATTGGTACCGAAAATTTGGTACAATGTCGAGCATTTTCTCTGACGTAAGGGGGAGGTGGTCGATTATTAAAGTTCTTTTAACAAGCATAACTCCATGAATTTATTATGAAAGATTTTTATTCCACCTTTATCTGATAGAAAAAGGTTAAATGGGGGGGCAAACGTGGGAAAAATTTAAAAAAAATAACGATTTTGGAGAAAATTAAAGTCAAAGACGACCCTTCTCTTAACAATGATTCCGGCAAAACCCTCAAAAATTTTGTACTGCGAAAAACCTGATTCCCAAATTCCGAAAAATCTCGACTTGAAGACCCAAAGTTAAAAATTTGCTTAAAAGAAAATAATCCAATCAAAAAAAGGGAGTGACCAAAAAGTATCCTTTTTTATTAAGGAATCTAAAAATAATATCAAAATTTAAAAAAGCCGAAAAAAATTTCTCGACCAACAGCCCCTAGTTGAAAAAAAACTAGTATCCGCTTCGCGGCTGAAGTATAAGTAGGGTAAATCACTAATAATTCGACTTTTTTCTGGGCTTAGTAGAATGGGCATATAATACAGTTTTAGAAAGCCCAGATCAGGTCACTCATGACAATTTTCTGAATTTTTCATATTTATTGACCTAGAATGACCTCAGATGACCCCAAATGATTTCTTAAACATTTTTAACGAATAAACATAGATAAAAAGTCATTTGGAGGAATTTGTGATACAAATCGTGTACCTTATGTGAAAAAGTACTCAATTTTGGTCAACTTCCCAAACTTCAAGAGCCCCTAGCTCTTCGGGAACCCCCCGGTCTCAGTATTTTTCTTCAGCTCAAAATGACCGTCAGAAGCTAGGCTTCAATTTGGTCTACTTGGCGAGTTAGGGCTTCAAAAATTCTCATTTCCGAAGTTGGCCAGATTTTGGGACTTTGGAGCCATCTAAATGCCCTCAGGGTTCAAAATCACCCCCAAGTATCAATAGTCAAAATGATCCCCAGCTTCTGTTCTTCTAAAACTGTATTACATGCCCACTCTACTAAGCCCAGAAAAAAGTCGAATTATTAGTGATTTACCCTAAGTATAAGGAAACTTCATTTATTGACCGAAAACACCTTTTCTAATCAATTTTGGCTCGATGCCCTAGCGTAGTTTTACGAATTCGGCAAGAATATGAAATTCTCTAGATTATATTGTTTTAACTTTTTGAACGAACACAGTAAGCCAGTTTCTTTTTACATTTAAGAAAGGTTTGAGCAGTTGATTAAGGATATGGTACGCGCACATGGTCAAGTCCCAGAACCGGTTTTTGACCATATATTCCCTGAAATTCTGACCAAAAAAACTTCATATGAGTATAAACTCTATCTCAACCCATTTTCCCACAAATTGCAATTAAATGTGGCGAAAGTGCATTTTGGCTAAAAGGCAGAAATAATAGAATTTTAACTATTTTTGGTCATTATAATACCATATGATACCTTTTTGGAAATCTCACGTTCAGGACATTTATTTGCGATAAAAACGGCGCCATTAAGGCTATGCGGCATAGCCTATGCCCGCAAGGGTATTCACAGAGCCAAAGTGACGAAAAATAGGAACAAATAAAATTCTTTCTTGATAAATGACATCAATGTAAATGATTGATGTTGATTATGATTAATAATAAGCGCGCACGCGGTAGCCAATTCATAATATTGCTCGCAATTTGAGATAAATTATCTCTCCTATAATTATTTAAATCAAACTTGATGTTATTTTTGCAACTTATATCAAATTTTAAAAGAGATGATTTAAAGTACATTGAGTCAAAGAAACGTCTCTTCTAATAGAAAATTGATAAAATTAATAAATTAATTAAGGGGGTAGAACTAGGTCTTTCGAAATGTAGTGATTTTTGAGAGGCGCTTTTAATAAGAAAAACCTGTTTTTACTTATGATCACGAATTTTCCTCATAAATGTTGCTAGATAAAGGGTTAAACTATCTAAAAATGAGATTTAAAAAAGTTCGCTAGTCACGTGACTCTAGAAATTTGAGGACGCGAATACGCTAAAATTGCGATTTTCGAAGAGGTGGGTTCACGCTTCGCTCTCTAGCCCCAGAATGTGTTGACGAAAAAAAATTTTAAGAAAAATGTTGTTAGATCTAGGTTTGTTCTATCTTCAGCCGAAGAGAGAATTTGAAAATCAAAGCTCTCCTGGCTTTGAGCGCCGGTCTAGAATCGACTTTTTTCGAAAAACCTACTTCTACCCCCAGGAGAGCTTTGATTTTCAAATTCTCTCTTTGACTGAAGATATAACAAACTTAGATCTAACAACATTTTTCTTAAAATTTTTTTTCGTCAACACATTCTGGGGCTAGAGAGCGAAGCGTGAACCCACCTCTTCGAAAATCGCAATTTTAGCGTATTCGCGTCCTCAAATTTCTAGAGTCACGTGACTAGCGAACTTTTTTAAATCTCATTTTTAGATAGTTTAACCCTTTATCTAGCAACATTTATGAGGAAAATTCGTGATCATAAGTAAAAATAGGTTTTTCTTATTAAAAGTGCCTCTCAAAAATCACTACATTTCGAAAAACCTAGTTCTACCCCCTTAAGGTAAAAAAGTATCCTATATAAATATCGTTCCTTGAGTCGCGCTAGTAGTATTTTGACCGGTTCCTGATAAATGTTTCATCTGAATAATATTTTTATGAAGAATACTGCTGATGAGTGCTTTCAAAAGAAAACAAATTTATTTGATCGGAGTGATCTTTTCTGCGATTACTTTTTCATCGCGCTGGACGGCTTTCCTAACCACGCTGACGAGTCACCTCATTTTCTGGATCAAACGAGCAGTTCGAGAGTTCCAAAGAGCATCAATGCGAAAATATCAAAGGAATCAGGCTTGAATTAAGATTCTCATCTTTTCAGGTTATGCTTAGGTCGTTATCGCTTACTTGAAATCTTCTTTTAAATAATATATTATTTTAAATACAGTTTTTTTCCTCTCTTGTGGATCCCAACTTTGTGGGCATTGTCTTCATTTTAAGGGGTTTTTATGGGAGACTTCTGCAAGGATAATGTTCCACTTTTGTGGACATTTGTCCAGCCGAAAAAATTTATTAGGAAGAAATAGGGTGTTTTTTTCAAAAATCAGGACGTTTTTGATAAGAAATCAATGTCTAATACAGTTTAATTGACCAAAAATGGGATAACAAGGAAAATAATGGCGTTTTGATGATAAAATTCGCCATTCTTCGAAGAAAAATTTATCGAAGAAAAAATTTTAAGGTCGTACAGTTTTACGTTTTTTTGGAGACTCTTGCCCACTTTTGTGGACATTTTTATGAAAATTTGGGACAAAAAATGTCCACAAAAGAGGAAAATAACTGTAAATGACTCTTTATAAGAGCTTGAAATAGTTTCATTTTCATTTCCCAGCTGATGAGTATTTTGGAGTAAATTGCG